TAAGATAGGGGTAGGTATATAGGTAGGTAGGTATAACTTATGCAAAAAACTTCGAAATATGGAAAAACACGAGCAAACTGAAAAATCAAGAATATCCAAATATCATAACGCGTTTTGAATGTTTTTCAAGAACTAATTTTCATCATTTGATTCTCGATTTGATCATTTAGCGACATGATAATAACGTACTAAAGATGCAAAACACAGTAAAAACCAGCAATAGTATTTTATTGAGACATTTAACAGCCGCGAATTGTTTTGTGGTGATTTGGTGATCTGAAACTTAAATTTGACAACTGAATTACAATCAGGAGGTCAAAATTATGAAGAAAACATGTCACGATCGTAAATATCGGTTTAGGTTTAGTTTTCGCAAATTTTTACCAAAATGTTATTTTGAAAAAGTGTTCTTTGCTGAAAATAATGGAAGTTTGTTGCTTGTCGCTTGTTCAGAATTATTTAAGGAACAATCTTTCACCATCTCATCTTGTTCCTAAAAAGACTGAGTTTATTGCCTACAAAAAAGCCTTAAATGTACTCTTTTGGAAAAAAAAATCATATTTCCGTTGCTAAGATTCCAATTCGAAAAATTTGAAACAAGTTTCAAGGTAAGACATAATACTTTATTATTTTAAAGTAAAAACAAAAAAAAATATTTTTTTACCAACGGGGCTTGGATGAGGTTATTGAAATTTTTCACCGTTTAACATATCACCCTGTAGGAAATTTACTTGAAGAACCTTAAGCTTCATACCTATAGCATGAATTGCCAGAGGATGAGGCTAGCAGACATCACAGACAAAAATAAAATCAAGAAACAAAAAAGTTATGTCGTTTTGAAAAAGAACGAACTTTTTGGTCGCGACACATGTCATGTGGTGCGCAGTTTATAGAAATGCGAATATTTGTATTTTGCATCTATATGTAACCGACTGCTGCTGGCAGGGAAATCGCGCATTTTAATAAGAAACCGCACACACATTCAGTTTGCTTCAGAAGTTCTGAAGCAAACTGAATGTGTGTGCGGTTTCTTATTAAAATGCGCGATTTCCCTGCCAGCAGCAGTCGGTTACATATAGATGCAAAATACAAATATTCGCATTTCTATAAACTGCGCACCACATGACATGTGTCGAATCAGAACAAGTTTGCCACAGATTGCGTTGTTTTATTTTCGTAATTTGTGGTGCGTTCCTGCGTTTAGCGATTTTATAAAAGCTTTTATTATTAGTTGTTGCATTAACATTTTAACAATTATTGTGAACACTTTAACGGTACTGAATAACAAGGATTTTAACATGTTTATTGCCAAGTTCGCCGCAAATAAGGACAGAAGAATAGACTTTTAATTTTAACACTGCAGTTAATTTAATTGATTAGTTTGTTAGAACATTATAATAGTTAATTATATTTGAATTTCGCACATAGAACAAAATAATAATGTCGTTTTTAGTATTTCTGGGCTATATTTTACAGTGATACTTATTTAGATAGATAGATATTCGTTAAAGCTTCTTTTTCATGTAAAAATTTCATTTTTCGCCAAAATTGCTGATAGAACAATATAATATTCAACCCACGTCGTGGGTTGAATATTATATTGTTCTAATAGAATAAAACTAATTTTTTGAAAATCAAGTTTTCAAATTTTGAATATTAATATTATTGAAGTTTGTAAAGATATTTTGTACTTAACGCGAGTAAGCTAGTGCATAGTGCTTAGTGCACTTAATTTTAGTATTTTGGTTAACTAAAAATGTTAATAATATTAATAATAATAATCAAAGAATTGCTAATAGAACATTTTTGTTTTATTATTTTTCAAAATTTTACAAAACGTTCCAAAATGTTCTAACAGTATAGGGTGAAAAATTACTCTTACAAAAAAAACAAGGCTTAAGTAATACTAATTATTTATGATAACTCAACAACTAATTATTGTCTTTTTTTTCTCATTTGCAAATACAGCAGCATTATTAAGTTGTTTCAAAGCTGCTTCATTTGAATCTAAAGCCACATAATCTGGATCTGCACAGGAATATCACTATCTTCAAAGTACCTATTCAATTTGATTCACAAAATGATTATTTTCGAATACGTCTAAACTTGTTGAACAGCAACTAAAAAATATAGTTTGAGAAAAAGTTCTAAAAGCATGTTTTAAAGCAAACAAATTCGTAGAAATAAGCTAATAATGTTCTGTAAGTAGCTACGTTTGAGTTTAGGGCACAAATCACTTTACGTATAAATTATAAGTTTTATTTGGGTATTTTATAACTATTTTATAATAATATTGTATTTTTGTACTTACGGAATCTCAATATCATTTATTTTTAAATAAAATAATCACTTAAACCACCAAAAACCCACAATCCACACAACAAGGTCTGTTCTATCTCATGCTAAAAATACTAAAAATCACTGCACCACTGCACAGAGTTTAACGGCGGCCATTTTTGTTGTTTACAATTCTTGTGCTTTGGTTTGTGCTGTTTAATAATTGTTTTAAACGTTGTGTTTTTTACAAAGGCACTTGTAAGCCTCAAATAGGGCCCTTAAGTGCTAAGGACAACCTTATTTTATCAGGGCTGTCAAATGACAATTTGAAGGTTAATTTGTGGGTTATAATTTAACCTTAAAATTGACATTTGACAGTTTTATGACAGCCCTGATAGAATAAAGTTTATTTTTTACAATAGAGGTGTAAAATGGTTGTTCTTAGCACTTTAAGGACTCTCTTAGGACTATGAGAAACACAACTTTTAAAACGATTATTAATCTGTATAAACAGAGCACAAACCCAAAACACAAAAATTGTAAACAACGAAAATGGCCGCCGTTAAACTGTGCAGTGTTGCAGTAATTTTTTGTATTTTTAGTACGAGATAGAACCACAGACCACCAAAACAAATGGTGTTTTGGTGATCTGTGGAAAGAACAGACCTTGTTGTGTGGATTGTGCAAAAACCTACGACGTAATTCCTTAAACTGCCGATGACAGATATGTTATTCTGACAGGCTGTCAGTGACAACTCGAAAACTTGCAATTTAATTGATTAGTTTGTTAGAACATTATAATAGTTAATTATATTTGAATTTCGCACATAGAACAAAATAATAATGTCGTTTTTAGTATTTCTGGGCTATATTTTACAGTGATACTTATTTAGATAGATAGATATTCGTTAAAGCTTCTTTTTCATGTAAAAATTTCATTTTTCGCCAAAATTGCTGATTAAAAGTCCATTCTTCTGTCCTTATTTGCGGCGAACTTGGCAATAAACATGTACACAATGCTAAAATATAAATGAGCATTTTGTTCTTTTTTTAATACATACATATTTCAATGTTTAATCTTATATTTTTTATTGTTTGGAAAGCTTAAAGAATAGTTCATAGTCGTGCAAGCCACAAAAAGATTCCTGTTGTTTTTTAAATTTGTGATCCTTCTTTATCATATATCACGAGCCGCCATATTCTTATTTATTGCATTCCAAATTATCAATTCCATATCTCCCTTTAAATTATGTCTAATTACTAAAGTTTATTTATTTTTGAATTTTCAAAAAAAAAAGATTTGTCAGGTGTGGGGTTCGAACCCACGCTCCCTTTCGAGAACCAGAGCTTAAATCTGGCGCCTTAGACCGCTCGGCCAACCTGACTGATAAAAAAGACAAATTTTGTATAATAACCGATAATTAAAATGTTCTTTCCAAGTTCGTAGGTGTACTATACAAAAGTACTCTTGTTTCACCTTTACATCCTAAGAAGTCCCATATGCCAACTAAAAGGCTTGTGCGGGTAGGGGTAGGAAGGGACCGCGGGCTTAAAGACCCCTTCCAAGGATCCAAGCAGTGCTGTCGATCGAGAACTGCTAAAATACTCAAAATAGGTTTTCAAAATGATGCAGTGGAGTAAAGTTTGAGGTAAGTACGATCACATTAGAGAAAAATTTAAAGAATTAAATTGGATTTATATGGAAAATCAATGGAAAATTTCACACTTGATCCTGACCCTGAAAGTGCTAGCTAATTCATCTCCTTTATCGCTTAGGAAAAAGTTAGTTTTTAGAAATGATGTTCATGAAGTAAACATACGCCATGTCAATAAACTGACAATGCCTAAACACTACTGCCTGGTTTTGTAAATCATTTACATATACTTGTATACTGTAACTTTATACAGTGAAAACTATAATTTTCTTAAAGGTCTAAATATAAATCAATGCAGGAAATATCTAAATCAAAAATACTTAGGTATTCAGTTTGAATAAACATTTTTTTTCTGTAGATCGTCTGTCGGGTTTTGCATTTATTATTATTTCCTATTATTTATTTTTCTTATTAGGTTTGGTCTAGGGGTACAATTAAAAAAAAAGATTTATGACTGTACTTAATCTTAAACATATTTTAAAAACTATATATTATCTTTAGCACTGATATGTATTTATTTTACAGATTATTTGATTGTGTTATTATACAATTGCTGTTCTTGTTTCACTTCTTTTGTAATATGGGTTAAGTGGAAGAGTAGCTTTTGCTAAACTTCGCCCATTTTCTATTAATAAAGGCAATATAATTATTATTATTATTATTATCCTCAAACTTTACTCCACAGCATCACCGATGTGAGTATTTATCCACAAATAGCACTGGATCCAAGTCCCCTCTGAATGCGTAACTAAAACGTTTTATAGCGAATTTAAAAATAGATATAGCGTCTTAGATTTTTTACCGAAATATAAAAAAACTTGTATTTGGAAAATATTCATCGATAAAGTAAAATTTTGACACACAACCAGAGACAACAACTGACACTGACACAACTTGTTTTATATGCATAATTTTTTAAAACCTATTAATACTTATTAAAATAATACTTAGTATAATCCTGGATAAATTAAATAAAGCTAAAATAAAATCACTGACTGGTAAGCGCGCATTTTGGTACGCATCGGTCAATAAATTTAAAGCCCTCCCATTGCACGTTGCGTTTACCCTGCTACAAGTAAAGAACCCTACCCTGTTAAAACATTCCCTTCCAGAAAACGTATATCATTAATAAAAAATGTTAAATACTGTAGCTAGAAATAGTAAAAACCTTAAAACTAAATATGGTGAGTATAGCGTACTTTTTACTTTATAACTATTATTACATTTATGCGTTTTTAGGTAATTTAAGGAATATTGTTAGTTTAGCAGAACCTAAACAACCTAAAGTAGTGACAGATATTCCTGGACCTAGATCAAAAGAACTGCTATCTAGATTACGAAACATACAGGTATGAATAATAATTATTATAATAAAAATAATGAAATAAGAAAAAATTAAACCTACACCTCGCCAAAGATTTTTGTTTTGAATGCGTTCCACCAACTTCAAATACCGACAGACAGCTGTTTCGACCTTTATTGGGTCTCATCAGTGTCGGGCAACTTGGTGTATGTTTAAAATAATGAAACCTTAAACATCAGTTTTATTATATTTTAGCAAACAGGGTCGGTGCAATTATTTGCAGATTACGAAAAATCCATTGGAAACTATTTGATAGATGTCGATGGAAACATTCTTTTGGATACTTACACACAAATATCATCGGTCCCATTGGGTTACAACCATCCTGCTTTATTGAATACTTTTAAGAATGAGAAAAATATAAAAACTTTAATAAACAGACCTGCTTTGGGAGTTTTCCCAGGTGAAAATTGGCCAGAAAAATTGGAAAGCATCCTTCAAAAAGTAAGAGAACTTTAGGAATTTCTACAAATGAAAATGAATTTATAAAAGAATTAAAAAAGAAATAATAAATAGTTCAAAGTATAGGCTCCATGCTCCACTAGACTGGGCCAAAAAAATCAACTATTTTTTGGGGTGACAAAAAAAATTATTGTGAAAGTTTGAGTCCATAATATTAATATTAAGAGGTCTATCATAGCAATTTAAGATTTTTTTTCCTGAGCGAGTTTTTGTCTCAGAACTCCCAAACCATTGAGTTTTATAAAATTGTCTTGGGAATATTTTTTGAAGAAAATTGAATGCTCTACAAAAAAGGTTTAATTGGAATTTCCCGACACATTAGAATTTTTTCGCTTTAAGAAGCTATTTTCTTTAGAAAATATTATTTTCACTGTTACCTATTTAATCGTTTAAATAATATCAATCATGTTGTTTTTTTATTGGGAATTAATAATTAGTTATATAATACACATTTATTAAGAAAAAAAATTAAATTATCATCCATAAAAAAATAAATCTGCAGAGGAAAAAACAAAAATTTCGTTTGGACTTCAACTTTAACCTTGAATAACTTTTGATTTAAATTAGATTTCCCATAAGAATATTCATCGGTTTTTTTCTGGGTACTGATTTTTACATGAATTACAAAATTCCAAAGTTAAAAGATCAAAATGTAAAACTATACCAATTTTTAAGGCATGATTTTAAGGAAACGGCTCATCTGACGGAAAATTTTATTTTAACCTTTTTTGTAGAGCATTTAATTTTCTTAAAAACATATATTTATGTCAATTTTGTTAAACTCAATGGTTTGGGAGTTCTGAGACAAAAACTTGCTGAGGAAAAAAAATTTAAAATTGCGATGATAGACCTATTAATATTAATATTATGGACTCAAACTTTCACAATAATTTTTTTTGTCACCCCAAACCATATTTTCAATATACTTTTCATAAAAAAATAGTTGATTTTTTTGGCTCAGTCTAATGCTCCACACATCAAACTCCCACCAAACGGTGGGCCACCACGTGACTGATAGAAATAATTAAGGTTAATTTTCTGATAGTGTCAAGCTAATTTCGTCCTATTTTCTGAAAATAATGCAATAAATGTATTTTTGTCATACCAAAAATAGCTATTTTACGGACTCATTTAAGTCCACAAAATGCTTCTTTTTCGGCCTAGTCCCTAAAAGTCGTCATGGCAACCTTTACGGACTATTCCAAAATTCCTTAGAATGTCTAAATTCAGCATGGAATATTTCGACCAAACTGTCGACGGTTTGAACGTTTGTGACTGTAATTTAAGAGAGGATTTTAATTTAAAAGCCTCAAAATACATCTTGCGTAACTAAGTATTTAGGTTTTTAAGTGTGCACTTACTTTTTCGTGTAAATAATTTAGCAATACATCTTTATTTACAACGAGTACGCCATTCAATAAAAGCATAATATTTTTTATGGTAAATGGCACAAATCCAATACGATTTATTGGGCCTTATTAGCAATATATTCTGGATTTTGAAAATGTATGTGACTTTCTAACAAATTTCGAAGGACATTACAAAATTATCAAACTAACAAACTTGTTGCTAGATATCAATTATTTCTAAGCCAACTTTTTCGAACATTAGATTTAAAAATTATGGAAAATTTGCAAATTTAAGCGTTCTGAAGAATTGTAAAAAGCGTAGGTATGACAAAAAATAGTGTTTGTCACACTTACCTAAATGAAGTTTTTCAGGACTCACCTGCCATTCCGGACTCGGCGAAGGCCTCGTCCGGAAACAGCAATGATTCGTCCTGAAAAACTTAGTTTTAGGTACTTGTAACAAAAATATCCATTTTAAATTAGCTTAAAACTGTCAAAAAATTAACCTTAATTATTTCTATCAGTGTTGTGGTGGGACTTTGATGTGTGGAGCATCATTGAGCACACACTGTATACCGTAAACACGGGTGGCTTTGCACCCCACGGGTGACTTTAACCTTTTTATGAAAAAAAATTTCGAGCTCGATAAAATTAACATTTATAATTTGTTGGTCTAAACCTGTCAAATGAGCGATTCAATTGAGTTTATATTACATGAAAATCAGTGTTTTAAAGAAATAAATGGGATTTATTACACTTTAATAGTATATTATGTATCAAGTTTGATAAACGCCATTTTATACACGAATTTAATTTAGGCACGAGCGAGCTTGCGAGCGAGTGCTTAAATTAATGAGTGTATAGAAAAGTTTATAAACGAGGTTCATACTATACTTTTTTTTACGACAAATACTTATTATTATGTTAAAATGATTTAAATATAATATTTGTATAGAGCGCCATCTATGAAACAATAGGAAAATCTGTATGTCACCGTCAAATGTCAAATTTTTATATTTTATAAACACAATTATAAAGGTTATAAATCGAAATGTATTTCTTGAAAATTGACAGTTTTTCACAGTGAAAGTAAAGAAACTGTTTTATGAGCACTTTACAGTGGAGTCCGTGCCCGAATTTAAGTTATAGTTTACTGCCGGCGAAATTAAAAGGTCAGTACAATGTTCATTAGGGTGGTTCAAAAAATAAAATTTAATTTTTTTTTCGCTCTTACCCTCTTAAATGTTTCTATTTAATATAAAAAAAATCCTCACTAAATATGGGGGTTCCAGCTCAACTCTAAGAGGTCGCTGTTTTTATTTTAGTTTCCCATTTAATTAACATGGCAAAAAATAATTTTATGTTTGGAATTTTATACCTCTGTATCAAAGTAACTTATGGCAATGATCATTGCAGTTTCTTATATAAAATGTAACGCTCTACAAAAAAGCTCTCTTATTATTTTTCGATAAATTGATTTCTTCTAGAGTTAGTTATTCGAGGTCAAAGTTTGAAAAACATCAAATTTTCAGTTTTTTTTTTAATTTTATGGTAGGTACAATTAGCAGACGGGAAGTGAAAGGGGGCAAAACAAGGCAGCGGGGGGGGGTCAAAATGGGGGTACCCAAAAAATGAGCATATGAAAAGTTTTCCAAAATTGTACCATCCTTTTTCTCGCTCTACAGGCTCAGAATAATTATTTTCGATTAAAAGCGTGAACTTGTGAGTCAATATATTTTCAAATAATTTAGAAACCAAAGAAAAACCTAATAAAAATTTTTCGGGTACCCCATTTTGCCACCCCGCTGCAGCGCGCTGCCTTGTTTTGCCCCCTTTCACCTCCCGTCTGCTAATTGTACCATAAAATTAAAAGAACAGAAAATTTGATGTTAATCAAACTTTGACCTCGAATAACTCTCTGTTACATTTTATATAAGAAACTGCATTGATCATTGCTATAAGTTACTTTGATACAGAGGTATAAAATTCCAAACATTTTTCCCATGTTAATTAAATGGAAAACTAAAATAAAAATAGCGACCTCTTAGAGTTGAGCTGGAACTCCCATATTTGGTGAGGATTTGTTTTATATTAAATAGAAACATTTAAGAGGGTAAGAGCGAAAAAAAAATTAAATTTTATTTTTTGAAGCACCCTAATGTTCATATAAACTTTTTAAATATTGGCGTTGAGAAACTATTTAATACTTTTGTATTTTTGTATTGAGATAATAAAATAATTTTCACATTTAGTATTATTTTACAAGAAAGGCAATTTATTTTAACGATTGTATGGCATTTGACAACTGTCAACTAACTTAAAACTAACTTCCGCCCGTGACTAAAAACCTGTTCCTAACTTCAGCCCGTGACTAAAGCGCCATAAAGCCACAACTTGTCAATGTGTATTTAAAAGGTCACTTAGTGTCATGGAAACATGTACGATAAAGGGCGTTTTAAAGGTGGGAGTAGAAAAAATTGTTTATATTGCATCAATTCAGAACTCTTAGAATTAGAATTAGGAGCATTCCTTTGGAATGATGATCCTTGGTTAACTACTGGTCGATTTTTTTTTATCGGTAATCCCGTGCAATCGCTATTTGTCGCTAAAACCATAAAATAAAATATTGAGTTAATTTTATACGGGGGTAACTTTGCACACCCAGTTTTTAATTTTTATTTTTGAAACTCAGCCCTAGGTAATATTATAACATAGTTATTATGAAAGAGCAACTCAAGAGTCAAATTTTGATATATAATATTTAATGTTTATGATTGTTAAAACCACAAAAATTTTAAGCTAAAGTTTGAAAGTGAGCTAAAGCCACCCGTTTTTAAGGTACCTACTTGTATTAAAATGACTTTTTTTCAATAAACATTAATCTTTCATCCACTTTCAAAAGTCAATTCGGGAACGTTTGAAAAAAGTTTTTTTTAATATACCTACATATCTAAAATTATATAAATAAAAAAAAATAAAATAAAATAAAATTTGCATTTATTTGATGGTTATAGGATTTTTATCTATCTAGAATATAATTTTAAAACTCTGGTTAACAAAATTGATCCGTTTTTCAGTGTTTTTTAAACCTGATAAACTTAAAATTAATACATCGTTCACTTTTAACATTTAAGGTTTCTCCTGGTTTGCCAAACCTTACAACAATGATGTGTGGCTCTTGTTCAAACGAAAACGCTTACAAAAACATGTTTATAGCTTACCAAACAAAACGGCGAGGAGAAAATGACTTTTCCAAAGAAGAATTGGAATCTTCTTTGATAAATACACCACCAGGCGCTCCAAGGTTGTCAATTTTATCATTTAAAAATGCTTTTCATGGCAGAACCCTCGGAGCTCTCTCTACAACTCATTCCAAAGCCATACACAAGCTCGACTTTCCGTCTTTTGATTGGCCGATTGCTGATTTCCCGAAATATCAATACCCTCTCCACCAGCACGTAGCAGAAAATAGTAAAGAAGATGACAGGTGTCTTGAACAAGTTGAGGATTTGATCGAGAAATACAAAAAACTTAATAACTCAGTCGCTGGTGTTGTGATTGAACCAATTCAATCTGAGGGGGGCGATAACGAGGCTTCCCCGGAGTTCTTTCAGAGGCTACAGAAAATATGTAAATCGAACGAAGTTTATTTATTGATCGATGAAGTTCAAACGGGAGGAGGACCAACTGGCAAATTTTGGTGCCATGAACATTTTAATTTGGAAAGTTCTCCAGATGTGGTAACTTTCAGCAAAAAGATGCAGTTGGGAGGGTATTTCCATACAAAAGAACTAAGGTAGGTAACTATAACTATATCACAAACATTAATTTATTTTTTATGAGCTTATAGAAAATGAAGTAATAGGATATTATACTATATATATCTATATAGATGATGTAGGCTAGTATTCACAAGGATGAGATTTGCATCTCGAGCTTTCAGGCAAGAGACGTAAATCATCCGAGTGAATAAGGTGCATTATCTCGAGTGTAATACTTTGCTTTTTTTACTTAAATTATATATTTTTTTAATAAAAAAAATTATTATAGCCACACTCTCTCCAGATTTTAATAATCATTATTATAATAGGCGACCCATGTATACATGGTAGTCGAAAAGTAACCTTTAATAATTTAAAATTTAATAAAAACTTGAACATAACAAAAAATAAAATAATATAAATTTTCCTAATAAACTTACATCGAAAACTCAAAAGTTTCAACAAAATTAATTTCTCCTTAACTAAAGAACATATGTAGGTATTTTGTTGAAATTTGGTAAGTACCAGCAAACCAAATCATGTCACAGTGATATAACATTTACATAAAAATTGTTCCTTACTATGCAACAGCTATGTCACCTATAGTAAATTTAAAAGTAAACTACGTACACGTCATCAATCAGCTGATCGGGCACGGTTGTCAATGTGATGCTAAAATCCTTGCATCAAGGGAAAGTGGTAGTGCAACTACAGGGCGATAGATGGCGTTTACATGAATAATACCAAAATGTCAAAAGTCTGAGTTTTTATGACCTATATGATGCACCGCCAAAAGTGTGTTTTTAGCCATTTTTAAAGACATTTTCTGATATAAAACCCAAAAATTTTGCCATCTAAAGTCAGTCTCTGGTATATATATTATTATTTCATGTATCCAACATATATTTTGTTAAATATTCTAATATATAATTAATAATAATCCTATTTACCTCTCTAACAGCTGTTAAAGGTAACAAAGGTCCATTATTATCCCGTTCTGCCTCAAAATAGCGTATTAAGGATGACACCAACTCTTGACTCCGACTATTTAAATGCTTCGGCATTTTAAATATAGGAAACACAAAAAAACGATATATAACAAACACAAAAACGGCAATGAAAACTTAAACGATATAAAATAACACAAACAACAAACAAAATACACGAAATAATACACGAATTAAACGAAATATTCAAAAACACAACTGACAGCTTCGAAATTCTAAAACGTCAAATTCTTTTTTATGTGTCATTTAAATATGAAAAATTTGAATGTAAACATGACAACATCACAATTGTTGCCAACTTAATTTGGTTAAAATGCATTCAAATATTCAATTACAGACTTCGATTTAGTCATTTAGTGTTGGTACCAATGCGTAAAATTTTTGTTTTATTGATGACGTGTACGTAGTTTACTTTTAAATTTACTATATATGTAATGGCAATGCTCCTATGTCCGCCTCAAGACGCCTTCCTGGGTATGTAACTGTGATGTAACAGTGTTTTATCATAGTTATGTAACTGTAATGTTACAGCGCCATATCATAGTTATGTAAACGTGATAAAACAATTATATTCTATTTACATAAATGTTGCATTCTATTTACTTATTATTTATGCAATATTTACATATTATCTATATATAATTTATGCAATATTTACATATTATTTATGAAATATTTATAAATATAATTTCATGTAATATATTATCTTACTGGTATTAAAAATTGCTTAGCCCTAACTTGGTATTAAGGCAAATTTTTTGAAAAAAAATCAACAAAATTTTAAAATTGCCATAATACCAAATTAGAACTAAGAAATTGTTAATGCCAGTTAGATAATATATTAAATAAATTAAAAATAAATATTATACATGTATACATAAATAATAAGTAAACATTGCAGAAATAAATGATTCTGAAAGAGATTAAAAAAAACACAAATTGGTTAAAAATGTTTATTAAAAAATATTTTAATTAAAAAAAACATATCATTTCTTCTTTCTAAAGGGGCCAAATAAATCTAAAAACAAACATTGTAAAATATGAATAAATCACTTTATAATTATAATTTTAATTTTACAAATGAAAAGTTTTTCAATTTTTCCAAACTTTAACAAAAAAAGCCCAAATACATTAATACTTCAAAGCTAAAAAATATATGGTAAAAAAAGAGAAAGCAATCTCATGAATTTAATATTAATGTACCTTCTTTTCATGGGTCATAATTATGTATCATTGTTCCATTGTAGATATATAACATTGTTATATGGCTGATACATAAGGGGGATGTAAATATAACAAGAGGGGAACATATTTATATAAGTGTTATATTACTATGTTTTATCATAATTATGTAACAAAATAAAGAACTAATATGTAAATGTTATGTAAACAATTTTATATGGCAATGTTCTTTGTTAGTTATATCATGGTTATGTAAATGGAACAGCCTGGTTTGCTGGGTTTACCATAGTTCATTCGTCTTCAAGCAGTGTCATCACTTTGGGGGTGATAATATCTCCTTTTAGAGAATGTATATTTTGCCAATGATCCAATCATTTTTCTACATTTTTTAAATTAACAGTTGATTTAGAAAAACGTGAAACGTAAAATTTTAAGTAATAAAATCATTATTAAAAGATTGACCAATATAGAAGCATTGTTTTTAAACTAAACAATATAAAAATAGGGATTTTTCAGAAAACGCATTTTTATGATTTGCGCTGTGTTAAAAAAATTTTAAAATTGTATTGCAGACATAATATGTCATAAGTATTTAAAAAACAAGACAATTAATAATTTAATCGATTAATCAGTAATCGATTAATTAAATAACCGATTAATCAAAAATACTTAATAATTCCCGTAAGATGTCAGGCAATTATCTTCTAATCAATGACATAATGTCATTGACATTACGCTACCCTGGTAGAAATTGTATGTTATAATAAACGTTTTTCTAACATTTGTAATTTGTTATTTTTTTACCAGGGAATTGTATTTTATTTGATGATAGAGTAAATTTTGCGTATATCTTATCTATGGATCCTTTCACGCTCTTAAGCAAATCAAATATTTATTTTTAAAATTTCCATAATTTTTTTTTAGTCCCAAGTTACCATACAGGGTATTCAACACATGGATGGGCGACCCAGGCAAACTACTGATGTTGGAAACTATTATTAACGTAGCCAATGATCAAAATTTACTGAAAAATGTGAGGGAAACTGGTGACCATTTAAAAAAAAATTTAATTGAAATTGAAAGTGAATTTTCCCACTTGATCAACTCTACAAGAGGGAGAGGTACATTTTTAGCCATCAATGCTAAAACAACTCAACTACGGGATCATATTTTGGATAAATTAAAGCAAAGAGGTATAATTAACCTTAAAAAAGTCTTCAATAATTAAACAAAATTTTTGCAGGTATTCAAAGTGGTGGATGCGGCGACAATGCAATCAGGTTAAGACCTGCTCTAATTTTCGAAACCAAACACGCTGATATATTTTTGGATTCTTTTAGAAATGTTTTAATTGAGCTTAACAAGTAATTTATCTATTTTTAATTTAAAGAAAATGTTATTTTAAAAGCTTTACTATGGTACAAAAATCTGTCTTCCCTTAAAAGGTCTTCCAAATGATTAATTATGTTACTTAAGTACTTTCAATGTGTAAATGTTTGTATGTTAAATATAAAAAGGGGCCTTAATTTAGTTGTGGGCTAAATTGACCTTTTGGAAGTTGAAACTAGGCAACTTTAATGATTGGCTGTTCTCTAGGGTGAGGGCAATATATTGACCCCTTACCAAAACATATATGTTCTGGTAAGAGGTCAATATTTTTGGCCAAACGGAATGTAACTGGTCACCATCACAGTCGAACTTGCATTTGACTCGAAGTAGAAGTAGGTTGTAATTTTGGAAACAGCTTTCCTGCAGCATGTCATAATATAGAAGTATAATATCGGCACATAAACCTTCCTGCGTTCCCTCCCGGTATCATCAAAGAACAGAAAGTATTACTGGAATATCTTCGAGATCTATAAGGTGCATAGGTTCGTCAAAAAGAGCTCTTCCACATCTGATTCCGTTTCTCAACCATATCAGCAACATCAAACTTTCTTAAAATGATTAAAACGAAATCAACTTTTTCCGACATTATGGTAACAAAAGTTTTAGCACAAAGCAATAAGATACCAACATAAAACATGATATGAAAACAGGAAGAACCAAATACCGCCTAAAGGAAGTAGGAACTCTTTTCACTTCCATAGAGGGAACTACCCAGCTAGCAGAAGTCTGTCCTAAGGACGTCCTAAGGAAAGCCTTACAGGATATTGGGATATCCCAAGGATATCCTAGGACGTCCTCAGACCTCCTCAGGACATCCCAACCACGGCCGAGTGGTGCAAAAAAGGCCAGCCTACAGACGTCCCGCAAATGGCCTTTAGGATATCCTAGGGATATCCCTAGGTCCATATAGGTCCAGGAATAGGACATCCTAAGGATGTCCCCTGAAAGTCCCATGGGTATATGTAGGTCCAGGAATGGGATGTCCTGAGGACATCCTCTAAATGGCCTTGTTATTTGTTGGGGATACATTTTAAACAATGAAATACCATTTTATTACTTTATAAAATATATTATTTTAATTCTGTATACATATATATAATTTTACACAGCCAATTATATAAAATAAAAAATAAACACCTATTATAAAAGTAAAATAAATAATAATTCTAAATAAATATAATAGTTATATTATTTATATATACAGTTTTCAAAGTTATCGGCTCACCATTTTAACTTCATTATTATTGCAGCTACAAAGTCGGTTAAATTAGCAAATTAGTGGCATTTTTTTTTCTGAAAATCTTGAAACACATTTTATTTTTTAACAAGTATGCTTATTATAACTCACCAGAATTTTATGATTGTTGTTCACTTCAATCTTCAAGCAAATTAGTATTTAAGGTTTATTTCGAAGAGAACACTATAATAATATTATATTATAACAAACACACTTGGAGAACACGAGATTCGCGGCCTTAAACCAGGTTCACGACACAGAAAAAGAATTCACGGCACAGACAAAGAATTCCTTTCACAGTGTTATCTATGATTCTTTCTAACAAAAAGGCGCCAAACAACTAAAGAACGCTATACGCCACAATCCACACAACTTTGTGTGGATTGTTCTATACGCCATCTCAGCTTTATCTCCATCCAGTGTTACCACCATAGACAATGGTTAACACCATAACGTATGGCGGCAAATTTAAAACAATCGGTAACTCAAACTATTAAATAAGTTATAGATTGCGTTTGTAATTACATTTTTAAGGATAACTGACGCTTACTCCCAGAGAGCCATGCTTTGGGAAATAAATTAGTCAACTTTTTCCCAACTAAGTTTGGACTACGATATTTTACATTTATTGGGGTTTATTTGGACATATTAATTGTATTTTCATAAGGTTTGACCAAAAATTGACATGTTTTATGCCAAATTATTTTCCAATGCGATAGCACAAAAACTACACAAATATACAGTCCTAGATAGAGTTATTATTGGCCAACGTCGTTTGTAATGAAGTTTGGTCGAAAATTGGCAAAGCGTTTGTAATTCAGATTGATCGAAACTTGGTAAATAATTGATCAGCATGGAAAAAGAATCGCAATGGCGAGTTATATGTCGTTAATATTTCAAGACCTTCTCTACAAAAAGGCGTCAAAAAGTGCTTGTGTGATAGTTATATATGATAGTTATATATATATATAGTTATATATATATATAATATTACAAAAAAATATAATCATCTGTGCACTAACTAAACGTGTTAAGTTTTAAACGGCTTTAAATTTTGAGTAAGTAATTAAGGTTATGTTTTCAATAAAACATTCAATTTCTTACTTCTCGAAGATTTTTTATTCCCTTATTAATTTTGAATTAATATAAATTTACATTGGTAGTTCTATATAATATATATTATGTACTTATTTTTTGTTAATTGTTACAGATTTTCATCTTGAAGTTGCAGTGAAGAAAAATAACTGCCTTTTTCTAGGTAAATAGTGTTAACACTATTTATAAATTTATGGGTACCTACTAGGCTTTTACTACAAGCAGGACAATTTAAAAATAAATTTTCTACCTATATGTCATGAAGGAAAAAGAGGATTTATTGGGTTTTAAGATCTATCGTGCTAGAAGTGAGCAAGGTACCTAATTGCAATTTTTTTATTGAATTTAAAAATTTATTTCTTTTTTATTTTTAAAGTTCTTCATACCTAAAGATACCAATCACAAACTATTTTACAATAAGTTCTTAATGTTTAATAAAGCATAATTCTTGATAGCCTGATCGTAATTCTATTTGTATCATAATATTATAACAAGTATAAAGGTGGATTTAGCCAGCATTTAAAGTAATGTAATGAAACGTAACATAGGTAATTTAATTTAAAAAATTGTGTAACACAATTTGTGTTGACCAGTCAAACAAGAAAAACTCAACCAAGAATACATCTGCACTTAAAAAAATCTATACAGGGTGTCCTGAAATTAGGGGGCCAAACTTAAACAGTGCATTCTTCATAGAAAAATAACACTTTTTTGTAAACATGTATCAAAAAATGGTTTTCACTTCCAAAATACGTTTTAAGACTCGTGTTTTTATATTTTTATGTTATAGGTTAGCTACTTTAAATTTGTCGCTGACGATGACGTCGTAGGCAGCGTGAATTTAATTGTCAAAGAAGCCTTCTCAGATGAAGTTTCTTCCAAAATAACGCGCACTGGACGTGCTGGTGTTGGGGTGTCCAAAACAAAAATTGTACAAGCCATTCACCGTATGTTTTATGTTTTAATATTATTTCCTAGACAATTTTTTTACTTAAAGTATTTTTTAGAGAGTTTACATAAACATGATAAATTTCCTCCTCCAGGGGCTTTAGAATTCCAGAGGTCCTTTGACGTGGCCTTAAACAACGCGAAGCAACGGGTTCGAAATAAAAAAAAAGCCTTATTGCAAAAAAACAATTAAATCACTGCTTGGGATTCAACATAAAAAACAATATTTTTTTCCAATTTTGATTATTTTAAATATTTTTTATTTATACATTTGTTTTTTTTTTTTAATTTTATTTTTGACCACTGTTCCAGTATTGGAACATACTGTTTTATTTGTTTTATAAAAAGCGTTTTATTTACCCAATTTTCAAATACTCTCCAAAAAATTAATAGATAGATTAATAGATTTTAATATAAATGAGAAAAAGAGTAATATTCTTTCAAATATAATAATATTTGTTAATACTCTGGGTTTGTCCAAATATTTACCAGTATTTGGTCAATTTTTCAAAAGCCTAATTGCCCAAATAAACATCAAAAATTTGTCATCGTTTTTCCATGCCCAAACATTCCCAAAATTAAACCAACGGTAACCTACCTAATTTATCCAAACTGCTTTGGCATATTATTGGGCACAATTTGGTCATTTATTGTTGGCCATCGCGATTGCACAAATACCATAGGAATATACAGTCCTACTTAGTACATTTATTGGCAAAACTTTTCCAAAGGTAATGGGCAATTCTTGGCCATGTTTTAACCTGATATGGCTCTCTGGGCTACCTTATTTATTATTTATAAAACAAACAAACAAACAAGGTGTTTGAACAATTATTAATTACCAGCCGTCATTTCTGCGCATGCGTATTAAGTTGGCTGCTATCCAGTTGTATACAAAATATATTTTGTGGTCATATAACAAATACACAAAATATAATATTGTTTTTAAACTCCCGCCTTTAAAACGCCGATTATCGTACATGTTTCCATGATATTTTAAATACACATTGACAAGTTGTGGCTTTATGGCGTTTTAGTCACGGGCTGAAGTTGGCAGAAATGGCATTCGGACATTTTAGTCATGGGTTGAAGTTAATTGCAGTTGTCAACTGCGAAACAATGACCATCAAAATAAAGGGTCTAAAAAGTGAGGTTAGAATAGACTGGTCGATGTCAGATTTTATAAATAATTATTTATATATAATTGTTGAAAGTTATTTAATTTTTGTGATTGTCGTAGATAAAATATAGTATGCAAGTCGTTTATAAACTTAAAAAAATCTATATAATATAATATTATAATTATATTGATTGACATTTTTGAGATGTGCCGATGCAAAATTATGTAAAAAAATGTAGGTATTATTAATTATATGGAAAAAATATTCTTATAGAAAAATGTGCATACCAAATGTTTACCAAAACCTAACGGGACATTCTGAGGATGTCTCTGGGATTAGTCCTATGATCAGCCCATTTTAGGTTTTAATTAGGATATTATTAGGTCCTAGCGACATCCTTAAATGACGTTCCTAGGATATCCCAAAATGGGACCTAAAAAAGATTTAATGTCCGATAAGGTCAACCTATAGACGTCGTCAGGAAGTCCTTATAGGATTATCCCATTCTGGGACATTTAGGCTGGTCCAAGGACGTCCTGAGGATGTTTGTGCTTGCTGGGTAACTATTAAAGAGCACACAAAATTCATTTAAAAATTGAAAAAAAGCCCGTGGCGGGTAAATACATAAGTGGGGGCTTCAAAATCAATTAAAAATTGGTATTTTTGACATTTTTCTCGAAAAAAACACTTTCCTAAAAATGTTGCTTATATAAATTAAGGTCCTTTATCCCACGACCGGTCACATTTGATGTACCCATAGGTATATATTTACAAATAAGAAAAAAATAGGTAATATGTTAAAAATGTCTGTGTTCATAATAATAAATAATGTTAATGCACAAAAAAATTAAATAAACATACTGATTGTTAATTCTATGGGTTTCTTTATTTATATAATGCTTATATAACTCTTCGGTATATTTAATCCTTGTTATTTTTGGAGGTGCAATATTTAACACATAAATAAAATGCTAAATAAAGTACATATTTGCTTTGCAATCATATAAATATATATATTTTTCCAATACCATTGTCAAAAAGTCGGATTTGTTGTTGATATTTAAGTGTCAAAAGTAGGTCATTTTTGACATTGCAAAATAGTACATTATCTAACAGGCGGAGAAAGCGCTTATTAAAACCGAGCTCAGAGTTCCTTGTCGAGACGCAGTCTAGGCAGCAGATTTGAGCGAGGCAATTAATATGCATTCTACGCCGTGTTGTATATACCATTTTTGACAATTGTGGACCACATTGTACATAAATACTTAACCCCCCTCTCCGAAATATTTTTCTTGATTCGCCCCTGGAGACTCCCATTGGAAGTAAACAAGTATAATTAATTAATAATATTAATATTAAAGGCAATTTTTTAAATTAAATTTGTATCTACCAAAATTGTCATCAAAATTATATGATACCTATTTTTAGTTGAGCCGTTTATTTCTCAATTAGGTATGTTATTACTAATATTCAAATTGGCTTAAATTGAATTAAATTGGTTGTTCTTATACAATTTGTCCTTTAAAAACGATGAAGGAAATTAATATATTTTTTCAAGTATTAATTAGTATAAATAAATATTTAAAAAACTGTTTTAACGAAAAATAGTTGGTTAAGTAAACTAAAAGCGCAGTAGCATATTTTGTATCGACTGCAAACATATTTCGCTCATTACTTTTTGTACCTTTTTAATTTTAAATTCAAAATTTAGAAAAATTTGCGATTTGGCAAGAAAAATCAACGCAAAATTAATTTGGCAATGCAAGAAACGGTACCTAAAAATACTAAAAAACATTCATGAAATCGTTCTGCCACTCGTGATAATATATTCTTATTTTTTCTTTTTATATACTCAAGTTTTTGCTTTTAGGCCTGGCGGCTCGTGGTCTTATAAAACTAATACGAAATTAACAAGCAAACAACTTTCGTATAGAATTTAAAAATGTTATCGGTTAAATTTTACCACTGGTGGTATTAAATACGATAAATGCTTCAAATACCATTGTAATTGACATGACTATATAAACAACTAAAACTGAAAAATTTCACTTCGATGTACCTGTATATTTTTAAAATTGTAACCAAAAACTTCTTTTTAAAATAATATACCGGGTATAAAAGGCATTTTATTAAATTTGATGATGATTTTGTTTTATTTTGTAACAAAATATGAGCATAAATCATACATAATACTAATAATAATTATTGTAAAATGTATATTAACCGTATTACGGATCTGCGTCTCGGTAATTTTTCTTATCATCAGTAAACAACGATATAGAAAAAGTACTCTGCAGTTTGCTGTCAAGCAACCGGTCGAGTATCGTATCAATTTAAGTCGACTCAATTAGTTTTATCTACCTAACACAAGTACAGAACATATTTTACATGCAATAGTTTGTGGCAGTGATCAAATTGAGCATGATGTGGGCTAGGGCCATTAAACAAAAATCCCAAAATATTAAATCAGGTAAGAGTAATTTTGTGTTTTTATTTTTGGATGCTGCAATTAAATATATTGTACGAGAGAGTAAGTGAGAAATTTTACATAACTTCATGTGCAAAGCCAGAAAACCCGATGGCCTTGCGAGTGTCACTGGATTTGGCTGATTAAATTATATTTATCAAGCATAATTTTACATTGAAACCATGGGAGTAGCCAGAATTTTCAGCAGGGCAGGGGCAAAAGAATCCGGATCTAAGAAAGCATCACCCCTGGATCTCAAGAAAACAAGAAATCGTAAAAAAGCTAATCTTCCTACAAAATTCTTTTGAATTTTTCTACGAATAATTCAATTGGCTAGCGATTTAGTAGTGTCCATGCCAATAATATTTTTTCCCGGCGTTTCAGGGAGGGGGCAACAAAAAAAACCGGCCACCAGAAATTGGTCAGAATTTTAACGATAATTTCATCGCGAAGCGCTCATCTAATTTTTATAATTTTTTAATTGTAGAATGTCTCTATTAATTATTATTATTATTATTATTAAACGTACTTACAAATATAATAACAATTAATAAAAGTATAAAGTGAGGTAAGATTGCTTCGACCTGTTTTTTACATACTAGGATGTAAAAAACTTCACCTGATTAATCGAATTATTTTTACAGCCTGGGAGACAATCGAATACTTTTGTAATGGGCTTTGACAATAATAAAGCTTAAATGTAGGGACGCTTAAAGATAAAACAGTTTATCTTCTTTAGTAACAGAGATAATAACTTAAAAAAAAACAAAATGTTAAACATCCGATACATTTAAAAAAATCATCAAAATCAGATGAGCGGTTTAATAATAATGTTAGGTTCTTATTAATAAAAATTTTGGTTTTTATCATTATCATTTTTGGTATATTTCGCCAAACATCTAAAACCTCTTTTCATGTCAATCCGTTATCCATCGCTAAAATCATAATAACAAAAAAAGTTGGTTGAATATGGTCACTAGGGTGAGCCAAAAAAACTAACCTATCGGATTTATGGGTTAAAATGAACCTACATACCAAGCAAAAAATGTCCCTGCAAGGCAAAATTTTTTGCTCAATTTTAAAAGGTGTCGGTGAGCATTTAAAAATTAAGTTTTCCATTGAAATAACACGTAAAAAAATCTTTTTTCATTAAAAAGACTATAACTTTTGAGCCGTTTGAGATAAAATTTAACGTCGCGGATTCTTGTAGAGCATAAAATTTCCCAAAGAATCTATACCAGGATTATTTTTTTTTAATTCAAAAATTCGTATGTTTGAAAGCTTTGAAAAGCGTAAAAAATCACTAAAACTGCAGTTTTTAATGAAAAAAGATTTTTTTACGTGTTATTTCAATGGAAAACTTAGAATGCTCACCGACACCTTTTAAAATTGAGGAAAAAATTTTGCCTTGCAGGGACATTTTTTGCTCGGTATGTAGGTTCATTTTAACCCATAAATCCGATAGGTTAGTTTTTTTGGCTCACCCTAATGGTCACAAAACAATATGTTATGAAATTACATGTATAGGTACTTTATTATATAATTATATACCCAAATAAAAACATAAACTTATACCTACATGTAATTTCATAACAGCCTTTTATGGCCTTTGTGATTGCAAGCTTAGTTTATCACCGCAAAATGAACAAAATATAAAAAAAATATTTATACCTACCCTTGCGGCCTTGAGTTCACGGTTTATTCACCGTGAATTCACTGTGAATTCCCTGTGAATTCACTGTGAATTCACCGTGAATAAACCGTTGTGTTTGTGACATTTGTAAACGGTAGTTAGACGGTAAATTCACGCACTTTTGACAGACGGACTTGGCTTTTCAATGTCGTCGTTTATTAAATATGTACCTACTGGTAGTTTATAACTTCCAGAATAACAATATAATGTTTAAGTAGGCAGGTAAATTTATAAACCCTTTAAATTTTACTGTTCAACTTGTGAATTTAGTTTTTGTAAAATAAATGCGCTTCATCAATATTTAAGTATAAACAAATTATTTATTTAATAATGTTTATAAATAAAAAAATCTTAATATTTATTATTAATTTTTTATTTAATTAATAATACCGTCTATTGGCAACAAAATTACTATTTATTAAAAAGTAAACAACCATTTACAAACAATTAAAATAATTTATTATTTACATTACCACGTGGTACTGTACAGGGTGGTCCACGTAAGGTGACCCATATACTTATCTCAGAAACTACTGGAGTCACAAAAAATTTGTAAGAAACAAATATTCACGAAGTAAAAAATATTTTTAAAATATTATATTTTCATTTATACAGGGTGTTCGGTTTTCCTTGGGACGATACCAACTTTCTTATTTTCAATGGAACACCCTGTATTTTTTTGCATTTTTGGATTCTACCCATTTTTTTAGGTATACTTTGTAAATATATTAATTAAGAAAATGTTAATACTTTTTGAGTAAAATTAGGATTTATTAAAATTTCTCTAAATGTAGACACTCGCTAAAAGTTAAAAATAATCAACTAAAAGTTATTATTTTTTTATATTATGTAGTATCCATCTCTTTAATAATAAGTAAGCTATAAGTTAATTATTATATTTTTTGGAAAATATCATACAGGGTGTTTTCTATGTCCCGTTGAAAATAGCGATTTTAAAAGTTTAAAATCTTGTTTTTCTTCAATGGAACACCCTATATATTTTTGCATAATTGGATAGAATAAGTAATTACCTTTCATTATATATATATATGTCCTATACCTAAACCTAACAGAAAAAAAAATATTCGCATTTTTCACAATTAGTAGCTTTTTTCCAATTACCTTAGTTAAATTTTCATTATTCAAATAAATAAATTTCAATAACAACAAATAAAAATGCTTTTATATATAAATATATATTACTATAATAATTACCATACGCGCAAAGCTACTAATTTTGTAAAATGCGAATATTTTTTTTAGGTGATCCACGTAAGGTGACCCATATACTTATCTCAGAAACTACTGGAGTCACAAAAAATTTGTAAGAAACAAATATTCACGAAGTAAAACATATTTTTAAAATATTATATTTTCATTTATACAGGGTGTTCGGTTTTCCTTGGGACGATACCAACTTTCTTATTTTCAATGGAACACCCTATATTTTTTGCATTTTTGGATTCTACACACTCTTTTAGGTATACTTTGTAAATATATTAATTAAGAAAATGTTAATACTTTTTGAGTAAAATGAGGATTTATTAAAATTTCTCTAAATGTTGACATTCGCTAAAAGTTAAAAATAACCAACTAAAAGTTATTATTTTTTATATTATGTAGCATTCATCTCTTTAATAATAAGTAAGCTATAAGTTAATTAATTTATTTTTTGGAAAATATTATACAGGGTGTTTTCTTTAAATAATGAAAATTTAACTAAGGTAATTGGAAAAAAGCTACTAATTGTGAAAAATGCGAATATTTTTTTTTCTGTTAGGTTTAGGTATAGGACATATATATATAAAATGAAAGGTAATTACTTATTCTATCCAATTATGCAAAAATATATAGGGTGTTCCATTGAAGAAAAACAAGATTTTAAACTTTTAAAATCGCTATTTTCAACGGGACATAGAAAACACCCTGTATGATATTTTCCAAAAAATATAATAATTAACTTATAGCTTACTTATTATTAAAGAGATGGATACTACATAATATAAAAAATAATATCTTTTAGTTGGTTATTTTTAACTTTTAGCGAGTGTCTACATTTAGAGAAATTTTAATAAATCTTAATTTTACTCAAAAAGTATTAATATTTTCTTATTTAATATATTTACAAAGTATACCTAAAAGAGTGGGTAGAATCCAAAAATGCAAAAAAATACAGGGTGTTCCATTGAAAATAAGAAAGTTGGTATCGTCCTAAGGAAAACCGAACACCCTGTATAAATAAAAATATAATATTTTAAAAATATTTTTTACTTCGTGAATATTTGTTCCTTACAAATTTTTTGTGACTCCAGTAGTTTCTGAGATAAGTATATGGGTCACCTTACGTGGACCACCCTGTACAGTAATTTACGATGTTTTCACAGTAAACTCACAGCGCTTTTACGGTGATTTCACGATAAATTTACGGTACTTTGACAGTGAATTTGCGGTGATTTTGCAAACTTGAGGTCACCGTGAACTTACCGTGAAATCACTGTGAATTAACCGTGAAATCACCGTGAATTTATCGCAAAAACAGCGTGAGTTCACCGTTTAATTACTGTCTACAAATGTCACAAATGGACGGTATATTCACTGCACATAAACGGTGTATTCACGGTGAATTCACGCAAACGGTGAATTCACGGTGTAAATAAATAAATATCTAATAAATTACGTTGAAGGCCTTCAACGTAATTTATTAAAAAAAAAATGTGAAGAAAAAAAATCAGTTTTTTCGGAAAATTGGCCACAATTGGCAACGCGTTGGCACAAAAAAGAATAAAATGTATTACGGAGATTCTGAACAACTTTTTTGGACTTCGACACCCGAAAAATGTTGTCCACGAAACACAGTGGTTTCGATAAACTATAAAAATACGATTGTCACAAAGAAAGTAACAGCACACCTAGCTCAACTGTTCTACTTGCAATTATAGTCTGTCTTTTTTTTATTTCAATTTTTTTTTCATAGGTTCGTAGCCATTTAAAATCACGCCTCGCAATTTTGTCGCTCCAGCAAGCGACAAACTTTTATCGAGTCGCGTACAAGGTACAATTGTAAGTTCAAGTTACAATTGTAAGTTCAAGTTACAATTGTAAGTTCAAGTTACAATTGTAAGTTCAAGTTACAATAATTGTAAGTTCAAGTTATAATTATAGAATAAAAATTGCAAAAATCAAAGTTAGTTTTGGCTAAAACCTATAAAATTTTTGTTGGCCCTTCTACGCCTTCGTACTTAATCCCGTCAAAAACTTTTCGAGTTGTTTTTTTTCTATTTTTTTCAATTAATCAATTAATTGAATTTGACGTGAGTCTTATAAAGTGAAGAGGAAATGTACTCTAAATAGGTTCTCCAAAAATAGATCTAGAGTCTCGTTTCAACCTTTCAGATAAAACTTTACGCCTTCTAGTGGCTACCCCGAGCAACTTCGTGTATACATAGACGTCACCCTGCATATTTTTTATGACTTCTTACGCATAATTTTAAGACAAAGTTATTATGTATACTTAAATATTTTAATTTCTATTGCCTTAGGGTCCTTAAGGGCTGCTAGTAGCCTGTTTCCTGGAGAACCAAGTGGTCCACATGTCCAAACAGAAATTCCCGGACCCAAATCCAAAAAACTTCATGCTGACTTAAACGCTATTCAGGTAGATCTCTTGCTAATATTTTATTATTATATGTTCTATGAATTATATTACCTAGCTAGCAAAACTGGTACCTACAGCTAGTCTATAAAATTTGTTTCCATGGAAAGGTAAAGAAAAAAAAATGGTGGAATAAAACTGAATAGTTGCAACTATTCAGTTTTATTCCACCATTTTTTTCTTAACGTTCTTCAGAACATATTTATTTTTATTAACATACGATTCATTTTAACTGATAAATATTTTTGACAACGTAATATAAACATAACATTAAAAAATTGTCGTTTTTCAATATTTCAGCAAGCTGGGGCGGTTCAATTTTTCGCAGACTACGACAAATCCATTGGAAATTATATCGTAGATGTCGATGGAAATGTTTTATTGGACTCTTATACCCAAATTTCTTCAGTTCCTATTGGATACAACCATCCAGAAATGCTTAAAGTATTCGAGGACCAAAGCAACTTGGTAAGTGACAAGTAATAAAATGGATACCAATACGGCTGTTTAGTCTCTGACTGAAAAATGTTAAAGATGTAAAAAGTTTTTACATCTTTAACATTTTTCAGTCAGAGACTAAACAGCCGTATTTAACTTTAACGTTAAATTTATTGACAAAAACACGATATACTGCTGTGAAGAAATGGGTTTCGAAGCTGCAGTTACCAATTTTATCAATATATAGATCTCCATAAGCTAATTTAGAAATATTTATCAACAAACTAAGTAAAGCACTAAATAAGATGTACAAAACAAGTAATGAGCTCATGCTAGCATATAGTAGATTGTAGATCGGAAACAACAGAAGTAGAGATTGGAGTCCCACAAGGGTCTATTCTTGGCCCTGTGCTCTTCATTCTGTATATTAATGACCTTAGTAATATCTCAGCAAACATGGTTATGTATGCTGATGATACTTCTCTGCTGGTTTCAGGAGGGAAAGTACAGGTAACAGCTAATATTCTTCTAGACCGCATGTCTAAGTGGTTTGCTTCAAATAAATTATGTCTGAACACCAGTAAAACAAATACATCAGATTCCACACTAGACAAAATTCTGCTAATCTAAATCTGAACTTGTCAGACATCCCTTGAATGTGTACCAACCACCAAGTTTCTGGAAATATATATTAATGAAAATCTTCAATACATTGTAATAAGTTAATAACCGCACTAAATGTAGTGCATTTTCAACTTAGAAACTTAAAATATGTGCTACCCAGTAAACATTCGTGAATTCACAATGGATTCACATGAAGGCATTTTCAATTCATTTCACTTCATCGTGGATTCAGGGTGCCCTCAGATGACGACAAAATATGAAGTCACTGTGAATTCATATGGATTCATTTTACGTTCATATGAATTCACGAGTGGATTTCGGATGAACCTATATGAAGTCACCGTGACTTCATAAATTAAGGGTATCTGAAGGTACTGTAAACCCAGTATGAGTATGAGTATGAGTATGAGTATGAGTATAAGAGACGTATAACCAGCCCCATTTCCTCTTGACTCTCGAACCCCGTACAGGCCTATGTTTACTTACGCCGATTTTTGTTCTTCCCCAGCAACTGCACGGCTTCACCCGTGTTTGCTGGGTGCGAATGTCCATTGCGTTCCGTACTGTCCCCTATATGGGGCTCGAGAGCGAGAGGCGAATAGTTTTAATAGCCGTTCCCGGGTTCGCCGAGCCTATGCTATACGCTCAGTGGGGTATGGAGGAGGGACGGGAAGGTGTTGGTTTTTGGGGGACAATTACGCCGACTTAAAACTAAGTACGACGCGGAATCCCCCTAGACCAGTCGATTAGTATTACTCCAAACATTTGGGATTACTATTTGGAGTTGGGGAGTTGTTATTTCGCTGCAGGGGTGTAGTTTCCTAGTCGAGGTCTTTGTCTTGTTCGTTATTGTCATTGTCCGTGTCCTGATCAGATAGTTCCTGCACTTGGTAAAGTGTGTCAGTTGTTTTTAATAAATTTTGTCACAAGCACGTTTTGTGATAGAGTTTTGTCTTTTTATTATTAATTTCCAAACTTAAGCATTGCATTTATTTATTAGTTAAACAAATTACAAGCGCGATTATCTGTTGTCCAATGTTTACAAATCTCGAGTTTGGCTATTAGGCTTTTTTTTTAATGTTAGAATTATTAATGCGTTAGTTCACTCCGTGAGTCTAGTGTTTATTTTCGGTCTCGATTGGGATTGCCTTACGCATTTGTTGTTGACAGATCTATTGCCCCATTCCGTGTGCCTTTCGTAGGTTTTAAAGATATCCCAATAAACACTTTAACGATACCTATCACCACCAACATTGCCCGTGTAAGAATTTTTAATACTTTTTAATACAATTTTGCAATGATAGTAATTAAAAACAAAACAATTGTTTAAAGAGTAAAATATGTTCTTAACATAATCATATTTTAAAGTTATTTTAACATTTTCAAGTAAATAAATGTTATGTTTAATAAAATGAATAACGGGCAATGTTAATGGTGACAAATAACGGAAAATGTTTGCTGGGATCTGCCGTATTTAAATTGCAGATTTGTATCAGGTCATGCATATTCTCAAAGTAACTTATCAGCTTTTTTTTTGCGGATGGCCACCTCCCCTCTTGCTTGACCTCCCCTGTCCGTCCAGTGAAAAGCCTCCAATGACAGGTGGCACTTAACTCATTCATATCACTCAACACTTTACTCCTCAATGACCGTTACACCATTTTAGTTTGCACTCTATGAAAATGTCTGTTTCACTTATTAGTTTGCACTTTTTTTATAATTATTGTTGGTTTTATCTTTAAACTCTTACGCTTCAAGAGCTTACCCGCACGCGACGTGTCTTCTGAAGCGCTGGAACCGAACTGTGGTACTGTGAACCCAGTATATAGATTTATACAAAAGTGTATAATTATTACTATTTTTAGTAAATATTAATATAGAGTAATAATAATTATTATAATAATAGTAATAATAATATACTTCTGCATTATTAATAATGCAAAAGTATAAAAAAACATATATTTTGATAAAAAAATAAACATAAATTCTTAATAAGAAATAAAAAAGTATAAAAAAATAAAAATATTACATAAATATGTTATATATAAATAAAAATTAATATGTTATACATAAATAAAAATTAATTGTTAAAAAAACAATTATGATTACAAAGATACAGATACGGATATATCTGTATCCGTATCTGTATCGGACGACTCTTCAAATGACTCCACGCTTTTTTCGACATCGGCCCGATGTTTTTTTTTGACATCGGCCTGTTGTTGTTCCGTTCCATTTATCTGTATGAACGAAATTTTTAAATATTAGACAACTACCTGAATCACTATGATATGCTATCTTACTTGGGTCCTTAGCTTTCGGATTCGTTGTCTGGTGGCCTTGAAAACAGCCTGCATATGACGGGAAAACATTGCTACCCTTTTATTTTCCTCGCATCCACAAAATAAATTACATTTACAATCACAAAATTGTACAATACAAAGAACGTTTTTTTCTAAATGTAACATTACTCCTGCCTATTAATATGACAACTTTATATATGTTGGCTGTTTTAGTTCTTTAGCTGGATTTATACCTACACTTACCTTTGATTATCAAACACAAACACAAATAATTACTTCCTCATGAAATTTTCCTGGTTTCTTCTATGATTTCCTTCTCGTCGCAAACTACGTAGTATATATAAATTTTAGGGTTAGAAGCAGACTCTTAGAAGACTATTGCGCATGTGTAGTACACACAACATTTGTACTGTAATACGAGGGTATGTCGAATGATACCTACTGTCCGTTCAGGCTAAGTTGAGCGGTCTAAGGAATGTCAAGCCGTTCATCATCTCTATGTTCAGGCACAATTAAATACATGTATTTTGGTAGCCCCTCTGTACGAACAAACGGCAAGCTGCGGCACTGATAAATCATCTTCTTGTCACCAAAATCTCGCGACGATTCGATATTTAATTTAATCAACAGCCATATGATCCCCCGCCAAAGCGCTCAACTTAGCCTGAACGGACTGTACAGGTGTTAATAAAAAAGCTTTGTTAAATCTGAAATATGTAATTTCCGTGGTAACCAACCTTTCATAATATGAAAAAAAATTAATTTGCTTTTCGTCTTAGGTGCTGTATGGGTACATTTGTTTGAATTTATCTTAATTACAAAATGACATAATTAACAATTATTAATAATTATAATTATAATTAATTATTATTGTTAATTGGGTCATTTTGTAATTAAGATAAATTCAAAGATGTAATTAAGGTAAATGCAAAATAAATGTATACATCGCTATAGCGACTTAAGTCGCTATATACAAACATTTTTGTATACATGTATGATGCATCGCTATAGCGACTTTTTTTGACAGAATCTGGTAACACCTGCTGCAGCAGTACTGCGGTGGGATCCATGCTCACTTCACATAAATTCACATCAGCGTAATTTTGTAAATTCCACGGCCGTGAACAAAATGCGGATCCACGTAAACTTCACCAAGATTCACATTAATTTAATGGGTTAATAAATTCCACGGTCGTGAACTGGAAGTGAATCAATCGTGGATCCAGGCGAAGTTCACATAACTTCACATCAGCGTCATTTCATAAATTCCACGGCCGTGAACTGGATGTGAATAAAAAGTGGATCCACGCAAAGTTCATGTCAACTTCATTTAGTAAATTCCACGGCCATGAACTGGAAGTGTATCAATCGTGGATCCAGGCGAAGTTCACATAACTTCACATCAGCGTTATTTCATAAATTCCACGGCCGTGAACTTGATGTGAATAAAAAGTGGATCCACGCAAAGTTCATGTCAACTTCATTTAGTAAATTCCACGGCCATGAACTGGAAGTGAATCAATCGTGGATCCAGGCGAAGTTCACATAACTTCACATCAGCGTCATTTCATAAATTCCACGGCCGTGAACTGGATGTGAATAAAAAGTGGATCCACGCAAACTTCACGTCAACTTCATTTAGTAAATTCCACGGCCGTGAACTGGAAGTGAATCAATCGTGGATCCAGGCGAAGTTCCACGGCGTTCTCTAACCAGGCGGGAGTGTAGCCCCCACTCCTGCATCGAAACTGTGACGTCAGGAGGCCGATCTGATCAACGTCCGCCTATTGTATTACATTGCTTTGCAACCAAAGTTATGGATTATTATTGCTTTTAAGGAGTATTTCTTACCAAAGCAGTGGACAATGCATAGTACATATTTTATCAAAGCAACAGAACAATATGTACTAAGTAATTTATTAAAAACAAACAGAGAACTGCTATTAAAATAGAAATTTATTTAAAACAAACAGAACTGCACACAAAAAATAATTCTTTAATTTTAAAATAACGATTTTTTTGGATTTTTATATTTAAAATAAGTATAGTCTAATTTTTATAATATGGAATATGAAATAATAATTTTGTTAAGTTTAATTTTATAAAAAAATTAGTTTAATTGATCTATTACTATTATGAATAATTACTCTAATTAAATTTTCTTGTATTTTAAATATAGAAATTATACTCTTTTAAATATTAAAGTTTACTTAAAATAAATTAATATAGGTATTCATTTAAAAAAACAAGTTTGCAACAAAACATAATAGATTTAATTTAAATAAAAAAGTAAACTTATACTTGATTTGAATTAAGAGTACCTACCTATAATATTTTTGTGTACCTATATACTTATAACCATAAAAATGTTGGTTATTTAATGTAAATAATTTTTTTTTGTGTATGCTCTTAAAATAGTAATTTATTTAAAACAAACATACAACATTGGATTAATTTATAAGCGCAATAGAATAATTTATATTGTGCTATAAATAATAAGATTAACCAGTCTTTTTGGCTAATGTCAAAGGGCCATTTGAAGCATGAAAAAGGGGCAAATCATAAAACTGTTTTTATAAAAAATATTGTAGGTAATATAGTATTTTGGCAAACAATTGTTAAATATATTCTTCTTTTATTAGGCCGTACAATAAATAAAAGAAACCCAAGCAATACTTCTACAAAAGTAGAGATAATTTTAATAATTGATAGTCGACAAAAGAATTTTTCTGCTGAATAAAAAGGGGACGGCAAAACTGTTCAAAAAAACCTCAGGCCGGCTTTGACAATCAGTAATTCATATGAAACTGTCTTGCATTACCTCGATAATACATTAATTTTCCTGTTAGGAACGCAACATTTTCTTGGTATTTTTTATTTATTTATAATGTTATAAAAGCAGCAAACTAATGCAATAATTAAATTAACGTTAAATCAAGCGATATCAATGGAAAAGCAATAGATAATTTATATGAAACCGTCTTGTATTACTGCGGTTATACATTAATTTGCCATTGCAGTCGGCCTCCTGACGTCACGCCTCCCACTACCACACTCTCGCCTGGGATAGAGAACGCCGTGGAAGTTCACATAACTTCACATCAGCGTCATTTAATAAATTCCACGGCCCTGAACTGAATGTGAATCAATTGTGAATTCACGCGAAGTTCACATTAACTTCATTTCGTAAATTCCACGACCTGAACTGAATGTGAATAAATCGTGGATCCATGCGCGCTTCAGTTGGGTTCACATTCGCGTCATTTAGTTAAATCCACGGCTGTGAACTCCATATGAACCCCTTCTGAATTCACGCGGACTTCACATGGACTCACATTTGCATCATTTGGTAAAATTCACGGCTGTGAACCGAATGTGAATCAGTTGTGGATTCACGAATGTTGACTGGGTAGACAGTCAAGAACTTAAGAATTTCTACTACGCTCAGGGTTTCTCTAGAATGGCATATGGAATAGCACTATAGGGTAATAGCCCTAGGAGTCACGAAGTATTTAAAGCACAAAAACGTCTAATGCGATGCCTTGTCTCTGTCCCTCGAACACAATCTTGCAGAACAATTTTCAAAGAACTTAACATATTTCGGAAATATGTTAAGTTCTTTATTATTTCCACTCCCTCGTATATACATCTACAAAGTACTATTGCTAACATTTAATAATAAATATAACCTAATAAAAAATAATGAAACGCATAATCACTATACCCGAAATGTTAACCTTATACTACCTTTACCTAGACTAGAACTACGTAGGTCGTCACCAAGCTATATGGGTATTAAACTCTTTAACATGTTACCAAATATTTATAAAAAACATAAAATAGCATAAAAAATTTAAAAATCAAGTAAAAAGAATACTGCACGAACACATATTTTAAAATAATTATGCCATAGATGAATATAATATAATATAATATTATTAATAAGTTTTCATGTCTTTTTTCCGTGTAATTTTAAAGTGTAAATATCTTATCCCATAGGTATCTGTTACTTGTATTTATTATATCATGTTTTTATCATTTTAATTCTAAATATTTTCTTTTATTCATACTATCACAAACATTTTTGTAAACATAACTAATAAATTTTTATCTACGCCTCTAAATGAAAAAATAAACGGTAATTATTTTTGTCTAAGACTTAATTTAGGGTTATTTTGACATTTTGACTTTTTTATTTGATTGGTTAAAAGCAGAGAAAAACGCGTGCGTTAATGAACTTCTTATCTCACTCAAAATGAGTGGGATAAGAAGTTCTTATCTCACTGGCGTAGATAAATATTATTTTACTTTACTATACTCATGTAAGTCGTTGGATTAATAAAATTATTATTATTATTATTATAGTGTGTATCGATTTTAACGTAAACATTTTTGAGAACTCTAATCAAGGTAAACAATTAATAAACTTATTTAATAGTTATTTACGATATAAGTGGGATAAGAGCTTTATTAACGTACGCATGCGAAATTTGCCCAACGAGTGCGTAGCACGAGTTGGGCAATCGCAAAAGTACGTTAATAAAGCGTTATCACACGTATATTGTACAAATTTTTATCTACGCCTCTAAATGGAAAAATAAACGGTAATTATTTTTGTCTAAGACTTAATTTAGGGTTATTTTGACATTTTGACATTTTGACTTTTTTATGTGATTGGTTAAAAGCAGAGAAAAACGCGTGCGTTAATGAACTTCTTATCTCACTCAAAATGAGTGGGATAAGAAGTTCTTATCTCACTGGCGTAGATAAAGAATATAACCTGTTCCATACTATTAATACCTACTATAATTTTCAACACCTCAAAAACATGCATAGATTATTTTTTAAGTTATTGTTATTTTGGCGATGTACAATCTATACTGTCGTACGGTATTATTTTCTGGGGTGTCATCACATTAAAAAAATATTTAGTATGCAAATAAAAATACCTCGTGTCTTTTGGAACGCATCCTTACTATATGTTTATTGCCTAATAATCCACACTTAAAAAAAGAAATGTTCTAAAAATTAGAGGCACTGTTCTTATGTACAAGACAATACAAAAAAATTACATTGTCATTCCTTTCTCAAGCATTGGTCCAACTAACCCCAACATAATTGGGGCAAAGTGCTTCAAGCATCTTTTAAAAATTGATAAATGTTTCGCCTTGGAAATATCATTAAAAAGTTTAGAAATAGATTAAAATCATTTTTAATTGAAAAAAGCTATTGTTGTATAAGTGATTTTTTTTGTAATAAATATTTTCTGTAAAGAAACTTTATGTATTGTAAATTTATTTTTATGACATCACCATAATACGAAATTAAATTTTGTATTCAATGTGTTAATAAAAGAAATTAAATTTAAATTTTAAAATTTATAAAGTTGTTTTTATATCACCTTATAATTCACCTTTGTTTACTTTAAATAAACAATATAATCTTTTAAAAATAAACACTTATGAAGTCGAGCACTAAGTAAAAAAACTCGAGAAGGTTATTTTCATAGTTCATACATTATATACCTAATCAAATAGGGCTTACTGACCAATAGTTAGTTTTAGCTCGTCAATATTTGTTTATTAGTTAATTTTAGTAAAAGAAAATATTGTTTGCACAAAGAAGAAGCCTACAAAATGATAATGCGAAAATCCAAAGACCCATAGTAACAAAATCAAGAAAAAAAATTAAATATCTTTTTTAGAAAGCCCTGGTGAATAGACCAGCCCTAGGAGTATTCCCAGGTGCTTATTGGCCCGAAAAACTCAGGAGCGTCCTTTTATCAGTCTCCCCAGGATTGCCAAACATTACCACAATGATGTGCGGATCTTGCTCGAATGAAAATGCATACAAGAGTCTCTTTCTGTCCTACCAAAAAAGACAACGCGGTGAGACAGTCGAATTTAGTCAAGAGGAATTGGAATCGTGTATGATCAATAAGCCGCCGGGTGCGCCAAATTTGTCCCTGCTAAGTTTTCACGGCGGGTTCCATGGACGGACCATGGGCACCTTGGCCACCACCCACTCCAAAGCCATACACAAGCTCGATGTGCCTTCAATGGATTGGCCCATAGCGCCCTTCCCAAAATACAAATACCCCTTGGAGGAAAACGTTAGAGAAAATAAAGCTGAAGATGAAAAATGTTTAGCAGAAGTCGAGGAATTAATTGTTAAGTGGAACAAGAGAGGTATGCCCGTTGCTGGTATTATTGTCGAGCCCATACAGTCTGAGGGTGGTGATAACGAAGCGTCCCCTGAGTTTTTTCAAAAACTACAGAAAATCGCACAGAAATACGACGCCGGTTATTTGATTGATGAGGTTCAGACAGGAGCTGGTGCTACTGGCAAAATGTGGTGTCATGAGCACTTCAACCTGGAAACACCTCCAGATATTGTTACTTTCAGTAAGAAAATGTTGACTGGAGGATTTTACCACAAATCTGACCAAAGGTAAATAATTCCAGTTGACTTATTTAGTTTTGGTATGAAAATAGGTTTATACTCATTTGATATTTAATAATTTAGTATCTCTATTACAGGGTTGCCACCGATTTGTCTAAACCAAATTCCCTGACTTTTCCAGGAATTCCCTGACCTTCCCTGATTTTTTTCCAGACAAAATGTCTCGACGCTAGCTGTTTTATTTTTGGTTTCCTGACCCTCAATGATTTTTTCAACTTGGTTTTTAAAATTTTAAGTATGGGGCCATTCAAGTATTACGTAAGCAGTATTTTTGTAATTTTTAATTTTAAAAATCAAAGCAATCAAGCAAAGACTCCCCACTTTGGTGCTTATGTAATACTTGAATTTATTTTTCTCTTGGTGGGGAATTATACCGATTAATTAAAAAACTAAACTTTTATTAAAGTTTATAAAATTCAAAAACATTAACAAAAAATCAATACTTCTTATTAAAAAAAAAAACATTTTCTGTAGCTAATTTTTTCGGGATAATTTTTAATTTAGGTTTTTGTTTCTTGAGTTTTTATTACATTAATTTTCTGTTCAATCTGAAAATAACATTAATAATAAAATTTTTTAAAATGCCTCTGAAATTTTGTCTGCGGCAGGTCTTGTTTATTAAGTTGATGAGTTCTTATCAGTAAATATTTGATAGTACAAAAAAAAAGATTTTATTTTTATAATTTTTTTGCAGGAGTTGTTATTGAAGAAATTGATTTACTCTGGTTATTTTCTAAGGCAATATTATTATTAATATTATTATCTTGTAAAACTTTTTCAAGGATACTCTCTAAAAAAGAATTAGTCAAAAATTACATATTTCAGAGTGAAAAAGCAAGCTTTTTGACTTTAAATTATGTCATTTTTGACTAATTCACTGCAGTCAATAATAACTGTTATAGTAGTCCACATCAATGTGTATCCCGGACATTTAACAGCCAATTCTCATTTAAAATTGTCCCCTGAATCCGAAAAGACCGTCATAGCAGTTTTTGAGATATAATCAACTCCATATTATATGGAAAATTGACTAAATCTTAAAAACTGTCCCACTTTTGTAACTTTTGACGACATATTCGGATTCAGCAGACAATTTTACATAGGAATTGACTGCTAAATATGCGGGATACAAATTGCTGTTGACTAGAATTATTAGTGGCTGCTTTTTCGCTATGACAATTAGTCATTTTTAACTAATTCATTTTTATACAGTAGTATTTTCCATCTGGTTCTTTTTTTTTAAGAAAATTTGACAAATTTGTGTTCTTCGTTGCCGAAATCCTTTTTTAATAGCCCGCACTTTTATGTGGCCTATGACTGCTTGACTGATTAATTAATTAGTTTATTAATTATGCCTTCCATTTACAAAATAAACAAATATTAATCACCCTAAATTTAAAAATAGTTGGTTATAGGCATAGAAGGTTATAGTGATAAGTTTGACATATGGGCGATTCCGTACTCGCGGGTGCAACATTTAGACTCACTCAAGGCTTCTTACTAAGAAAATAAAAACTCCTTTTAAAGAAATGACTAGTCGCAGGATTACATTGTAATCTGTTTTACAAAAATTAATATAAAAAACATTTAATAAAATGTATAAATAGACACAGGAGAGATTCAAAGTGCTATCGCGGGTGCAACGAAATCGGCCCACCATTAAAGTTCCTGAAGCTAGAATGAAAAAAGTCTGTTAATTATGGAATATTTACTAAATTATTTTTACATTATTTAAAAGAATACAAAATAAACTAATTATTAACTTAAATAAAATTATTAAAAGAAATAAATATTATAAATTATTCACTTTTTATCCAGTCGCGGGTGCAACGTAAAATTATCGCGGGTGCAACTCGTCTCACTGTAGTGAATATAAACATTTCCATGTAACTTTAAATTAAAGATATGAGACCATAGATGCTGTATCACCAATTAGCACTTTCCTATGTAACTTAAATAAATTATTTGTTTGGAATAGTCGGCGATTTATCAGCCTTAAGGTTCATCTTCAGAATCGCTGTAAACATAAGAAACGCGTAACTTTTGCGTTACTTTTTTTGTAACTTTTCTACGTTTTTTTTTAGTAGCAGTTGTCAAAACTAATTTGACATAAATGTCAAAAAGTTCGACATAACCTTAAATCTTGTTTACCTTTAGTTTAGTTTGCTATTTTATGAAATTTAATGGATATAAAAGAATTATATAGCAAAAATTATAAAAAATATACAAAATAAATAAATTTGTATCTAGTAAAAAATGAAAATATTTACCTACCATTTAACAATACATTCGCCGTTTCCTCATCTACTTCTAAATTTATATCCCTTCCCTGATGATTAAGGCTTATATTTACCATTCGAATTTTAATCATTTTTAATTTTAAAATTAACTGAACCGTTGGTTCAACCCAAAAACCCGGTAAAATTAGCTAAACTCAAAAGCTCGATATCGAGAACTGTCAAACATAGTAAAAATAAACAAAAAACTTGCATTAAAAAGAGAAGAATATTTACCGCTACCAGTAACACTACTCAACTTCTGTGTTACTCAATTCTTAACCGCGGTTACTGATTTGACATTTTATGCAGTTACCGGTTACTCGCTAAAATAAAATGGTTTTAACTTTTTATTACCGGTAACTCGCTTAAAATTCCTTAATGTAATCATAAGAGTCATAAGTGTTGCACCCGCGATTCTAAAATTTTGATCGCGGGTGCAACTCATTTTAGTCAACGTTAATTTTAATTAAAATGACAATATACCTTCTATTGCGACTGAATCAAGTTTTCCTTTTATTTCTTCTTACTTCTACAAAGTTTCAAAAAATTACCAATTTATTTCTTCAAGAAAACCAAACTTTCATTTCTTTTATATCGCGGGTGCAACTGACCAACAATGGTTTCTTATTTAATCAATATTGTTAGAAAAATAATAATAAATATTTAATTTTTTTATATAAGGCAATAAACAAATATTATGACTTCATTATTCATCAGTGAAATATAACCTCAAACCACCGGTAATAGCGATTTCGTGGAAAAATTATGAAGTGTCGATGAATGGTTTGCATCAAGTCTTCAGGCGCCACCATTTCTGAGCGCGTCAAATATTCAAATAATAACTTAAGTTCTTCAAAGTTTTTTTATTATTAAATTTATATCTTTCTCTTTGTATTGGTATAAAAAAAAGTAACAAATACTGTGATTTAAAAATTTATGTCAAAAATCGTCTCCCGCGGAATCGCCCATATAGCGCTGCCATATTTTGAATAAATTAAATTTAAATTACATTCGTTAACATATTTTTTTTAATGAAAATTTTGTTGACCAGTTTTATTTATAAATAACCAATTCCCTGACCGACTTAGGAATTTCCTGATTTTCCCTGACATTTCTAAAAAATTTAAATTCCCTGACATTTCTAAAAAATTTAAATTCCCTGACATTTTCAGGTTTTCCAGATGAGTGGCAACCCTGTATTAATTATGATTATAAAAAAACCTTTAGATAGCGTTTTACTTTCCATCAAGAACGCCATATACGCATCAGACAACTAAATTTAAAAAAAATAATACATACAAATTTGAAAATATAAAAACTAAACAAAAACTTTTTAGGCCCCAACAAGCCTACAGAGTATTCAACACATGGATGGGAGACCCAGGCAAAGTATTCCTCTTAGAGGCCTTTCTCAAAGTACTCAAACAACAAAATTTGCTGGACAACGTGAACAAAACCGGTGAAAAATTGAAAACCGGACTTCTTACATTGGAAAAAGAGTTCTCTCACATAATCAACTCGATACGTGGAAGAGGTACTTTCCTAGCGTACAACGCAGCCGACGCAAAATTAAGGGACAACTTAATTGCCAACTTAAAGAAAAAAGGTAAAATTTAAAAATATTTAGATTTAAATTTTTCAAAAATAAAATTTTAGGGGTTTTGGCTGGTGGATGTGGCGAGATTTCAGTACGGATGAGGCCCGCTTTGGTGTTCCAACCTCATCACGCTGATATTCTTTTGGAACGTTTAAGAAGTGCTTTAAAAGAATTTTAAACACCCAACAATATAATGTAAATACGTTTTTATTAAGAAAATATAGGCTTTAAAATGTATTCTCAATTTATATACTATATAAAAACCCTGTATTATTGTATCATGTAATGTTTTTAGTGATCGTCCATAGGGGAAGGGATCTAGCAAAACGTAACGATTTTTCATATATACTCCTTAAAAAATAAAAGTTATTACTTTTTCGAATTATTTTTTTCTTTCGTGTTTAAAGTATCAGTATAAGGAACACAGTTACCTTTGATTTTATACGAAGTTTAACCCCGGCTGGTAAATCTTCCTTGGTAGATCGTGGACGACAGTGTCGATGGTTAAGACCCCTACCAGAATTTTGTTGCTGGGGCCGGGCTATACGCCCGATTAGGCTAGTGGACTTTGGGACAAGGAGGGAAACATTTTGGTTTTTAGGGGACGTTAGACTGACCCAAAACTAAGTACAATCCAGAATTCCCCTCAGCCAGATTCAATTGGGGTTCATGAGGGGCTTGGTTGGTTAGTACGCTGTATGAGCCTATCTTGCTTCTTGAGTTACTTTTTGTTTGTCTGCGTCCGTGTCGCTGCTAAAAATTACTATGCTAAAAATTCGTAAACCGCTATACCCAAATAATTTGCCCCACTGTGCGTAACCGCACAGTCTTCAGCTGGTTGTTCGTAATGCCACTCTGTCTTAGTGAAAAATTCGATTGTTCATTCCAAGTACTGACATCAGAATTCATTTTACCAGTCGATATTTATCTACTGAAAATTCTAAAACGATGCACATTACTTATTTACTCCACTGTGCGTTTGAGTAAGAGTTTTTACTTCATGTAGCCGACAAGTGTTTAAGGGGACGTAATTATTTATGGGTTTTGCCTAGTTTATTCGAAAAGGTCCAAGTTGCTTTTTGTCTGCCTTTATGTCTTATAGCTATAGTGAGCAGGTTTTTTTTGAGATTGTTAAACTTTGGCCACGATAGACAAACATTATGAATCGAAAACTCGTCAGATCAAGATTCAAACTTTGCCCTATTATGCCTATTAAAATTTTAGGGGTTGAGCTGCTCAACTTGAGCATCTTTTATAAGGTAGAGGCCCACAAAAAAGTTTGGCCTACCCTGTGCCTACCCAAAAAAGTTCACCTAGCAATGTACTGTATACACGAGTGTTTTCCCACGTTTCCTGCAATTATTGTGTTTTATTTCAAGAAATACGCCGCTTTTTCTTTAAGTTTTTGCCAGTTGCCCAGTAATAATTAGGTTAGAATTGTTTAATACCCAGATAACATTTATGACTCATTAAAAAATCACTGAAATTAATTTCACAAATGATCTCATCAAGAACTCAGGATGAGCTCAGCAATGATTCAGCTAATGAGCTCCAGGTGATTTCACAGAAATGCATTTGATGTCATAGTGCCATAATTTAAATTTATAACCTTAAGCCGGGAATACATCTGAGAAACGTTGCCATTCGTTCGCATTCGCTGTTATTGCCAACATTGCTGCTCGTTTGCGCTCGTTCGTAGGCATTCGCAGCAACGTTGCTTGGTAGACTGACACATTTGCGAATTGCATGCTAGAAATCGTAAACAAATAGCAAGTCTGACTTCTGGTGACCACCAATACCAGTATTGCTTCTCTGAAGTTTGTATTCCGTTTAACAATTTCTGGTTTAACCATTTCCAGAAGGAAGCTAAAATTTTCTCGAGACATTCTAGTCAAGTTTAAAAAAAACGTAGGATTTAAATCGGCTAGTAAGTTCATACCATCATATCTTGTTCTATTCAAATATAAATCATTCATCCAAACAAGTCTCTTTTTCCTCTTCTGTTTTTCTTTTCGTCGTTTAATGATTTTATGGATAATTAAGTATATACGAGGCACAGGCCACTATTAAATGATTCTCAATCATTTTTATCCTTCATGTACGGAAACAAAATCAACTTTCCTCCCTGTATTGTAGCGAAGTAACAACGTTCGCAGACATTCGCAACTCGGATTTCCCTTTGATCTTTTCTTTTTTACCGACAGACGATGGAAAACGTTCGTTTGCTGTGCTGGCCGTTCGCACCAAAATTCATTCGTTGCGAATGACCACAAATGATCATCCACACTTGACAAACGAATGCGAACGAATGCAAACGAACGCGAACGAATGGCAACGTTTCTCAGATATATTCCCGGCTTTAAGGTTTTCCTCTGAACTGTGCAAGTGCATAACAGGGTTGCCATGGTATCAGAGCTGTGCGGTACTCGAGTACTTGTACTCTAATTTTGTACTTTAAGTACACAAGTACACGAGTACATTGGTTGTACTCGAGTAAATTTTTTGTACTCGAGTACTTTTGTTGTAATCGAGTACATTTAATGTACTGGAGTAGTTTTTGTACTCGGCATCTTTGTGTTAAGTTAACATAACCACTACTACATATTCAAATTTATCGCCATAATTATAATGCTTTAAAGTTTAACGGTTCGGCAATATTCGGAATAAATCCTCGATATGGGCAAGTTGGTAAAATATCATTGTGGTGCCCTACTTTATAGAGATATTACATATTACAAGAGGTAGTGCCCGTTTTTATCTATCTATTATTCTGCCATACAGAATTTGCATTAGTATTATTTTAAGTGCTTTGGTTTTTGTTATATTGGGGTAAGTAGGATTTTAAATATTATTTGTTATATTTGGAACGCTTAAAAAGTTAGGTTATATTTTTGCATTCAATCTTTTTGTTTTGGCAGTCATAAATGCATGTTACTTTAATTTAATTTCGTGCTTGCAGTTAAAAAATGAATAGGCTATTTATTAAATAAAATATATAATAAATTGCATGAATAGATATACCTATAGGTAATAAAGGTTATACCTATGTAAAAGAATAGTTAATCTATTTTAATATTATTTTTTTCTTTTTAAAATCGAAATAATTGGCTATTTGGAAAAAAAATATTCAAAACATAAATAAATACGTGTATTAAAGAAATATAAAAATGTTAAATGTTAAATATCCCTAAGTGACCTAAACCTGATATTTTGTTGTTTAACTTTTAACAACTTTTTTTGCTAGATACTGAAACCTAAATTACATTTTAAGAGTTTTTGGAAAAAGTACTTTGTACTTGTACTCGTGAATACTTTTGGATTTTTTTGTACTTTGTACTCAAGTACATTTTTTTCTTGTACAGCTCTGCATAGTTTATACCTTAAGTGTTGCCAAGTTTTGGGAATGGATTTATCTTACCAAGGCTTAAAAATTATCGTATTTTTAAATATATTTTTATAATTAATTTATGACGTGCTAGGTACATATATACATGTATAAAAATTAATACTTAGATGCAAGTTACTTTTTTAAATTTTATTAAAACATGTTTTAAATATTTTTATTTAAGAAAATAAATATTTATTTTAATTAATTTTAGCATTTTTAGTCCCTTAAGTAAAATCATTAATGACATCCCTTTGATTTCATAATGAATTCATCGTGTGACTCATTAAGGATCTCACGTTGCTCATCAAAAGTGCAACACTTATGCGTGCCACAGTGGCATCACTGAATGAATCAGCAATGATTTCACGTTGATGTCACAACGAATTCATCGTGTGACTCATTAAGGATATCATGTTGCTCATCAAAAGGGGAACACATATGCGTACCTCAGTGACATCACTGAATGAATCAGCAATGATTTCACGTTGATGTCTTAAATGATGTCATAATTGTTATCTGGGTATTTACAAGGTCTAAACCACGCACGGGTGTTGGTTCTGTTTGAGGTGCTTCTTTGTTTAAGGCTTCTACTTTAAGCAGGAAGTCAATACTTATAAAGTTGGAAATAAAACGTGCTTTTGTAGATTTTGGTTGGCAGATGACGTCACATAAAATGCGCATCAGCATACCGTCGTTTGTACATTGTGGCTTTGACTATGCTTGCTGTTTTTGGGAACTGCTATGGCGACTATAATAATTGACGCGTTTCTCGGAAAAACATCATTAGTCCAAAATTAACATATTTGGGAAAATGAAAAAAACTCTCCGACATTCCCATTTTTGACCAAAGTACTTTATTGACCTACTTACTACATGTAAAAAAATGTAAGATACTTTGTCCAGAATTCCTCATGTTTTTTTTTCAAACGAATATGGAAAAAACACAAAAAATGCATGAACATGTGAGGTTTTTAGAAGAAAAAAACGAACAATTATATAATTGGATATCCTTACTACAAACTAAATGAGTAACAAAATAAATGAAAAAACTGTATTACTGCCACATTCAGTCTTCGCATACACTGCTGTTATCATCGTTGTCGACCGTGTTATCAGGACTGTCAGGTGCTATGGTCTTCTGGTCTTTTATCATAAAATTTTCTATTGCTGCAGCAATAGAAAATTTTATGATAACTTGATAAAAGACCAGAAGACCATAGCACCTGACAGTCCTGATAACACACATGTGGTCATGTAAAAGAGGTAGAAGCTTAAAAGCTGTGCAACTGACAATTTTTTTTTGAAATATCCAAAACCAGCTATTAACATAAAAAATGTGAAGATGTTCAAAATTGAAAATAATAACAGATGCATTTTTTTAAAAGATAGCTATAGTGGTCTATGGTGTTCATCAGAAATAACCAAGACAAACGAAATAAGCTTAAAGCCTGCATACGATCTGCCAATACCAATTAAGAAAACAAAATTTGACACTCTAGAAAATTCAACTTTATTAGACGAAACGGAGTGGACTTGTGATATTTTTAGAAGAACAAGCTAAATTTCATATTTAATTATTATGGAACCTATGACATTTTTATGAAAAACACTTATTTGTATACGTATATATGGAGGTTAGGAAACAGTTGGTGCTAATATCTAAATTTCGACGATATTGGACTAATGATGTTTTTCCGAGAAACGCCTCAATTGGTTTATTTACTTGGTGGAGTTCTTCGTTTGTTGCGGTTGCGAAATTTGCGTTACGATTAAGTATTTGGGTATTATTGTTAATGTTAAGGTCATGCAATTAAGATAATTTTACTTATACGGATAATATTTGACGATGTCACTTCAACGGTAATAAGTGGCAAGACACTGGATGATGTGTGTAAAACAGACAACGAAAATGTTAAATCAGTATAATGATATTCGTTGAATATCACTCTTGACAATTTATCAAAGGAAAGAAGAGGCACAGAGTCAACTCGGCATTCACTAAATACCCTCACAGCATGAAAACGTTTGCTAATGCAGACCTTGTCTCTATTTTCCTACCATTGACTATCAGCGAATTTGAAAAAAAATACGTATATGGTCCCTTAAAAATCGGTAAAAATATAAAAACGTTTTTTGGTCATATCTCTCTTTACACGTCGGTTTTCCAGACATACTAAAGCCGCAAAAATCAACCGATGCCACTTTTGAAGGCCGCGTATCACTAGCTGCATAATCACTTTCGCCACGCCTATAAGATGATGTTTAGTTAGCCATTCCAGTTGTTTCTTGCTTTATGAACCGAGTGTCAATTTTAATATGTTGTTTCCATATCAACCCTTTTCAGATGTCTTAACACAGTGTTGTTTTTTAATCTTGAATACGTAATAACCCAAAAACTACTTATCAAAGCATTTTATATAATTTTTTTAATACCCCACCACACCCAGAATTTTTTAAATAAAAAAATAATAAAAAAGTACTAACCTGAAGGACTTGCAAATAAGACAAACTTGTTTTTTCAAAAGTGTTCTTGTATTAAAAAATAAATAAACAGAAATTCTTAAGCAGCCTCACATCTTTTGACCCACTGGCTTAGACTACCGTTGATACTACTTGGAGCTACTTGTTTTAAAGCAGAGACAGCAGCAATATCGGCAACTGTAATCTTAGTTTTCCCTATCAAATAACTTGATTTTCCTAGAGATTTTATAAAATGTTGTATCAGCTTGGTTTTTTCCGGTGTTGACTTTGTGGAAATTAATGCATGGGACACATCCAACAGGGAATCAATTTCAGAGACATCAGAATCATACTCGTAACTTAGAACATTCGTGAAACATCTTGATAAGTATCGCAGAGCATTTACTTCTCCTAGGATTGGTACAATAGACACCAAAAGCTCCATATCGGCTTCAACTAAAAATATGTTTAACATACATGATTGAAGCAATTTACTGTAGGTAAATTTTAGCTAAGATGAGTGCTTTATTTTATCAAAAGTTTCAAATTATTTCTCTGGCATGTCAGCAAAATAAAAGGAAATAAATTGATAAAACAAATTCTCTGGTGACATAAAAAAACAAATATATTTTAAATTGAAGTGGTTGATTCCAGCAAAGTGGTAACAGTTAAAGCTATCCTATAAAAGTTTGTGGCAATTTTATTAAAAATTACATTTAAATATTTGGATTTATCAACTGCATAGAGTTACTAATGCTGGTTACATTTAAACAAAATTTGTGAAATAACCAAAAAATACTGAAACTGACAAAAATATATTTAAAATTTTGAAACACTAATTTTATTATTCATACAAAATGCACTCTAAATTTAGGAAAATAAATTTTTATTAACGTTAGCAAATATGGATTTGGTTATTTATACATGTTATGTATATGTTACGGCTAATGTGCAAACTTGGATAGTTTATAAACTAGCTGGATAGTTTATAAACTAACCAAACTGTCAGCTATTTTAATTGAAAATGTATTTTCAACCAAATTAGCGGCTAGTTTACAAAATAACCAAGGATCTTGGCTAATTTACTTGAAATTATTAGGGAAACTAAAATAGCTGGATAGTTTGTATACTATCTAATTTATTAAAAAAGTGAGGTTACGGCATTGTTTTTCGTTTTGCCGGCTTAACCTTAACATATACATATTATATTTTCTCCACTCTCCACAACTTTATTATAGTGAAAAAAATATTTGGGTACCTATTTTCATTTCCGATTGTCTATGGGAAGTCTAATTTTTACCATTCTTTTTCGGAAAAAATTAAATATGTATTTACATACTTATGTAAAAAATCGCATGTTTCAAATTTTGTTTTTAGTTTGTAGTACACAAAAATCTCTCTTTTGGGAAAAACAAATTGAGAAGAACTCCAAAACTTCAAAAGTTATTGGGCATTTTTTAAATTTAAAAACGGATAGCGTTTCTAAATTTGGCATACTTTAAACGCTGTGTCTAGTCTCACGCTAGCGTGAACGCAATTTTATTCTTATTCTCACGCTAACGTGAACGCAATTTAATTTTTATTGTCACGTCAAAATAATTTTAATTTTATTCTCATGTTAACTTCGTATATATAAATACAGATTAAAGCCTTTTGGTTTTTGGTTAAACCTAAGGCTGCCAACTTTGCCCAGGGGCGGTTTTAGACATCTACTGAGGGGGGGGGCGAAAATAGAATAAGCCCATGTGTAGTGGACATAATTCTGCCAGCATTATTTTATTTAATTTTACTTTTTAGGTGTCGTGTCATTTGATTTGATTATTATTTGATTATGTCATTTGATTTGATTATGTAAATGTAATAAAATTTTCTAATAATAAAATCGAGACTCTTTTACTGCAGCCAAACCAACCCAAACTCAACAACACAACCCAACCGACCCCGCCCCATTGGGCCCCCCCCGCCCCATTGAGCAAAAAACCCAACTAAAATGGGCAAAATGAACGATTTTCCAATAGGTAGTTAGTTTTAACACATCATTATTGTTGTTTTTGTCCATGGCAATACATTTTACGTACACTTGTATCAGGGCAGATTTCACAAATCGACCAAACCGCCTGCCAACGTTTAAAAAACCTCAAAACCGCGAAAATTAGGTTAGGTTATGTTACCTTTAGTGACGTCACCGCGTGAGAATAAGAATAAAATTGCGTTCACACTAGGGTGAGACTAGACACAGCGTTTTAATAATCATCAGTCACATATATGAAAAAAGTGGCTACATAGAATGCAGGGAGAAAAAACAAAAAAAATGTTCTGTGTTATTCCTATGGAAAGCTTGAAAACTTGATGATACACCTCTTAAAATTGAAATTAAGGGTTGGGATTTGGACAATTTTTAAACGTTTAACGATTTCGACGTTTTTACGATTTTTGGTTTTAACAGGTTTTCAAATTTTTAATTATTTAAGAACCGCTAATTTTTAGTCCAATTTTTAAATGCCATTTTAATAGACTTGTAATTACGGAACTTTTGTCGCCGGAAAAGAGCGATATTGCTAACGATTTTTGGTTTTGAAAAGGTTTTTAGTTTTTTTCAAATACTTTGAGAACCGGATGCAGCAGGAGTTTTTTCCCAGCGCTTTCCCGGTTGTTCTCTGGACTTTAAAATAATCCTTAGGTATCACGAGAACCCGAAAGACCGGTCAGGTTGTTCTGCGTCGTAACAAAATTTAACGGCGGAAAGAAAGAAGACATTTTAAATGCCAACTTCCTTTTCAATTTACGCGAGTGCAGAACCAAAAATCAGGTTTTTGGACTTTTGGCTTTTGGCTCCACTATTTTTTTTTGTAAAGTATATCGAAAATATTGTTTGGGGTGACAAAAAAAAATTATTGTGAAAGTTTGAGTCCATAATATTAATATTAAGAGGTCTATCATCAATTTTAGATCTTTTTCCCTGAGCGAGTTTTTGTCTCAGAACTACCAAACCATTAAGTTTAACAAAATTAACTTGGGAATGTTTTTTGAACACCGATTTTTATTGATTGCAGTTTCTTGTTAGGGAGCCTTTGGTTACTTTAAAATGATATTTACTAAAATCCTAGCTGCTCCTCTTTTTTAAATCTTTTGAAAATTCTTAATTTTTATTTATCTTACCTTTGACAGAGTACACATTTGTACACCGATTTTTATAATATTGGAGTATATTGTTAACGACACTTGGAGAATACTGTTTTCATACTGAGTACATCATTAGATTTATACAGGGTTAGCCAAAAATCACTTTTTTATATAGTAAAAAGCATAATGCACAAAGATTTAGGTATCTCCAAAAAATGTTATTTTATTTAATTTTATTCAAAATTATTTTTTCTTATAAAGTCTTAATAAGAATCCCATTTTGTAGCCTGATAAACATAAAAATATATTCTTTTTTGCGTGTTATGCCAAAATCATAAAGTTACGCTTTTGCTTTATTAAGAAAAGCGATTTTTGGCTAACCTTGTATATATTTATTGATGTGCACAGTATAAAAAAGTATTCCCAAAATCTCCTTAACAATATGCTCCAATATTATAAAAATCGGTGTACAAATGTGTACTCTGTCAAAGGTAGACTTTAATATAAACAAAAATTAAAAAAAAAACATGAAGGGTCCCGAACAAGAAACTGCAATCAGTTTTTAGCAGCATTTTTATGTGACTTAAACTTCATTCAGGCACACTGTGTGGACTTGACTGCCAAATTTTTCTAAAAAAATAAGTTTTGTTATATATTATTTCAACATGTACTTTTATACTTTTTTACAGGAATCACCAACTTTAATTTTAGTAAATTAAACTATTAATTACAAGTTTCCTTATATTAAAAAACAAGGATTTTTGTAAATTTTGTAAAAAAATCCCAAAAAGTAGACTTTTATATCACAAATTTAAAATTTGTGGAGGCATTAACCAAAATGTCTTACCATTGTTCCATATAAGCCTTACATATATTGTTGGAAGATTTGATGCCTTTGGTTTGAAGTTTGTTAGGATATCAGATAATTCTTTGGCATTTTTTGGAAGAAGTGGCACTGAAGAATGCTGATGAGTGGTAATTGACAAATTAATTTGATCTTGCAATAATTTCTGCACTAAAGCTAGAGAATATGGTGGATAATTTGGGCCTGCATGTATAACAATGTTAGGTAAATCTTCAATCTAAAATTACGTAAAAAAATAATATTATGCAATCCAAAATAAAACAGTTACGTTCATGTTTTGGAAACTCACTTTTTGTGTTGAAATTTTTAAAGTTGTTTTGTTGGTGGTCACATTGCTGATTTTCAATTCAGCTTTAATGTTGAGCATTTGTTTCTTTAAATCAGCCAATTGTTGCAATATTTTCTCTTGTCTTGCCTGTAAATCTGCCATTCCTGGTATTTTCTGATTATTCTGAAGTTGAAATCTTAAATTAATCACATTGGACTTGTAAAATATGCTTTTAAAATAAATGATTTAATGGTTAAAGCTAAAGGGGCAAATAATAAGTTAATATAACAATAATACCACAATTAAATGGCAGACTAAAGTCAACATGAGGACATTATTAGTTCCTCCTTCATTTTCATTAGTTATTTGACAGTTGTTCACAAATATTGATAACTGTAGTGTCTCCCTAGTGTTTTTTAATGAAAATATGGTAAGTACAGGGGCTGCAAGCAACTTTACCACTGTTAATATTGTTAATAAGTTACTGGAGAAAATGAAAATGTATAAAAACCTTTAAAAACTTCTTAACCTGCTCGGAAATATCCAACTTTTTGTTGGCTGTTGAAACGTGATCAGCGGGGTCTACCTCACCATTTCTTGGGCCGTAAATATTTTTTATTTTATACATACAGGTGGGCAGCTGGACGGGCACATCGTGTCGCACTATCGGTTTCGTTTGATACATTTTAATTGGACCGTTCATCTCGAAAATATCGTTTTTAATTTATTTAATTTCGGAAGCCAACTTTTAAAAAGATAAGCCTGTATTTCGATGTCTTATGTCAGAGTCATTTGTCAAGCCATGGACGTTCGTCAAGCGGGTATAACAAAGACTTATTTTACATGGCATTTCCTATCAACAATCTAGACAAGAACTTTTTTAGGGTAAATTGGGCACATTCAATTAGTTTAATAACTTATCTTAATTAGTTTTCACACTTTTAAATTTACACCTTAAACTAAATAAACTGTAAAGGTAAAGTTACAAATTTAATAAATATCGTTGAAATCGTACGAACATTGCACTTATTAAAATTGGCTTAGCCTGGCTAAAAAAATCGATGTTTTGTAAAATAACTAAATTTTCCAAGGAAATACCTACTTCATGGATGTGTATAATTTATCTTTTTGGTTTAAAGGTACATTATCAATGATCCTTGCTTCCAACAATAAAAATACAAATAAACGAGTTTTTCGCAATATCGAGAAAACCAGAGTTGATTAAGCAAAATGATGATTAGTTTTTGATTTCGCGTGTCCAAACTGTTGTGTACCCCTCGGTCTACCCTACAGCAAAATGGCTGTTTAAATATTTTAAATTAAAAATATATCCCTAACGAGCCGCCCATGTGATTTTATGTCATGACAGCCATCTTGGTTCTGCAGTGGTTGTCTATCCTTGTCTTTCCGGTGTTTACCGGATGCAAATTCAGTTTTTCGAAAAATTTTAGCACTTTTGATGCCACCAAAAATTTTGATTTTATTTATGAAATGAAATTTTAAACCTATAATAGCGTTTTTTAAATTATTAATAAAAGTCGAATATTAAAGATTGTGTTTAGTAACGACATCTTCTAGAAAACTTATAAATTAATCTGCGCTGAAATGCTTGGATTGGATAAGTTTGCTGTGAGAGAAAATCAATTTTCTTGATAATCAAAGTGAATGCAACGTTTATTTTCCGTTAATTAACGCATTTTCAGTGTGTAAACTGATCAAGTAGTGATAAATAGTGAATTAAAAGTGTAAATATAAAAATTGATAGTGCAAGTTGTCATGGCGGCCAAAGCATCGACCAATAGGAACGCTCGATGCTTCGGTCGTTAGGTGTTCTTTTTCGCTTTGGGATCGCGTCATCCGAGAAATTCGTATGCTCCCAATGAGAGAATTGATTTGTTAATGAAGGTTGAAAGGAGTGATTTTTTCGCTGAATTAGTGTGAAAAGGCGCTCAGAATGCGTTTTCCGTTGTTTGACACGTGACGTAGCCGATTAGTAAATGGCGAAAAGATCGGGCAACGACCATGAATCGTTTTGCAAGTAAGTTTTGACATTCGCATTGTATACAAGTTTGTTTTTGTAATCTACCACGTGCATTGTAACAACTGATTGACAGTTTATAAACAGAATGTCATCAAGAGGTCTAAAAAAGCGGGGTCGACCCCCTAAAGTCCAGGTCGCTGAGAGAACTAAGAAATTTCAATATCACTTACTTAAAAAGCCAAAATATTTATTAAATTTAAATAAAAGTGGTTTGGATTCTCAATCGAGTACACCAAATGTATCAAGAGGATCTTCTCCTCATGAGAGTGAATCCAGTCGAAGAAGTAGCAATCGAATAAGGGGTAAGGATGGACATCGCGCTGGTAAAAGAGCTGGATATTCCGGATCTGCATACCAAAGAAGGGGATACAATACATCGGGTGTTGAATATCACGATTCTGAGTATCATTATGGCTCAGATTTTGGTGATGATTCTAGTGATAACAACAAAAGTGAGATTGAGGACGAGCTTGGAGGAGTTAGTGAGTCTGATTCTGAAGAGTCAGTAGTTGGTGGTGGTGAAGCCAGTAGTGATAGTGACTTTTCCTTAAGTAGTTATAGTACAATGAGTGGCACTCCAAGAAAAGATTTAAAATCTATACAAAGGCCCCCAACACCAGAACCATTATGGTTGCAAAATAAAGATATTCCCACATTAAACCTTCCAAAATCATCAGATGATTTAATAGTACCCAAAGAGAAAATCATGGAAGTACTTAGCATATATGAGGTTCTTAGGCATTTTAGAAATCTTGTGAGATTATCGCCGTTTAGAATAGAAGATTTTTGTGCAGCCATTATGAGTGAAGATCAGAGTAGTTTACTAGCAGAAATCCATATAATGCTGCTAAAAGCATTACTGAGAGAAGAGGATTCACAACAAACCCATTTTGGTCCACTTGATCAAAAAGATAGTGTTAATATATCCCTTTATTTAATTGATTTTGTTACCTATCCAGAAGTTTTAAGGTTGTATGTGGAAAGCGACAAGAATTTTGATCAGAAAGTACTAAATGTTTTACACACAACCGACTACCCTTTCTGTTCACTAGAAGAGAGGGTTACAGTTTTACAGTTTTTAACTGATCAATTTCTCACCACAAATCCTGTCAGGGAGGATTTATTAAGTGAAGGTAAATATAAATTTATTTCTAATTTCAATTCAATTTTTGTGTGTATTTTGTATAGGTATATTTGAATTTAATATTAGATTGTAAAACTAATATGAATTTATCATGTATATATATAAATATACATAAATGTATTATATTATAATTTACCAGTTTTCTAAACAATTTTTTATTATCTATACCTAAATAGATCCAAAATAACTTTAATAATATTTTTATACATTAATTTAGTTTTCTTCAAAATTTATCCTATTTATTATTGAGAAAAATCAGGAAATTTTAAAAAAATTACTACCATTTAATAAAGGTTGCTTCTTAAAAAATATGTTAGGAAATATTCAATTGAGTTTTTTTATAAAAAATATGTGCTCCACATTTTAATAGTAAAGTAAACTTCTTGGTATTTTTAAAACTTGTGTTTCAATATTATTATTAATCTAGGTAGTACTTACCTATTCAATTTCAAATATTTCACATAATTAAGTATGTTATCTAATAAAATTACAATGGGGTTGGTACATGCAATTTTTGATTGCATATTTGGAATACATGCATACGAGTTTGTTATTATACATTTTTTTCTCAAACAACTTTTTAGAATGCTACAGCATTTTAAAAACTGCAATATTCAAAACACTGATGACCTTGAAGAGGATCGTGACGTCACGATGTTATAAAAGATGAATCCATCATCTGTTTCTAATGCCTGGTTTATGCAGACTTAAAACTTAAGACTTAAGACTTAAAATTTAACAATTAAGAAGTTAAAAGTTAGGTTATTTCATTGATTTCCTTTAAGGTCGTTTATGCACCATTTAAGACTTAAGACTTAAGACTTAACATTTAAGAACTAAGAAAAATGACCTTGAAAGATAATAAACTTTTATCTTTCTTAAGTCTTAATTTTTAATTCTTACATGAAATCGCATTTGCGCAAGCGTTAACTAGGGAATTTTAAATTAAACTGTTTCTTTTTCTATGGTTGTTGTAACTGAAAATTTAAAAATTCGTGTTTCATGTTTTTCTTGAAATTACTGTGCTAAAATGATAGATAGTTTGGATCCATTTTAGATTAAACTAGTAAACACAGATTATAAAAAACGTTGATAAACAAAAATATACGCATTCGCAAAACACAACGGTAAAATTTCAATGTTAATTGGCATTTGGCACTTGATACCACGTGATATTTTTATCGATTTTGATTGGTTACTCCTTAAGTTTTAAGTCTTAAGATAAATGCTGCATGAACGCCACAATTTTCGCTTAATTTTTAATTCTTAAGTCTTAAATGTTAAGTTTTAAGTCTTAAGTCTGCATAAACCCACCATAACATGTTTTCTAGGTTATGTTCAATATTCTTTTAAGTATTTAAATCGTTTGAAAATCGGGGAAAAGGGGCGCAAATTTTAATTTTTTAAATTAATTTTATCAACTTTATACTAAATTACTCTGCTAATGGTTTTACCTATAAGAAGTAAAAAGAATTTGGTTATGTTTAAAAACTTTAATTTAAAATTAATAATTTTGCATATACATAATATTACATATTATCGTCCCCAAATTCACGAAGTGGCGTATATGAAGATTTAAGTTATACAAAAAAGCAATTTTCTGAAATAAACGTTTAGCATTTTAAACGTTTATCCCAGAAAATTGTTTTTTTTTGCAAAACACAAAACTTCAAACACCCGTATCGGAAGATTTGTGTTATGCAAAAAAGCAAATTTCTGGAATAAGTGTTTAGTATGCTAAACTTTTATTTCAAAAAATTGCTTTTTTGCATAACTTAAATCTTCATATACGCCACTTCGTGAATTTGGTGACGTTATGTACTTCATTTGTAAAACTTTACACACCTATAATAATTATACCTACCTATAAATACCAATATTCCAAAACATAGTGACGTCACGCTACCGAGAGAAATGTTTGATTTTTAAAATCATTTTTAAGAAAAAATTAATAACAAAAATGTTTTTTTTATCCGTTAAGGTTTTGACATCATGTCCCATTATCCCTTTATTTATAATTTCTTTAGACAATAAATTGTTCTTGAAATTGTCTTTGGATATCATTCTTATTCTTATCAGTGTTGTACCTACACATTTTTTATCAAAATAGTAAAAAGAATTTTATTAAATCGCTAAAAATCAATAAATTTAGCACGCCCTGTATTTCAAAAACAAATAGGTACAATCTTATTTTTAATTTATTAAAATTACCAAAACTATCATATCCTTGCTTCTGAATAACCCATTTTATAAAAGTAGTGTATGTGGTCACTTTTAAACCAGTTCAGATGCAACTTGATTCATTTTTAAGATGCTCCAACTGGTTCCAAAGTAAAATTCTTTAAGAAACCCTTAAAATATTGTTTTTATTATTTTAGTCCCCATGCACTATGACGACCACTGCAGAGTGTGTCACAAACTCGGCGATCTGCTGTGCTGTGAAACGTGCCCTGCGGTATATCATTTGGAGTGCGTCGATCCTCCGTTGGTGGACGTACCGGTGGAAGACTGGCAATGCGGAATCTGCCGATCGCACAAGGTTTCCGGCGTGGTGGACTGCGTCCTGGACATCGAGAAACAAGGACAACTGTCGAGACAGGAGCACATCGGATGCGATCGCCATGGAAGGAAGTACTATTTTCTTTGCAGAAGGATTTTTGTGTAAGTGAAAAGAAACTTTTTTTCCTAAATACGATTTTATAAAAAAAATGGTAAATAATTTTAATAACTAAGAAATATACAAGGTGATTTTAAAGTTAAAGAAAAGAAATATCAATCAAAATTCTTCAAATAAAATATACTTTGATATTTTTTATAATTTTATATTGTCATTATTTATTTATTATTTGTCATGTTTTTTTTCATATAGGTACATTAAGTAATAATAGTAATAATAATAATAATCTGGTGTTTTTAAATTGAAGCGTGGTAATTCAAAAGCGTCCAAGTGCCGCTGCCGTGCAAAGCACAAATGTATTAAACAATATTAAGTAATGCATTAGTTACCACCTTTCTGCTTAGCACTGCAGTGGCACTTAGACGCTTTTTAATTACCACGCTTCAATTGTAGTTTTAAGTAGAGATGGGCAAAATAATTGATTAAACGATTATCAAACCGTCGATTATTTTTTTTTAATAATCGATTATTTTAATAATAATTATTATTATTTTAAATAAAGAATGTACGTACATTCTATCAGCATTTTTACTTTTACATTATGCCCAATATTTAATTGCAATACCTAATTATCAAATCGTAATAATTATTATAATTAATTAATTGTTATAATTAAAACAATCAAATATGTAAATAGAAATAATTTATGCTGAGTTTAAAAAATGCTGCTAAAAATTTTAAACTTGTATTGCATGCATAATATAGATCATAACATAAAAAACAAGACAAAAAATAATGTAATCGATTAATTAATAATCTACTAATAAAAAAATCGATTAATCCATTCATGACGGCTGAAAATGGCATGCTCATGCCTACCTAAAGCAACCACGAGCCAAACAATTACCCTTTGAAAATGGGGCAACCTTTTTGCCGCACCCTGTACTAAATAACATATACTAAAAATCTGTTTGAGTCATTTATTGTTAAAACAAGCTAACTGACTTTTTGCAATTGTTTCAGTTCATATTTTATATTTCTTAAGTTTGCAAAAAGTAAGTAAGCTTGTTTTAACAATACAGATTTATTGTTCAAATAAATAATAAATTATTATTTATTTGGACAAGTAGAACTTTGGTGGCATTTACATAATCTCGTATTTTTTTACATCGACAAGTACTGTTTTTGCATCTATGGTCACCTTGATTAGTAGACCAGAATAAATAACATTTTATTTTGAGTAAATCGTCTGACAAAAAATCTGACAAAACTGATTGAGAAGTGACATAGCAATAGTGATTCGCCCCGCCCACAATGGATATTAACTGAAATATTTAGTTATTATGCATAATCCCTAAAGTTTAGTTATTGTAGTATTTCAATTGGAAAAAAATAATAACAGGTAAATTTCGACGCAGTTTTGTAAAACCTTTTCAGAGCAACCCAAAAGTGCAAAATTGTAACAAATTGGGTGTTGGCTCCCTCCGCCATCTTTGTTTTTAGGGGTTGTTTTTGTTTTTGTCAAATAACTCACTATACTTTTAATTCATTTAAAAATTTACAAAGGCAAAGTTGTAGAGAATAAAATTACCTACAATTTATGTTCCAAATTTTTTTTTTTAACTTTTTGATAAATATAAAATTTAAAATAAAAACGTTGAACGTTGAAAAGTAGTTATGCTATTTTTGCCGTTTCTTTAAAAACTAATTGAAATATTTTAGTTTAGTTTTCCTGACTCAATTTGCAACAACTTTTGTTTATACAATTTATGCATAGGAACAATCGTTTGTTCTCGGGAACGCGACAAATTTCGAGTTGTCGCGAAACGCGTACTTGTTCCAGGAAAATAACTGTATAAATTTTTGAAAAACATAAAAAATTAGGTGTTCCGGTGAGGGGACCCACGACAAGCTATAGAATATACTATATACATATGTATATACTTGTTACGCTCTTAATTTTAAAAATTTCGGAAATGTACAATAATAATAGTAAGGAATGTGTCATCTGTCAACTTGGCAACGTCGCATAATTACTTGATATGTTGTTGGGTCCCCCTGTATATGGCTTGCCTGTCATCTATCATCTTGACACCTGTCAAAATGTTGCTTGGATATGATTTGCCTGTCATCGCTCATCTTGACACCTGTTATATTTTGTTGGTTCCCCACGTTATCTGTCACTTTGACACCTGTCAAAATGTTGCTTAATATTTTGTTGGGTATGTGGTTTGCCTCAACTGTATCATCTTTTTAGGTTGACAATAAACACTCTCGTGTCGGTCGGTTTATCTAAAATAATATTCTATAAAAACCGACCGACACGAGAATATTCCCCATCCAAAAACCTCAAACTTCCGTTAAGCTGGGTCTCCACCAAAGCAACATTTGTCGGCGACCATGTAGCTGACAAACGTTGGCAACAAAGTTACCGAAAATTTAAAAAAGTTGCCAACTTTTTATGTCGCAAATTGAAGTCGCCGACTTTGTTCTGTTTCCCGTCGAGAAGCGGTACATCAAAGAAAAAGCAGCCCCGCGACAATGTTTACAGATAGGTCGAAACACGTCTCCACCGAATTAGATGCGATTGGTCATTCGTACGGTGTGCCGACAGTCGTTCCATATGTTGCTAAACACTAAATGAACTTTTTTATTTTTAGTCGATAAATAAAGTCGGTAACAAAATTTCTTTAGTGGGGACAACGTGATATTTCTCGACAATGTTTATGAAAATATCAACAAAAGTTGGTAACAATGTCGTCAACTTGTGTTGCTTTGGTGGACACCCAGCTTTAAGAAGCGTAGCTTCAAAAATGTATGACTTGTTTGTGATTTTAACTGAATTTGTTTTAAAGTGTAAAAAACACCATATTTTTACAAAATACAAGAATAAATTAAGAGTAAATTAAGAATTCATATTAGCGATTTAAAACAAAATTGCACGGCACTCAAAACAACCCTTTACTAAATGTTATTAAACATTTTTAAGTAGGAACGATTTTGTAGCAAAAGTTATCCATCAAAAAAACATTGAAATAAAATTAAACTTATGCTTAGTTTTAACAAATAAAAAACGCAACAGAAACTTAAACCAACAATAAAACAAAAAATAGATAATTCCAAAATTTTCTACAATTGGATTTTCGTCACCTCTACTAATCTACCATTTATTTCAATACATTTTCATATTTGTTCTGCAGTAATGGCTTCGCAGGCTGGTATTGCCCTAGCCCGTAGTTCTTGTGCATAAGTTAATCAACGTTGATCTACGTAAATCTCCGATGATCAATGTAGATTAAACATCATTGATAATATGTAATGAAAATATGTTAATTTTATATTTGGGTAATAATTCATTATTTATACAATCATATGATCACATATGATCATACTCATATATGGCTTACCAGAAATGTTGGCAGAAAATTGATAAATTTTAAATTATTAACCAAATAAAAGATTGGGTATATTTTTCTTAAATATTTTCAATGTTGAATAATCCAAATTGAATATCGGATATGTACGTAGATCACCGTTGATCAAATTCGTTTTACTTGTATAATCACATTCAAGTTATATATGTTTACTAGGGCTGTACAATTTAGTCGGTTAAACCGGCCTAAAAAAGTTAGCTAAGTTAATTAGCTCAGCTAATTAGCCGGTTAGCCGTTAGCTAATTAGCTTAGCTCAGCTAATTAGCTAACGGCTAACCGGCTTTTTTAGTTAATTATCTCACTTATTTTTTTAAAGAAACACCAAAAAAGTAGCAACATTGCTTTTCAGCCCCCTTCCTTGGACGTTTAACGCGCTGTTTTTGTTTAAAATGTTTGTTTAAGTTTATGCAACATAAATTGTATGCAATTTTATTCTCTACAATTTTGTTTTTGCAAGTTTTTATGTAAATTAAAAGAATATGCAGTTTTTTACCAAAAAAAAGATGGCGTAGGAAGCAACCACCCAATTTTTTACAATCTTGCACTTTTGGGTTCCCCAGAAAGGGTTTTAGGAAACTGCGTCGAAATTTACTTTTATTATTTTTTCTAATCCAGGTGCTTTTTTTGTCTAGAATGACGTCAAGCAGTACTGCTTATTATTATGCATAATGACTGTTTTCGGATATTGACGGTAACATAATATTATTTAATTTTTAACTGATTTTGATACCTAAGTATTCAAGAGCGCACTAACTTAAGCTAGTAGATACATTTACGCCACAAATGTAGCAAAAGTGTGCATAAACTAAAACATTTCACGTGAATACACGTGTATACACTATTTAGTTACTGTATTCATCTGCTCAGATTTATACTTTGTTACACGTAAAACAATATAATTTAAGAATAAATAATAAAAAGTTTCAGTCCTTTTTCTTTCTAATTATTTTATTAATATTCCTGTTTTTGCCGGCAGAATATTTTATAATGTCACTTATCAGGTTTCCACCTGAATGTCTTAATTAAACTAACAAAATTTTTTATCATAAACGTTATTTATTTTCAGAGAAAACGATGAGGGTGAAACCTGGTACTATTCAACAACAACTCAACTGGAGGAACTCTTAAAACGCTTGGACGCAAACGACATGGAGTCGGCTCTGTGCAGAGAATTGCAAGACATCAAAGACGAATTGTCCCGGCAAATGGAGCTTACCGAAAAACTGACAAATCAGCTGAAAGGCAACAAGAAAACCTACATAGACGCCGAGAATACGGCCATCCTGAAATCCATTAGAGAAATGGAAGAGCAAGTCGAGGAAGAAAGGAAAGAGAGGAATAGGCAGAATGCCGAGGATATGGTGGCGAAAATGCACGAAGAATTCACGGATAGTTTGTCGGGGGATAGTACTTTAGTGGAGAATACCGAAACAGTAACGACAACTACTGTGGAAACAAAAACCACTGCCAGCGAGAATAGCGTTACAGAAACAGTAACTACCACTAGCAGTACTGTTACCAGTGTAACTAAAAGTTTTGATGGTTCAAATGAAGACGATGTAGCAGCAAGAAACAAAAGTGGCGTTTTAACACCAAAAATTATCTCGAAGATTAACGAAGACGATGCGTCCAGAATGACGCGACTCAAGTCCAACCAAATAGCCAACGGTACGTACCTCTACAAACTGGGTATGGAAAACTCCTTCAAGGCTTACGTTAATCAATTCACCACGAACGTAATCGCATTGAACAAGCCGCAGAGAAACGAGGAACGCGACAAGAAACGGCATCTGTCCCATAAATTCTCTTTGACGCAAGCGTCGGAGTTTAAGTGGATGGGCGCGTTGAGCGGCAGCAAAACTTTGCTCACCAACACGTTAAGACACACGATTTTGCAGCTCGAGCAGGCGATACCGTCGCCTTTTATGCACACCAACTGGAATTTGCTGCGGAAGCATTGGTTGTCGATTGTGGCAAGCTGTCAGCAGCCTGCCGATTTCGCCAAAGTCCTCATAGTGCTGCAGGCCTGCATTAAACCCGTTGTTTTTGCGAATGTGTGGCACGAGCAGTTGGGTTACTTGAAATTGGCGAGGGTGACTGCCAATGAACGCGAAGAAAGGAAGAAAATCGAAAAGAGAGAAAAGAAAGAACGCGACGAGGAGGAGGAGAGGAATCGTATGATTATCACGGGCTATGTTAAATACACGATGGGCTTTAAACATCAACTGTGGAAGCAAAAGGGTGAAGAGTACAGAATACACGGTAGATGGGGCTGGCTGTGGATTAGAACGCCGCGTAATTTTAGACACGTTGATTCTAGGAAGTTAGGGTTCAAATCAAATTTGCAAAAGATTGTGGTACAAGTACAAGACGAAAACGGTAAAAAGATTTTGGCTTTGGAACCTCAAATGCACAAATTCCTCACTAACAGCGAAAGCAGTAAGGATGAAGAATTACCTGAGGTTCTTAAAAACCTCAAAGTTTTACCCAATCCCAATGATTTTGAAGATTTAGACATAAGCAAAGCTTTAACCACCCCTAACAGAATACTTTACCCAAAAGTAGCAAAAAAATCAAAACTGGACGGACTTTTGCAACGCCGCGTGCAGCTTAAAGTTCTAGAGGAGCGCAAAATCGCGCAATGCAAGGACGAAGCCAAAGAGGAAGAAACGGTAGACGTCGACGCGATTGACGAAAACTCCAACGAAGGTCTTGACAAGCAACTAACCAACATGCTGAGCGGCAAAGTCGTACTACCAAACAACAACTCGCAGACCACGACAACGACAGCAACGCACAAAGAAGCGCTGAACACGATCGCAAAGAAAATTCACTCGCTAAGGACTCAATACACTTCAATCTCAAAACTGGCGAAGGACTTTCAGTGCTATTCAAAAGGTTGCAACTCGAGCTCAAGCACGAATATCGAGTCGAATTGTTATTCGCCTTTGTGCATTCAAAGAATCAAAGTAAGGAAGGAGTTGCTGACTCTTCTCAGGAAGGCCAATCTTGCCACCAACGCCTCACCAGGACTAAAATTGCCCACAATTACCACAACGCCAGTAAAGGTAAGCTACAAACAACTGTATTTCTCTAAAGTTCATAGTCTATTTTCCCTAAATCCCAGAGGTCATACTTAAGGATAACTATAAATTTACTTGGGCTCAGGGTTGGCATAAATTAATTTTGTAAATTAAATTAGATGACTTTTTTAAAAGCCTAATTCAAACTTTTTAATTTTAACAAAAAACGGGTAAAAAGTTATGCTTTGCCACATTTGATTTGAGTAAAAATTCGTGAAGTAATCATGGTAATAAAAATCGGTAAAAACTTATTTTACATTAAGTTCTTTGATTCAAAATTAAAAAAATGTCCTAAATAAATAATTAATTTCTTACTAACACTTAATTAGATTTGGGTGAAAATTGAATTACGTGTTAACAAATAAATGCTCTTTGAAACAAAATCAAAAAAAAAATTGAAATTTTGCATTGTTTTCATTTTTATTAAACAAATAAACATTTAACTTTGTTCTCCACAAATCAGAATTTTGATGTGTTTGTGATGTACGGAAATAGCTAAAAAAAATAAACTAAAGAGGAAGCTGTTATCCTAGAGGCATTAAATTTTAAATTTAGGGGTTTTATGTGTTTGGTTTAAAAAAAACAAAAAAGCAGATTTAATATAGCTGACATTTTTTCTGAAAACTTTTTTTTACAAAAATTAGGTTTATTTTACAAAAAAACGAAAGAGCGGCGAGTTTTTCTAAAAACTCTTTTTACATTGACTAAAATTAGTATGTGTTTTCCCTTCTGACAAACAGTTATGATGAAATTTTGTTCTGGCTATTTATTTAATTTTTTAGTAAATTATTATTATTTTATTTTTATTCTTATTATATTATTTATCCTACATACATTTTATTTATTAAATTATCATAATTTCAAGACTAATAAAATACGTCATTATTTTTTTGTAATATTGACTTTAAATTCGCGACCCATTAAAGGGGGGGGCCTATATTTAAAATCTCAACTTTTTAGGAGAGCAGCCTTCTTTTGTCTGTTTTTTAGCGATTTCCGTACATCAAAGTTGGTTCTATACTCAACATAAATCCAAAATTTTATATTATTTGCAATTATTGTTAATTTTAGTACGATTAAAAAACGCGATTACAAAGCGGGGTCGTTGCAACGCATTGCCGTGCTTACACTTCGCTGAAAAAATAACGATCACAAATTTTTTTCACATCTAGCTTCTAAAGGTTATTTATTTTTATACTCTTGGAAGAAAATTCAGATAATGTGTGTAGAAGAAACTTGAATGTCATTTGTTTATTTTTTTAAATAGCAACAATGCAAAATTTCAGAGGACATTTATTTATTTACACGTAATTTAATCCAATCGTTTGTAAGTAAACAATTTCTTTATTTAGGACAACATTTTTCTAATGTAAATAAATATGAAATGAATTTTTAATACAATATTTGTGAAATGAGGCAAACCCAACCCAGTTCTTAATAAGTGTTTACCGATTTTGGTTACCATGGTGAAAACCACATGCTCAATTCAGAAATTTTGACTTATTTTTTAGTAGTTTTTATCAAAATTCAAGGTTTTTATTGGATAATATTGTTTTGAAAAAACTAGACAAAATAAATCAACAAGAACAGAAGGTGCTACCTATATCATAATAAAGCTTGAGATCAAAATCACCCGATAAAAAAAAATTAGAAGCCGATAACTCCAAAACAGAATTTAAAAAAAATGTTTTTATCCTTTTTGAAAATAAAACCAATTTTTTTTAAATTAACAAAAATTAAAACGTAGTTCTAGAATTATTTTTTAATTGCTTAATTTGACATGGACTGACCCTAATAAACTTTTTTTCTAGAATACATCAATTTTGGAACAAACTTTGAAAGCAGCCCCTCAACAACCAATTGCAGCTGCACCCATTCAACCCAAGAGAGAACTTACAAGCGCGGAAATGTGCAAAGGGTTGGTTGAAGCTTTAAGTCAAGCCAAGTCCGACGACGAAGTCTACATACCAAACAAGGGTACGCCGCCGAAAATACGTCAAAACTACGTCAAAATCGAGACGGTCAAAGAGGAAGTCAAAAGCGATTCCGAGGAGATAATCGTGGATTCGCCGGTTAAGAAGAAGAGAAAATTTGAGGACCAAGAGGGAAGTTTGACGCCGGACGCGATTAACGAAATGATAGTTGGCGCCAATTCTAAACCGGAAAGCGTGACGGTCACCACAACAACCACGACCACCGTGACGAGCTCTCAAACCACCGTGGATGGCGTGGTGAAGTCGATGTCGGGTAGCGAAAACACAACCGATTCTCTAACGATATCGACAAGCGTCAATGGTACAGGTAAAACGATACAAACATTAAACGCTAAATCGTCGGCTTATAGTGCGCAGCAGAACCGTCGGTTCTGCGCATTCAAAATCGGTGTGAAACGCGAGGAGAAAACGGTTAAAACTGAAACCGCCGAAGACGGTACTGAAAGAGTGTATTCCACAATGGCGACGGAAGGAAAAATAATGCTTAAAAAGATCCCAAATATCGATCCTAAACGCAAGAAACGCCCCATCGTTAAATACCCGGCGTGTTCGACGTTCCAGACGAAAAACGGCGGTACCACATTATTAATTCTGTCAAAACACGAAATGCGTAAGCTCGCTAGAAACGCCGGTAGAATACAGGCTGCAGGTTTCCACGCCTTAGCGAAACCCAACAACAGCGTATGGCCGTACCCGTGCGCCAGACCTCTGTTCAAAACTTGCTGGGTCTACAGGACGGTCAATCTAAAGTCGCTCTCGGCGGCAGCTTTGCAACTAAAAATCCTCTGGGTGTGCCTGCGTTGGGACGATATGCAAGCCAAACCTCTATCCACCGACGGAAAACATCAAATAACCACAGAAACGGAGATTCTTTCGTTGGAGCTTCTCGAGCACCGACACGGCGGCCAGTTCATGGAAAAGACTCAGTACCTTAGAAGAAAAGTAGTTATACCTCTGGAACTGCCGAAAACCGTCAGGGAAGTCACTTCGATTCGAAGCGGTTTGAGGAAAAGAAAACGGCCAGAATCGCCGCAATCTATGGATCCCCAGGTTAGCGAAGAATGGGTCGATGAGGATAAGCTGGAGCTATGGGAAATCAAGCAGTATGGCGAAAAGTAAGTATTATTTTATTGCTTTAAATGTTTTTTTAGATGTTATTTCTGCCGTGCTTAATGAAAACGCCGTAACCAACAATTTTGCGATTTTTGTTTTACGGCATTTTCTACTAGAACAATTCATCCTGTGTCTATCCCCGGTACTCAAAAAACCGTATATATATAGATACGGTTTTTTGAGTACCAGGGATAGACGCAGGATGAATTGTTCTAGTAGAAAATGCCGTAAAACAAAAATCGCAAAATTGTTGGTTACGGCGTTTTCATTAAGCACGGCAGATTTGTGTAAATCCCTTTTTGCTGTACATAATTTATAGTAAAATTAATTTTACCACTTTTACCACAATTTGCAAATATTTTTTTTATTTTTATTTTATTGTTATAGAGTTGTCAAAAAAAGTCCGTTGTTTTGTTCATATTCACATTCACATTTTATATATATTTTTTACTTTTTTGCCATTGAAACTTACTTTATTTATTATACCAATCAAGCATAGTTTTGGCCCTTAGAGAAACAAGTTTAATTTTAGCAGTAAAATATTGGTTTATTCTAAAAATAATATTTAATGTATCATTAATTTTTTTTCAAACAGCGCCCTCCCAATTTTAAATTTATACCCTTAAAAAATATAAAACCAAAAAGAAATTCTTGATATTATTATAAAACTTTGCCGAAAACACCTTTAAATAACATGAGATTTTTTTTTTCTTGCACAGGAATATCTAATGCATATTTTTGTCGAAAATTAAACGCTCTACAAAAAAACCTTTCTCACCAATGTGCGATAAAATAACTTTTTCATAAGTTATTCGTAGTCAAAGTTTGTGCACTAGGGTATGCCAAGAAAGTCGATTTTTAGCTACGCCAACTGGGTAGGTGTCAAAAGTTTTAGTTTTACTTTAGTAACAACCCTGCAAAATCCTAAATAAAAAAAAATATATTTGGAGTCTGCGCTAGTGGACTGAAAATTCAAATTTTTCATAAAACTCGTTTTTTTTTTGTAAAAAATAACTTAAGTGAAACCAAATTAGTGTACTTAGTTTAGGTAAGGATTAAAGGCTGTTAGAGGACTAATGTCATATAAAAATACATAAAAATAATAACTTCCTAAGCCCAATCAAATTAATTTTTTAATAATTTTCTAAAAAATTGGCAAATTTACATTTACGCTTATTTTTTTAATTACCAAGGTCTAAACTTATTATTTTTATTAATAATCGATTTTTTATTAAATATTATTGATATTAGTTATATAACATTATTTAACAAATTATAGTTTTCTTGGGTAAACTTCATTTTATTATTTTTATTAATAATCGATTTTTTATTAAATATTATTGATATTAGTTATATAACATTATTTAACAAATTATAGTTTTCTTGGGTAAACTTCATTTTAACTTTTATTAAAAATTACGTTTAATTGGATTGGAAGTAATTTAAAAAAATAAGCAGAGGTTTTATGAAAATTTGCAATTTTTTTACAAAATTATTAAAAATTTTATTTGATTGCGCAGACTCCTTAGGATTTATAATTCTTATGTATTTTTTTATTGCATTACAGTGGTCCTTTGGCAGCCTTATCCAAACTAGGTACACTAATTTAGTACCATTTAGATTATTTTTTACTAAAACACAAGTTTTATGAAAAAATCGATTTCTCAATCCACTTTTTCAGCGTTGTTACTAAAGTTGACACCCACCCTGCTCAAAATCGACCCCAGTGCACAAGCAGGCATATAGACTCTGAATAACTTATGAATAAGTAATTTTTTCGTAAATTGGTAGAGAGGTTTTTTGTAGATCGTTTAATTTCCTACAAAAATATGTATTGTTTACTGCTGATCAGGAAAATAACAATTAAATGTAAAAATTAAAAAATAACATATTATTTAAAGTGGAACTGTATCGTGTTGTCGGCAATGTTGAATATTAATATTATTAATATAATATTTTAGGAACTCAAATTTTTTATCAAGAATGACTTATCTTAAAAAAATCAAAAGTAATAATAAATTCAATCCTGAAAACAACTTTTTCTTATAAAAATTTACAAAAAAAAATCGATTTCATGTTTTGCTGATTTTTAAACATTCTTTAGATAAAATCACAAATTTTGTTATGTCAATGTTATTTTTTTGACGATCAAAACTTTTTATTAAGAATTAATTTTCTTCTAAAACCAAAACTATAAAATTGTTCCTTCTTGTTAACTCAATCCGGGGACTTACTGTATATTATGTAGAATGCAAAGAAACAACACAAAATGACTAAAGTGTGGATTGGTGTATAAAAAGTTACAACATTTTCCCCTGACTTGCATGCAACTGGCAATAAAAATCGAGCAGGACCGATATTTTAAAGTGGCAATAGACTTGCACCAAAATTCGCTATGAGTATTGCACTCAATAACTGACTATAATTTATTTCACGAAAATTTTCAAATAATTTAATACAAATTTTAATGAAAAAGTTGCAATATTTTTTTTAATACCTATTCGTTTCTACAATTATCAAACTATGCAATATTAAAAAATTTGCATTTAATTTCATCCATTCAATATTTGATTTTCTTATGTTAAAACTACCAAATACAAAATTTCAATTATGGAAAATGAAATATATTTTATTTTTCTCTTTGTTTGAAATTTCGTATTGGATCTATTTTTAGAAGCAAATAATACCCCCATTTTCTAATATGTCAATGTTATTTATTACCAGAATTTACTTTATTTATAGCGGTTTTGAAAAAAATGTTTACATCTCCACATGTTTAGAATATTATTAAATATTTAGAATTCTTTTATTAGAATTCATAAATTTAAATGTTTGTATTAAGTATTACTTCTTATTGAGCTTGGTCTAGAATAGCCTAAAACCACTTTACAAAATTGCATATGTTAATTTTACAGTTTTGGAATAATTTTAAAACTCCATGACATTTATATATCATTTGTTGTGTTGTATTGTTTTTAAATAATCCAAATACCCAAGAAAACGTTTAAACCCATTTTCCATTGCAGAAAAAAAAAAATATAATCCTGTTTAAATTTTGTAAGAAAAATGCTAAAGAAAAGTAACAAACCTATAATGTATGTAAAAAATGTACATAATTCTGTGTACCCATCAGAATAAAATTCTAGCTACCAAACAACGATGTATAAACAAACAACAATTTACTTAAAAAAATAATAACAAAAACTTTTTATGTTAATAATGCCACATTTAGTATTGCATTAATATTCTAATGGTGATTATCATTTATAATTATTAATTAATAGTGTAATTGGTATTGTGTTTGGATAAGCTACTAAAAAATATAAATATATATAAATAAAGGTAAAATACTTAAATTATTTTCTAAATTTTAGATGGTTAGCATTTTCTTATTTTAATTTAAATGTTCTTTCCATATTTTCTAAACAAAACTGAAATCTTAACCTAAACCATGTAAATTAACTGTGATGAGAAACACCACCCATTCTCCCAGTACACTTGCATGTCTCTCTCCACTAACCGCTTGCCTATGTGTGTTTGATCGCAGGATTGAAAGGGCTAATGCACAAGTTATAACTAGGAGCAGGACGGGCAACCTGCCGCCGGCCCGGCCGGCGATCGAAGTCCCCGACGCCAACAAGATCACCCTCGGCGGCAAGGCGACCGCCGAGGAGATCAAGGAGAAGATGGAGCAGCAGCTGCGATTGCAGCGGGCCGCGCACCAGCAGAAGCGCGCAATGGAGATCAAGAACGCGCGCGGACAGGTCATCGAGATGGTCGGCAGCACTGCGCAAGGTTGGTATTTTATGATAAAGCGCATGTTTTACACTAGGATTTTACGTATTGTTGGTTTTACAAAACAACTCAAGTAAACAAACAATAAACTCATTGCAAAAAATTACAAAATATGAATAATATAAAATTTCATTGTTAACATTATTTTTATTTTTTTTATTAAAAAAACTTGATTTAAATTTTAATTGAAATTAAAATGGTCAGAAATTTTTTAGCATTTGCAGTGGACACCCTGGTTAATTAAATTTTGTAAATAAAAATACGTTATTAATATCTTTAAGAAGTGTTCTCAAGGTCTTCAGAAATATAATTCAATGTAATAATTTTTCGTAATAGACATTTTTAAATTAAAATTTACATGACAAAAATATTCAATTTTGAACTACAGTTTTTAAAAAATAATTTAATAATGGTCAGTTTTTTCACCACACTTAAAAAGTTTGCTAATATTTAACCTTTAATAATTTTGTATTACTTTCTTATTTTTAAGGGGTTTAGGGCTGGTTTATGAATGTGTGGTTAAATTTTCAATACAACAACAACAATAATATAAATATAAAAATAAAACTTTCAAAACTTACCAGAGAACAAAAAACTGGCCCTTGGCTCAAACAAGTTTTATAAACATACATAAGTTTTAGCATTGTTTTTATACACAATGCTAAGCATTTAATAAATTCCTCAAAAAATTACTTAAATTATCTTAACAAGATGTAGTGTTTTTTACTTTTTCCATTAAATTTTTATGTAATATATATTACTATTTTCTAATTTTATGCAGTGTCACAAAAATGCCTTTTTCTGTTATTAAACACTGTGATTGTGTTTATAACAGTGTTGGCATGTTTAAAACAAAATGTTTAAAACATGTTTTAAACAAAACATTTCAAAATCTGTTTTAAACGATATCTTAATATAACTTATTATATTTTGGTACCTACTCAAATAAAAAGGAATTTTATTCAGTCAATTTAAAAAACAAACAAGTTACAGTTATTTAAAGGTTTTTTTAAGCGTATCCATTTTGGACAGGGTTGGCATGTTTTAAAGAAACGTTTTAAAACAAAGTTTTTAAAAACAAAGAATAACACGCTTTCAAAGTTCAAACAAAAACTAAAATATTAGATTTTTTGTTGTTTAGGTTTATTATTACATGTTAAACTAACCATAAAAAACTATTTAAAAATTTAATTTAATTTTAAACAAAAAAATACCTACATGATTTTGCCAATCCTGGTTACTAGAGATTCTTATGGAAACAAGCCAAATAAAAGATTAAAATGGCTACCATGTGATAAAAAAACGTTATAATTACAAATGTTAACTTTTTCATTTTAAACACCATTAAAAATGTGCCTTTGATATTCGGTTTTAAAAACAAAATAGTAATAGGTTCTTTTGCACAGTACAATTTAAAACTGATCATGTGTTTTTTTGTGCATACAGAAATTTAATTCATACTGATTTGTGATTTTCTCCCTGCAAGTGGTTTTTGGATTACTTATTTTATTGATGGTACTTCTAATTTTGTTGTTTGTAGAATATTGTCAACCCAACCCACACTTGAGTTGTGTAGAATCAAAACCGCACCACTAGTATAAAAAATGCAAAAAAAAACGTTAAAACCCAGAATAGGTCTATTCTGTAACCAAATAATCCTGTGCCTACATTATACAGTGTGTAATGGTAAAAGAATAAAACGTATAATATCTTATTATGGCCCAGGCACATATATATTAGCATTAAACAAAAAAAACTTTTATGAGGCTTCAGGGATTGGCCCATTATTCACTGTGATTTGGTTTTAAATTGGGAAAAACGTTCTCTTTATTTTCAATCTAATTGTCATGTACAACTGCATTAAGTTAATAAATATTTCCTTATAAACTAAATATTCTAATAACCTTTTGATTCATGAGAGTACCATACATAAACGAAAATAACACATAAAGTTATGAAAAACAATACAACTTGAAAATAAAATGTTGTTTGCCATTTGACCCAGAATCTTTTAGTGCTTTGCTCAATTGTATGCCTCCACTATGAGTCGACCATCAAACTTTGAGCTTAGCACAAGAAACTATTTATTTTCATTTTTTAATATCGCGCACAGGCTGTTTTGCAAACTAAAAATTGACACTGTGCTAATAATTAATTAATTAATTAATTAAAAGCTTAAGCTAGTCATATTTTCGTAAAATTAATAAAAAGTCACTAAATTATTACGAATAATTCTTATTTTTAATGATTTTAATATTTCTGATGTGTTTAATTACTAGAGTACCCATATTTTGAAATGTAGTAATGTTTGTTGTTTTATTCAAAAGCTACAACATCTACTACCACAAAACCAACAACAACTAATACTCCAATTCAACCAAAAGGTATGCAGAACAAGAATAGTGTTTCAGTTTTTTTATGATTTATGAATGTATTACTATTTTCCTATTTTGTTATTTATGTAGTAAATCATTTTTAATTATTATTTAGTTTTTCTGGTTCATTTTTTGGTATATTTATCGTTTTTTATTTTTGTTAAATTGATCTGGGGGAGATTTTAAAAGTAACTAATTTTAAAAAATTTAAAACCCAAAATCTCCTATCAGACACCCATTTATTCAAAAAATATCATTTTTACGTTTCTGCCAATTTTTCTTTGTTGACCAGTGTTTTTTTATGTTATGTATCATGATTTTGGTTAATATTTACAGCCATGTACTTTAATCTTATGTTTTTTTTTTAAGTAACTACTACAACTGACGGCTTAAAAATAATCAAAAACGTCGTCGGTCCAAATCAATCGGTGATCAGCGGCAAAAACACATTGACTTCCTTACTGACGTCGAACAGTAACAAACTTGCTGGTAGAAGGATACTAATGACGAAGGCGCCCGACGGCACAACTCGCGTGATAACCGGCGCTACCAACATTATACAGAAAAATTTGCCGGGTAGTCAGCAGAGTCTTATCAAGGTGCAAACCACTGGAGGACAGCAGATACAAATCCAGCAAGGAGCAGTTACAAGTAAGATCAAGATTTATGTTATTCGTTTTACCTTTATTTTATTATTGGAATCATTAAACAAGACCAGAGGGAATAATGACAAGATTTGAAGGTTGCTCTTAAACTAAAACAAATTGTGAATTTTTGTTGAGTTGACTATTTTTGGGTAAAATAAATTTAAAGAAAGGTAAATTTTGCAAATACCAAAAAAGTAAAATTCTTTAGGAAGCAAAATCGAAATTTTCCACCATAAAATTTAAATTAATAATAGTTATAATAAACAAACTTTATTGCAAAAATAAAGGCAGTTTTACAATTATTGCCACTGACAAGGTCCTTCAGCCAGTAAACGGATGTAACAAAAAAAACCTAAGTTTGAATTATTTGATTGGTAGGTATACATTTTTCCTTAATTGCAAAATAAATTTTCTGTGTACTAGAATTTTCTATTGCCCTGAACTTCCAAAGCAAACATGATTTGCTTAGAAAATCGTTGTTAGCTTACAAAAGGTTGTTGACAGGGTTGTGCAGAAAGTTGTTTGGATGCCCCATTTTGGAGATGAGGTTCCCCAATTTATATATTGATAAGTGCTGGTTTACGAGCATTATTACCAGGGTTTTCCTGATTTAAATCATTCGATTTAAATCAAGTATTTTTTTATTTTAATAATAATAATATTAAATTTTATTCATCAGTAAAACAAAATTACAAAGTAAATCTTGCTTATATGACTAGTCACACAAAAATAAGTAAGAATAATGACATTAAATACTATTACATATACAAGAATAAAATTTAATGATAAAATTAAAAAGAATCCTTAAAAATTCTTTAACAGAATAGTACATTTTATTTAAAAAAAAAATAGTGTGTTTAAAATAGTTTAAAATATTAATATTACAAGATAAAATAACATTTAACACATGATTATAACATTTTATTCCCTGATTAATGATTTAAATCAGTTTTAAAAAAAGTTTCTACAGTCTAAAAAACACTTAAAAGATCTAAAACTAAAGCACAATATAAATAGAAAAACTGGTTATTTTGTTAAATAAAGGAATATGCAAAAAAATATATGGCAGTTGCGGACGGTGGTTTATTTGTTTATAAAGTAGTGCCAATATGATATTATTATAGGTGTTATTTTTTGTATTTTTTTAATCAAAAAAATAAGTTTTTGCTGATTTTTTTGGTGTTTTTAATAAAAATCATTAATTTATTATTTTTTTTAAATCATGATTTTTTTGAACCCTGATTATTACCAAGTAAGAGAGTAAGAGATGCATAGGATTGGTCAGCAAATTAGGGTGAATTTTTATTATTTTCTTCTTTGGCAGGGATGAGTAAAATAAAGTTTACCTTATTGTCTAATATGATTCCCAAGTATTTTAAATTACATTTTGTCTATATTAGGTTTTTGTACATCACTGTTATTGGGGTCCATCCTAGTTTGTTTAGACTTAAGTGGATTTGGTTTTAGTTGCCATTTATAAAACCATGCTATTGTTTGATTGTCAGCAACTGGAATTTGTCGAAGGCAGGTTTTTTATCTTTGCTACAACAAATAAGGCTGTGTTATCTGCGTATTGTACATAATAAAATCAATTGGATAACGTTTATCAAAAAGGAACCATACGCCAAACCCTCTTTCTGTGGTAAACAAAATTTGTAATGCTGCTCAAAAAATTAATAATGATTTGGGAACCCTCTTGATCCTTTTGAGAAAAGTTCCAAATGATGATCCACCTTTTGAGCATTATTTAAAATAAGTTATTTTACAAATAATTTTACTAAGCCCAGAAAAAGTTTTTGGCGATTGGTTCCTTTGGGATAAGCGTTATCCAATTGTTTGTTTTAATGACAGTTATATAGTTTACAAAATCGTTTAAATAAAGTTGTATGAACATATTTTACGTATTATTATTGCATGGCAGCACAAACTTCAACTCCAAACACGCCGATCAAAGACACGCCGCAGCGCGTTCAAATAATGCGCACACCGGACGGGCGCATCACCGTCAAAGGTCTCATGCCCGGCCAACAGCTCGTGCAATTTCCCGACGGCAAGCTGCAGGTGATGACCACGCAACAAATCCAACAATCAGGTCTCACAACAAAAGCGGCGCCCGTCGCCTCGCTAAACAACTCATTACCACCCAACCCAACATCGACAGTCACCACCACCCCATCGTCAACACCAATGAAAACCATCACGATCAAACAGACGGTCACACCAGGTACATACACATCAGATAATTAGATAATGCATGTTCTTGTAGTTTTTATAGATGGGCGATTCCATGATTACCAACGCGACCAACAAAAGAAATGTTTTATGAAAATTTTTGAAGATATGTAATAATAATTTTATTATAGTTTTGAGCAATAAAATTAAGTTAGTTATTAAACTATCATAAAATGATTGTTATAGGAACAACATACGTAGAGATGCGACTTGAAAAAAAAAATCTCTGTTCTTTTTTTGTTTTTTTCAGGTTTTTTATCATTGTTATTTTTCAAATGTTTTTTTTTTCATGATTTTTTAAATTCATGTAGACTCTATATTGTAGAGTATGGAAAAAAAAATTTCAAAAAAAAAACACAATAACAAATTTTTTTAGAACATTTATTCATTCAAAAAATTTCGAATTTTTTTACCACGGTATTCGTTAGGATTAAGCGTTGCACGTTTTTCATCTAAAAATCTAAAAACTAGAAACTTCAAGCTTTAAATTGCTTTTTTTACGGCTCCAATACGACCATTTTCAACGAAGATACGGCTATCCAAAAAATCGCAAATAATTTGGAATTTTTTGTATCCTTTAATTTTTTCTATTAATGTAGAAGTTTTACATTGCTAAAGGTTTCTTATGTGGAAACTACCAAATAATTTTTTAGTCTTGGTCAAAATTTTCATTAATGAAAAATGTAATGTATTCTACATTTCACTTTATTATTAATATACATTTTACTCAAGATTTCATTTTGAAAAATTACTCCATTTTTTAAGATGATGTTATTTATTGACAGAATATGCTTTATTATAGCGGATTTAAAAAAAACCGTTTTTTTCTATTTTTTTTTTCATGTTTTTTTTTAAATCTGAAAAAAAACGGGTTTTTTTACATCTCTAAACATATGTATCTTAAAAAATATTCATAAAACATTTTGTCTTCTTTCTTTTTGTCGCGTTAGTAATCATGGAATATGTGCCAGCAAAATTGGACATTTGTCAGCACCAATCAGGTTCTTAATAAACGGTTTCCAGTTACTTTTAAGACACCTGAATGGCTATTACTGTAACTCTGGACACTTCTCTTTGTTTCCTTAACTTTGGACAATATCACATCTGATATTTTAATCCTGTTTAGGTGGCAAAAGTATTATTCAGCAGCCCCAGCAGCAAATAATCAAGCAGCAAATCGTCCAGCAGCAGCAGAGTCCCGTTAAAGGTCAGCAAGTTATTAAACAGGCTACTGGGCAAGTGGTCCAGAAGATGACGCCCACTAGTATTGTGGTTAGTGGTGGGCAGGTGGTCCAACAGCAAGTCGTGCTGAGCGGTAACCAGGTTATTGCTTCTCCAGCCCAACAACAGGTAACAACCTTAGATTTAAGAAATGCAGTTTGAGCTTGAAGCAACTTTCAAGCGCAAATTTAATGTAATTAAGTGACAAGTTCATCTCTCCAATCTTTTTAATTTTAGTAAATTGCTTTATATTAGTTTATTACTTTAAGAAATAAAATTGACACGGTTGTATGGAAAATCTGGGGTAAAGTCAGGGAAGTATTGTGTACTCTAAAATGCCAATTTTTACACATAATTTAATTAAATCCTCTCCTTATTTTTTTGTTTAATTTTAAAATTTTCCTTTAAAAAACAATATTAAGTATATCCCAATGTGAATGATATTACTAGAGACAGGCAAATTCATCTGTTTTCAAAATTATCTTTCTAGAAAATTCTATATTTTGTGATGAGATTTGTTGTTATGTTACAAAGAAATGTTTAATAATAAAAAAAATAAAAAGCGTAAATATTTTAAACCTGGCAACCTTGCCGCAAATTTAAAAACTTAATGTGATGGCATAACTGCTTGACCGCGATAGCAGAGATTTCCAAATTTAAATGAATTTCAAATAATTATTATGGAGGTAAATAACCTAATTATTAATATAGGCCAGTAAAAGGGTTAGAGATTATATAGGGAACCCAATACTTTTGTACTGATTGGAATTTTATTTTATTTTTAATCAAAAGTATAAATTGGATGAATTCTGGTTTTCGGATTGATACTACAAATCCAAAGTCTATAGTATTAAGCTCTTTAATACTTTTTAGATGGCCACATCAAGTGTAAGTACGGAAATAAAATTTTGGGATAAAAAAATAATTTTGTCATAGTTATTGCATTTTTTCGTAAAAAATAATTTTTCAGTCTAGGCTTTTTTTTAATATTTATAATAGAGAGAACTGAACTCAATAATTATTAAGTGATAATAATTGAATTTGTTTATTCAAAATAATAATTTGTTATAAACAATTTTTTTTATTTTTTTTTATTTCTGCGTGTGAACATATTAATTGAAAAAAAATTCTTTCAAATTTGACTGGATCGCGCGTTATGGTCTTTTACACCAGGAGCGAAATGGCGTACCTAGTTGTGAAAAGGATTATTTACAAATAAAAAATGTAGTTTTATAATGCAATTGTATTGTATATATTTAACTTTTTGATGATAATAAACAAATTATTTTTTATAAATAGGTACAAGTTCATAATCAAAAAATCTGCAAAACATTTGTTTGTCAGATTGTGGGACATAATATTAATTCACTCATGTGTGGTAGCCCAAACCACAATCCACACAGTCTTTTATCTATGTTCCACACATTGTGGCCCAAACTAGGTTTACCTAGTAACCTTTGCTGTGAAATGCGTGCTTTGCAGACCCGCGCATTTTTTAATTTTCTGCGGTGTGAGATCCAAAAGGCTATCGGAATTTGAGGTTGGGTCATCTGTCAAATTAATATTTTCTGATATAAATAACTCCGCTCCTTGATAAGTTTTAACCATTTTTTTTTAAATTTTATGGAAAGAATGTTTTGTTTCATTTCGGATAATTTCGGAAACGCAATCGGGAAATATTTGGACAGTTTTATGGAAGTGATGGAGTTTTAAAATCGAATGAGATACCAACTGTGAAAAAACATTGTTATTGTTACCAATTGGTAACTTATTGGTAGCTTAAGCTAATAAAAAACAAGTTAATTTGGGCCTTGGTCTTCTATAAGACCGTGATTTAGGCTACCGGACGTTAATTGACTGTATAAAACTGACATGTTTGTTTCATTTGTTCTGCAGCTGCATATCGTTATTTAAGCAGGGTTTTATGCGTAGAGTGTTCTTGTTTGGAGCAATAATCTTAAAATATGTTTTTGTTTTAAGATTAATAATTTTTCCATTAAATAAATGAACACCATTTGAATTATGTAATACATACTCAGAAAAAACAAAACAAAATTGTCTTGTTTCACGACATCATTCGCTGTAATAAATCACGTAAACCTAAGTTGGTATTTTGACCAATGTTGAGATTGGATTTCATCATAGTTTTTCTATGGATTTCATCTTGCACGTGAAATATACAAAATGTCCAAAGTTAATTGCTCGCCATTGCTAACATTCCAACTCCGTTGTTATTTTTCCTACAAAGTGTTTATTCCGCCATCCGAAATATATGTAATTCCACATTAAAAAGTTATATTAGAACGGTCATATTCCGTAATAGGAGTAGAAAAAAACAACTAAGAGTTGGCTTTCCTAAATATTCACATAAATAACATTTTTAAAATGGCACACCCTGTATATTTTTACATATTTTAAAAGGCAATTTAATTTGGATCAAAAAATTAATATTTGCATAACTAACAAACAATTAATAATAAGCACTTGAACTTAGTAAATTAAATTTTAACAATCAGAAATTTCAAGTGCTTATAAATTGGTCATTTTTAAGTTTAGGTTAGTCGTGCAATAATAATTTTTTATTCCAAATTAAATTATCTTTTAAAACAATGTTATTATTGTGAATAAAGGAAACCCGATGTTCAATTCTTTTACCATTTAAATCAGAAAAAAATACACCCTGTATAATTCTTCAAAAAATCTAAGGTGAGGCTGAGAAATTAATTTGTTATGTCATGCTTGAAAAAAATTGTAAAATTGCAAGAACATAAACAAATTTATTTTTTCATCATAAAATTTAGTTCCGTTCTCGCACTTGATGTGGCTATCTAAAATGTAGGAAACAGCTTAATTTTATCGACTTCGAATATTATGTTATTTTTAACTTAAAGTTTATGATTTTAAAAACAAAAAATAATTTTGTTCAAAATTATAACAGGTGATCACAAATCAAATCGTCGTGAACAGCCAAAGTTTGGCACAGCAAATAGCATCTGGCAAGGTGCAGGTGGCGACGATAAACGGACAGCAAGTTCTGATACGCCCGACAGGCAACAATCAGGCGCAAGTGGTGGCGCAGCTCACGCAAGCGGTGCAACAGCAACCCGTCGTTGCGCAGCAGCAGCAGCAGCAAACCGTGCAATCGCCCGTCGTCAAGGCGCAGTCGAAACCCGAGGGGGGTGCGTTGCAGCAGGCGTTGGCGGCGCCGGCCAAAACCGCGCAACCCTCCGCCGCCTCCGATCCCAATCAGATAGATCCGGCAACCATGGAACAGCTGCTCATCGGTCAGCCGGCCGGCACTGTTATTAAGTGCGTTACTGCGCAGGTCATTCAGACGCAGCAGGGCCCGAGGATCGTGCTGCAGGGACTTCAGGGTGCCGATTTCACGCAGCAACAGTTGGCCGCCGTGCAACAGCAAGTCAAACAGCAACTACTTAAAGGTAAGAATACATTTATAATTTGTTTGGTACTCGTTATCTGTTCGAAAAACAAATAACTAAATATTTGTTAAAATTGTCAATTTTTTTTAAAATTGAATAAGTTTAAAAAACAACTAAATATTTTTCTAAAAAAAACAATTTTTAATTGTTTTTTAGGTTTAAAGTATTAAATAAATTGATATTTTAAAAAACTAAAAAAACACGGCTTTAAAGTAATTTTTTGTTAGTCATTGAACAACAAGAAGAGAAAAGTTTATTAAAACACATATTTTAAGTAAATTAAATTATTTTTTACTTTTAGTCTAAAAATTTAGTTAGTTAGTCTGTTATAATTATGGTTAAGTGGAAGAATGATCCATGATCAAACTTCGCCCTTTTGATGTATTACTTTTTATATCAAATAAAGTCGTATTATTATTATTATTATTATTATTATAATTATAGTTTCATCCGCCATATTAAAATTAGATTGACGTCACGTATTCTGCTCAAGAATTAGTATATTCTGTTGGAGTTTGGAATACGGCATATTGCTTTCAAGTGAACTATGCAATTCCAAATGTTTTTTAGACTACTTTTTCTACGTTTCCAAAAAAAAACAAAAATAATTTAATTGGGAGAAAGTGTGGTTGGATCAGTCTATAAGTTATTAGATAATAAACACAGAGATGGAGCCACCAGTGTTTATTCTGTCACCCAATGATAGAATAATTCATTCTGTAACACTAAGGGATATATGTAATTCCACATGAAAAAGTCATGTTAGAACGGTCATATTCCGTAATAGGAGTGGAATGGGATTTTTTCTACTTACAGAATTACACAATATGACCGTTCTAACATCACTTTTTAATGTTACAGAATTACTATTCTCGATTTTGGTGTAGGAATGTCATACTCTTTCACGCAAAATTGTTCAAAAAGCTCGTTCTTAACAAGATACACAAACACCGGTATGCTGGTTATAAATCTAAACTTATGCCAAGGAGGTAGAAGGAAGAAATATAGTAAATTTAAAAGCAAACTACGTACACGTCATCAATAAAACAAAAATTTTACGCATTGGTACCAACACTAAATGACTAAATCGAAGTCTGTAATTGAATATTTGAATGCATTTTAACCAAATTAAGTTGGCAACAATTGTGATGTTGTCATGTTAACATTCAAATTTTTCATATTTAAATGACACATAAAAAAGAATTTGACGTTTTAGAATTTCGAAGCTGTCAGTTGTGTTTTTGAATATTTCGTTTAATTCGTGTATTATTTCGTTTATTTTGTTTGTTGTTTGTGTTATTTTATATCGTTTAAGTTTTCATTGCCGTTTTTGTGTTTGTTATATATCGTTTTTTTGTGTTTCCTATATTTAAAATGCCGAAGCATTTAAATAGTCAGTCAAGAGTTGGTGTCATCCTTAATACGCTATTTTGAGGCAGAACGGGATAATAATGGACCTTTGTTACCTTTAATAGCTGTTAGAGAGGTAAATAGGATTATTATTAATTATATATTAGAATATTTAACAAAATATATGTTGGATACATGAAATAATAATATATATACCAGAGAATGACTTTAGATGGCAAAATTTTTGGGTTTTATATCAGAAAATGTCTTTAAAAATGGCTAAAAACATACTTTTGGCGGTGCATCATATAGGTTATAAAAACTCAGACTTTTGACATTTTGGTATTATTCATGTAAACGCCATCTATCGCCCTGTAGTTGCACTACCACTTTCCCTTGATGCAAGGATTTTAGCATCACATTGACAACCGTGCCCGATCAGCTGATTGATGACGTGTAAGTAGTTTACTTTTAATTTTACTATAGTTAATCCGACAAAATTTGGCGGCCGCCATATTGGATTTAGTATGAGGTCACTCACCAAACCGTTTTCTACTCGTCAAACCATTTCATTTGATATCCATTATATTGTTACCCGCACCAAACGTGTTTGCAAAATTTCAGCTCAATCAGTTAGGTGAAAGTAGGTTAAAATCGACTTCCTAGATTTGTACTGAACAGACACACAGATAAGCGAAGGAAGCTAGTTAATAGAAACGTGGAACCTAATACAAATACAAAATAGTATATTAAAGTACAAGTTGCAGAAGGCCACATATTCTCGCACGAATTCGAAATTTGGCCTCGAGCGACGAAGGAGCGAGTGGACGAACGAATGAGTGCGAGAATAGCCTTCTGCAACGTGTGATTTATACTATTTTCTCGATTTTAACTTTTATTTAGGTTTTTTTAATTGTTTTGTGGTCGTTGTTAGTTAGGGGATTTTTCTCGCAAAATGTCAGTTGGCAACACAAAATGACAATATTTGTTATCCTGCACAAGTACAACCTGAACTGCACTTTTACACATTAAACTTAAAATTTTGCATTAAAATGCATTGTTGGAGCAAACTTTATATTACAAAACAATAATAAAGGCTTCATTTTCAATAAAAGTAATGAATTTGAGGTTATTAATCAGTTTGACATTTTGGGGGTACCAATACTTAAAAACTAAATGTTACCAAAAATCGTTTAAGAATGAGCTTCATTCTTCAACGATTTTGCGTGCGAGAATATGACATTCTTACATAAAAATCGAGAAAATAATTTCTGACATAAATAAAAGTCACACAGGAAAGTCCAGGCAACATTGTTTTTAAATAGTCAAAATTTCTGAAGTGGTCCCGCGTGTTTTCATGTAACCATAAAAATTTTAAAAAAGGCCATGCAAAAGTAATTTATCCAATAGTTTTGAACAAATTTAATTTGTTATTATGTAGTTATTTTTACAATCAATTATTTTGGCTATATTAAGAAAATTAATAAGAATAATGTACAGGGTGATCCCCTATAGTATCGCCCCCTTTAACTTTTTAAATTTAAGTGTCCTAAAAAATTTAAAAGTGTGGTTATGTAGGTACTTTTTCTTTCTGTTTGAACCTGTTGTTTTTTTGTTTTGGTTGAGACGATTCCAGTGACTTATAAAAATCATGATAGGGTTCTTTTACTGCCATTGTTTTGCAAAGAAGTCCCTCTTTATTTTTATAAGTTATTACATAAAATTGCATTGGTCTTGCACACAACATTAAGAGAAATTAGATTAATTTAGGCACCATATATTTTTATATGACAATACAGATATTTCAGTGCAATATAAATGTATGTGTAATAAGGTTCTTAAAAATAGGACTCAAGCTATGATGGTTTCTTATTCTATTCTAAGGTTGTTTAAGTATTTAAAAACCACCATAACTTAAAACTGTTGATTTATGGTGTTCTTGAACTGGATGTGCGACATTAATGAGATCACAAAACGGTTCTTGAGTATATTTACTATATTCTTCATCAAGGATTTTTTTATTTAAGGTGAATTATTGGTTCAAAATTGCATTTGTTTACAAAAAAGTAATATACAAACTACTTGAATAATTGTGTCCATGTCAAGGTTAGCTAATCATATCCAAAACGTTTCAGAATAGTTTAATAAGACTTCCCTATTAAAAATGCCATATAGAAGCACAAAATAAAAATTTATATGGTTCTATCTGGTTTAATATAGGAATTTAAAACAGGCATTGCACTATTGAACCAGATAGAATTCCATACATGGAAAACCATATAGAAAAGTGATTTCTATATGGATTGCCTTATAGGTTCAGATTGAACCATATTGGAGCTCTGTCTGGCCCAATATGGTTTGGGTATGAATAAAATATTACCATATAGATACATATTTAACCATATAGGGGAATCTATATGGTTTAATATGCAATTTTCGTTTATATATACATTTTAAAATGGAATTCCAAATTCAACCATATAGGGAAACCTATATGGAAAGACACATAAAACAGAAACCATATAAATCCATATAAAAATCCTTAAGTTGTACATTTTAAAATGAAATTTCATATTAAACCATATAGATTCCAAAGTGTAAACCAGGTCGTTCCATATAGCCCTATTAAAAATGCCATATAGAAACACAAAATAAAAATCATATGGTTCTATCTGGTTCAATATAGGAATTTGAAACAGACATTGCACTATTGAACCAGATAGAATTGCATACATGGAAAACCATATAGAAAAGTGATTTCTATATGGCTTGCCATATAGGTTCAGATTGAACCATATTGGAGCTCTATCTGGCCCAATATGGTTTGGGTATGAAAAAAATATTACCATATAGATCCATATTTAACCATATAGGGGAATCTATATGGTTTAATATGCAATTTTCGTTTAAATATATATAAATTTTAAAATGAAATTCCATATTAAACCATATAGATTCCAAAGTGTAAACCAGGTCGTTCCATATAGGACATATAGAACCATATAAATCCATATTAGTTTCCTTATCTGGATCAATATGGGTTCTATAGGGCATTTTTAATAGGGTTAGTATTGTGCAAGTAATCAATTTTTTAAATAAATATCGCCGAAATAATTAATACGGTATTACTTATTTCTAAAATTAAATATTACCAATACCAATACTAATACCAAATAAAAGATTGTCAAAACTTTTCATGATTACATGAGAAATGGCGGGCCCACTTCAGGAATTCTGACTCATATTCTTTATTTTCAGCCCAAGCATCGACCGGTAAGCAGGGAGTGCTAGGCCCCACCAAGATCTACCTGGCCGTGCAACCGAACAGCGGCGAAGGCGGCACCGTCGATCTGACTTTGAACTCGAACCCGCCCCCGCTCGCTCCCGTTCAACAGACGACCACCAAGGTGGTCGCGACGCCCAGCCCCGTCAAGCCGCAGCAGCAGCAGCAGCCTCAACCGACGATACAGCAGGTATGCAATTCGCCGAATAAGATGACTAAGGTTATCGTCGAACGCATTAACGTGCTTATGTCGAATTAACATTTATATTTGGACCAAACTAAGCAGACAAAAGTTATCGCCACAGTCTCGCTCACGCACAAATTTTCTTTAATTTTGTGAATTTTAAAAAGTTTAATTTTCTCACAAAAATGCATTTTTGAAGAAATTTTATGAATTGAATTTCGTTTAGAACGATTTTCAAGACGATATTTTTTACGATAAAATTGAAATTATAAAAGTGATTGCTTTCACCAGAAACAATTTAAAAGTTTTGTTGGAGAAATGAGTTTTAAAGCCCAAATAGTCGTTCTTTTTTTAATTTCTATTTTATTGTAAATATGCGTTTCCTGTCCTAAAAAGCGTTTTTAATGCGATTCTATTGATATAGTCGCTTTTGTAGTTCAAAAATGCTTATTTGTGAGAAGATTTCGACTATTCTACAATTCCCAAAACTAAAGAAAATCAAGGGATTGTATATTAGGACAAAAAAAGGTTTTTGGATGAAACAATTGAAACAAACTGTCCATAACAATGAAACACATTGCAACAAAGATGTGGTTGCAAAGAATGTTTAACGTTGTGGTGGTTCTGAGTCCACCATGAAGAAAATTTTTTCGTATTGAATTTTTTTAGATGCACTAGGGAACATTAACGATAATGATATTGTCTCTCTTGGCTTTGTCTGCTTGGTCTGGAATCATCATAACATGCATACTGTCCATACAAACCCACATATTCCACTCACTTTTAACAGGATTCTTATGCATGGTGTTTAGTCTTTTCTTTTTAATTATTTGTCAAATTCATAAAGCAACCAAGATAAGCTGAACCATCTACAGTAAAATATTTCAAAAATCATTGTGAAATGCAAGTTTATTGCGGAAAGTAATTTAGCATTTTAAAATTACAAAAATATAACATGGAAGATTGTATTTTTTGTAATAAATTGAAAGTTTCATAACAAAAAGTTATTTTAGTCATTTTGTTGATTATTGTTTAGTAGAAAGTTGCTTGTATGAATTCCTTAATAACCCAGCTTTTTTGGGTATGGGTTCCCTTAGTTTTACCAGTACAAATTTTACCAAGGATTTTGTTAAAGTCTATTTTTTTAATTATTTTGCACGCTGTTTTAATCCTTATCTGTTTATGCAATATTTGATGAGACTGGACATTTTACCTATTTAAATGTATATATTTTATTAAAATTGTAGGTATTTATATAATTTTAAATCATATTTTTGAAAGCATGCTAGTCTTAACTATTTTTTATATTTATAATTTTTCTTGTTTTGTGACTTGTAATCTAGTTTTTTAAACTTTAATGTTAAATAAACTTTGTCAGTATTAACCTATTGTTTGCTTTAAACTACCCTGCTTGCACAAATTTGCTTTGTAATTATTTATTGCATGTTCTTTAAAAAAATATTAATTGGGAGATGGTATTTTTAATTATGCCTATTAAATTATTTTCTTTAGTTATTTTTTTGTCTTGTTCCTGCTTGTGGTATTTGAAATTTGTGCCTTTTCAAAAAATGTTAAATAACCGGCAAAAAAAACGTAAAATGTTGAGTTGAATGTGAGATTCTATCTGTTTTGAATGCAGTCCTATCTCAAGATTGGCTTTTCATTTCATTTTTTGTTATTTTTGTAAAAGTTCTGTGATTTGTATAAAGACAAAAAGTTCATTTATTTTAAATAAACATATTCAATGTGCATCTATAATTAGGACTTCTGAAAAACAAAAACATTAATTTTTTGTTAACAAACTTGTTTGTAATTAGTCCTTATTATAACAATGCACATTCTGTAAGTGTCACAAATCAGAACTTTTAAATTATGAAAATGACAAAAAGATGAAATCAAGAGCCAATTTTGAGGACTGCTTTTAGGTCGTTAGATACATTACAACTAATGGCCTAGTCAAATTAGGGTTTTACTTTGGAAAAAATCATGTCTTAGATTTTTCTTTGGAGTCTTGTTTATAGGGCACTAGAAATAATGTTTTAAAAATTCCAAGAGAAATTGTGCTGGTGTGTCCAAATAGGTCATAAAACAGTTTTTCTTGTTTTGACATAAATTTTGGTTGTTATTAAACTTGTTTCTTCGGTAAATCTTCATAAAAATGTCCCTATACAAAATTTACGTAGGAATGGTAGTTCACGAGGTATGAGGTTAAGATAAGCAAAGCGCATATTTTTTACTAAATCCATAAAGATCGCGTAAATTAGTTTTACTCGATTTATTTTATTATAAAATGTAAATCTACATAAAGATTGTCCCATGCAACATTTACTTTAAGTAAAAGTTCTCGAGATATAAGGCTGAGACGCAAACTCCACTATACGCTTTTATGGTAGTGTGAGGAAATGTATGGCATCGCAACTTTTCTCAGTGTCATCTTGAAAACTATTATTCTTTCGTGAATTTTATTTTTATGTAGATTTATTTACATAACGTTAACAAATAATTTTCGAAATAATCGGGAAAAACTGATTTTTGCGACTGTTATACATATGTAAGCGTATGATATGCGACTTGCTCCAACTTTTCTCGGCCTCATATCTCGAGAACTATTAGTCCTTAGTGAATATGTAGGTATATGACCATTTTTATGCAGATTGCACAAGGAACAAATTTTATAATAACCAGAATGCACGTACAACCAATAGTTAGATAATTAAGAAAAACGTTTCGTGACCTTAAACAATTGATATTTGACAACGCCGACACGATTTCGCTTGGAACTTTTGAGACATTATTACTGGTTATAAAAAAATACCGAAGATGAATCTTCGCATCGATTTTTTCCGAAGTATTTTTGTCTTTTTTGACTGGGCTATACAAGAATCCCACATCGCCGTTGAAAATACGTATCTCGTTTTTGTAGCTAATGTTAATTTTGTTAATTTTTTAATCTTAAATTTTTTGTACCTAAGGTTAGTTTTTCGAAGTTCGTCACATAAATGATTTGCTTTGTTCCAGCTATCATTAAACCTTAGTCAACACCATTTAGATGCTTAAGATAGTATTGTTTTAGATACGTTTTGAGACATCTGACTAATCCAATAGTTTTGTTGAAAGAAAGCTAAAATAATATTTACCGGATGTTTCATTTAGAACATATGTGTCGTTCCACACCAAATCGACCACTTTTGAACACGGCCCCTTTTGATTTGGCTGATTTGTTTTTATATTTTCTACCCCACTTGAAATGTTTCTCAGAATTATTTCACCCAACCAAAAAAAAATTGGACCAGTTTTTTAAATATTTTTCTAAAAGTTTCTTAGAATTAAAAATAAAATTTATTATTTTGTTTATATATTTTTCATTTTAAATGTACTTTTCAGAAAAAAATTCGATGTCAAAGTCTATACCTTTTTTGTTCTTTTTTTTAGAAAATACATCCATTTATTCTGAGATTAATTCCGCTTTTTCCAAAGTGGACAACTTTTTTTATTATTTGATTTTGAATGTATTTTTCAGAAAAAAATCCAAAAAAATTGTCTATGTCTAGTTCTATACAATTTTTTAAGTTCGCCATTTTTATTATAATTTTTTTTATGAAAAAAACTTTAATTTATTCTGCGATTAATGTCGCTTTTTCAAAAGTGGGCTGACTTCTTTATATCAATCAAATCAATTGAGGTACCATTGTTCCATGGTATTTTACGCTTAATTTATAATTTAACCTAATAATTAATGATAAGGATTACACAGTTTGTCTTTTTAAAGTATAAAAAGTATAAAGTAAATTATTTAAACGCCAAACAATATCTATTTATTGTAAGATATAAATAAATACTAGTGAATTCTGACATATTTTGTTTTAATAATTGTCATAAAACACTAGTGTCTGATGGATGGATTATAGGAGTGTTATTATTGGGTCACAAACAAGTATCATTTTGCTCATGTAATATGTGAATATAATAAATCGTTTAAAAAAAATAATTTATTGTTAATTGTATTAACCATAAAATCATAATCATTAATCATTTGGTTAGATTATAATATATAAATATTTGAAAAATGTCCAAGAAACTTTTTAGTGGGGTAGAAAAAGGTAAAAAAATCAGACAAATCAAAAGGGGTCGGGTTCAAAAGTGGTCGATTTGGCGTGGAATTACCCACATGCAAATTGAAAAAAGGTTGTCCGTTAAAGTTAGTCAAATTTCGAAGAAAATTATTGCAATTCATTGGGTTAGAAAAATGGTTTTGCAATCATTGATTTCGAAAGGGCGGCACGGGGTTGAAAGTCGGATTTAATCTTCCTATATGGTACCCTAAAAATCGCAAAAAAAGATTTTACATCCAATTAATTGCAATAATTAATCCTAAAAAACTGGACTAAAAATGATAAATCAAAAAAATGGATTTTCGTTTGAGACCGTTATGTTTTGGGTTTTAGTCGGGGCAGGTGGTGAGTTCGAGCGGTCGTCAGGTGGTGGTGAACGGCCAGCAGAGCCAGACGTCGGCCCTCCTGCAGGCCATGAAAGTCAACATGGACACCAGCCAGGGCGTTCAGACCGCGACGGCGGTGCAAACGTCGCAATCCGCGCAGGCGCAGCAACAGCAGTCGGCCGGCGGCGCTGCGGACCAGAACAAACAGTTCGTTGTCACGCCGGACTATATCCAGCAAAGTATGTTCATTTATCAGCCGTCGGTTATAGTATACAATCCGAATTGCGCGTACCCATTGCAAAACGACTATAAATATTAATAAGAATTTTTGCATATAGACTCTTTCAACTCTTTAATAACGCGCACAAGCATTTAAAGCAATATCCATTGGGAAGGGCAAGGATTCCCAACAATCAAAAGTTTCTAAACTTGACTATCGTTTTCGTGACTGTCTGCTATTTTTATTTATCGCCGAACTGTTCATATAAATGTAGTATCAAGTAAATTGTAGGTAAACCAATTCCGAAATACGTAATGAACTAATTAATAATCGTAAGACTGAATATATACAGAGTGTTTTTGAAACAAAAGACAAAGACTGAAAGTGATATAATAATGGGATTTGAGAATGTTGACAGAGTGGGGTAAGTTATTTAATCAACTTCAAGAACATTCTGTATATTTGTTACTGTTGCATTATTGTCTGTGATTTTTATTTTATTCCTACCGCTTGACGAAAGTAGAAGATCTAAGTCGTAACTCGTAATTCCGAAATAGGGACCAAAAACCGCAAATTTTGGTTAAACATTTTTTTTTACTTTTCGCTCACAGCGTTTGGAAACTTTTGCCGTATTATATTTGTTTATTTACGTAGTTACAACCTTACCATGTAAAATGTAACTAATTGTAATCCAAAATTTATGTAATAAATTTTTATAAAACATACGATCGACTTTTCTTGTAAAACCTTGCAACTTCTTCAGTTTATTTTTTGGTCGTTTTGCTTTGGGTCTTTCGAAACTTTTGTTTACCTTTGATTTATATAATGACAAATAATGTAATGTAATCTCTTGGTTAAACTGTATTGTTATACGTTCATTAATATGTTTACATTACGTTGTTTATTATTTTTCTTTTTTTATTATTTTTTATTTATTTTCGTTGTATTATTTCCGTCGCAATCAGCAATCAAAACGGCGCTAAAACAAGAGAACTTGAATCCGGAGATTGAAGAGAAACTGCTGAACCTGCAGCGATACCAAGAGCGGCAGATGAAGCAGGAACCCGAGCCGACACCGGCGCCGAAAATTATAATTGGCGGTGGTGCCTCGATTATAAGCGGCGCGCGCCTCGGCGCCGTGCGCAAACGAGCGCCCAACGATGACTCCGATTGGGTGATGGAGACGCCGAAAAGGAGCCGACCTAGCAGAAGCGGCGAAATCCGAAAACCCCCCATTGAGATGGAAGTCCAGTAAGTAAAACCGGTTTAAAAGGAGAATCTTGTAAGAAGTTTTAGAGTTTATTTATATTTTCAAGTCAATAGAAAATATAATCATTATTAACAAAATATTTTGTTAAAAAATCGATATTTTTATATTAAATTAAAAAAAGCTTTTAAGAAAATTCAGAAACAATTCTCCTATATCCTGCATAATAATATTTTTTGTAATTTTTAAAATAATATTTTATAAAAACAACAAATTTTCTTTTGTCCATTATAATTTGCATTAAAACAAAACAGAGTTTTCTTCTTAATTACAGTCATGAACAAATAAAAGAAAAACTGATACCAAGTAGGCCGAAAATCGTGATTCGTAAAGAACCGGAACAAGACAAAAAGGTGACGATAAAAGCAAAAATAATGGTCAGCTTGTACAGGCAAAAGGAGATTTTAAAAAAGGATATTCTCAAAAAGCGGGCTTTATTGGAAAGAGAATTACAGTCTGAAATACAGGTAAGAACTATACACAGTTAAATAATTTTCAGTATCTAATTACTGTTGCTCACCTAGATACAGATACATATTTAATTGTATTAACTAGTTACAGGTGCAGTTGCCTTAAAAAAGAAACTAGATACTTTTAGATACAATTAATTTTATGCCTTCCATCAAAAATTTTAAAATAGAAATAAATGGGTGTTGAAGTGAGAGAACAAAAATGGATGGATTGACCAATACAATATGTATGGGTCGTTGCACGCCAAATCGACCACTTTTAAACCCGACCCCTTTCGATTTTGCTGCATTTTTCTTATGTTTTGTACCCCATCAAAAATGTTTCTCAGAATTTTTTCATATTATTTTACCCAACAGAAAAATTGTTAAAATTTTTCTTGAAAATTGACTAAATGAGACGATTTTTGAATTTTTGTTGATTTTGAATGTTCTTTAAAAAAATACAAATTTTTTGAGGTCAAGTTCCTTAAAAAATGTGGTTTCTTTAGAAAAAATATCAATTTTTTAAGTTTGTCTTTTTTATTTTTTTATATAAAAACTTATTTCATTGAAAAACTTTTTTATTTCTATAATAAAGTCAGTTTAAGTACATTTACATACTTGAATATATTAACCATTGTTCTATGATATTTTACACTTAAATTTTAATCTAACGTAATGAATAATGATTATAATCATTTGTAATTAAAGATTATTTTGTAAGAAATTTTTCAAATTCAAATGAGTATAAAATATGTGAATTATTTAAACGTAAAAGAAAATAGATGTTTATTGTGAGTAGCAAATAAAATATAAATAATAAATACGAGTGAATTTTGACGGATTATAGGACACTATTGTTAGTAATAACTTATTACTAAAGATGGGATATTTAGGTACTAAAAACTGAAAAATAGGTAACTAAAAAGGTACTAAAAAAAGCATTTTAGGTTAAAAAAACAGCATTTTAGGTAAAAAAAAACATTAAAAGTTCAAGTTTCGTTTATAATTTTGTTTAGCCGCATACTTAAACACAGAACATACCAACAATAAACTATTTATATGCAATAAACTGTGTTTCACTGAGTGACACTCACTACACAGAAGTTCTATGACAGAACATCAGGGCTCCCAGCAGGTAGTTTTTTTAAAGACTTGTCTATATTTTTGTCGTAAGTCTATAAAAGTCAATTTTTTTACCTAAAGTCTATAAAGTCTATATTGTCTGTTAAAATCAACTAAACTGCGCACCACTCAATGTGTCGCGACGAAAAAGTTCGTCCTTTTTCAAAACGACATAACTTTTTTGTTTCTTGAACGATTTTCTTTTCGTCTGTGATGTCTGCTAAACCCATCCTCTGGCAATTCATGCTATAGATAATAAGCATACGGTTCTTCAAGTAAATTTCCTACAGGGTGATTTGTAAAACGGTGAAAAATTTCAATAACTTCATCCAAGCCCCGCTTATAAAACAATAATTTTTTTTTCGTTTTTACTTTGAAATAATGAAGTATTATGTGTTACCTTGAAACGTTTTTCAAATTTTTCGAATTGGAATCTTAGCAACGAAAATATGATTTTTTTTCCAAAAGAGTACATTTGAGGCTTTTTGGTAGGCAATATATTTAGTCTTTTTAAGAACAAGAAAATAAGATGGTAAAAGATTGTTCCTTGAATAATTCTGAAAAAGCGACAAGCAACAAACTTCCATTATTTTCAGAGGGGCCTAAGCAAAGACCACTTTTTCAAAATGACATTCCGGGGAAAATTTGCGAAAACTAAACCTGAATCGATATTTACGTTCGTGACATGTTTTCTTTATAATTTTGACCTCCTGATTTTGATTCAGTTGTCAAATTTAAGTTTCAGATAAAACCAAAATCATCAAGAATCAAAATTCGAAATCAATTCCCTGTTCTTAAATATCTTAATAAAATCCGATTGCTGTCGTGTTTCTTGCATATTTATGATAAAAATGCCATTTGGGTATTCATTTTTTGGGCGAAATTACTGCAATTTGTTTGAGTGGTTTGGATAATGTTACATAACTTACATTTACATTGCGCAGTAGTGATTACATCATTGATAAGTACCTACCTAATTTTAATAATGTTAAATAAAATATTTTTGTTCATTTTTGAAAATTGTATGCGTAGATATGATCATAATCAAAACTTCAACATTCAACAGAAAAATGTAACAAACAATAACAATAATACCTTTCAATATTTCGTTGGCCCTCCCCTAAGCCGTAATAATTCGTTAACCCTCCTGGGCATTCCCTCGACCAAGTTCCTTAGAATTTTCTGGGTTACCCCATTCTTCCTGAATAGCATTTACCAATTCATCTAAATTTTCCATGCCTTCTTCCCTCTCTTTCATCTTCAATTTTATCATGCTCCAAACATGCTCAATAGGATTCATATACGGAGACAAAGGTGGCCAATTCATTTTCTCAATATGGTGGTCCCTTAAATACTCATTAACGATATGTAAAAAAACAGTAAAAACCAGTAATCGGATTTTATTGACACATTTAACAGCCGGGAATTGTTTTCGAATCTTGATTCTTAGTGATTTTGGTTTTATATGAAACTTAAATTTGTCAACTGAATCACAATCAGGAGGTAAAAATTATGAAGAAAACATTTTACGAAAGTAAATATCGGTTTAGGTTTAGTTTTTGCAAACTTTCACAAAAATGTCAATTTCAAAAAGTGGTCTTAGCTTAGGCCCTCTGAAAATAATGGAAGTTTGTTGCTTGTCGCTTGTTCAGAATTATTTAAGGAACAATCTTTCACCATCTCATCTTCTTGTTCCTAAAAAGACTGAGTGTATGGCCTAAAAAAAAGCTTTAAATGTACTCTTTTGGAAAAAAAATCATATTTTCGTTGCTAAGATTCCAATTCGAAAAATTTGAAAAACGTTTCAAGGTAACACATAATACTTCATTATTTCAAAGTAAAAACTAAAAAAAAATTAATATTTTACAAACGGGACTTGGATAAAATTATTGAAATTTTTCACCGTTTAACATATCACCCTGTAGGAAGTTTACTTGACCAAACGTGAGCTTTATATCTATAGCATAAATTGCCAGAGGATGAGGCTAGCAGACATCACAAACCAAAATTAAATCGTTCAAGAAACAAAAAAGTTATGTCGTTTTAAAAAAGAACGAACTTTTTGGTCGCGACACATTGAGTGGTGCGCAGTTTATTAAAGAAACATATTTTTTAAATATACATATTCGCAGTTTTATAAATATCGAAACCACAGTAAACCAAGTGAAACATTCGAAAACTTTGCAGACCCGACCCGCCCGCCAGAATTATTGCTGAGTTGTTTCTGGTTGGGTCTAGGGTTTCGTTTACGTTTAAAGTTTCGGTTCGCTAGGTCCCCCCTAAAGCAATTTTTTATATAAATGTGATTCTATTTATTATAAGTTATAATTTATTACAGAATTTAATATTTTTTTTGTTATTTATGTATTTTATAACAGATATGGTTACTTGTTAAATTTAATTCATTAAAAATTTATAATTTCAAGTTATCTCTATGTATTTTAAATTTAAATTTAGATCTTTTATCCCAAAAAAATTTATACCACCATTTTATAGTTATTTCGGTAATAAATTTGGTCTATATTTGGTCGTTTATTTTTTATTATTAGTCTCTTAAGTCACTATTTCTCGCAACATGGACTGCTGGGAGCCCTGCAGAACATAAGCTCACTACAAAGAAGGTAACTGTAAAGAAAGTTACTGTTACAGTCTGTGACCATAAGAAAAAATTCTATACCGTTGAGTTGCACGCCATGGATAAAATATTGGCGCAAAATTTAAAAAGAGCACAAAAAAACTAAAATAAGTAAAAATAGGTAACAAATAGTTAAAAATAAACTGAAAAATTAAAAAATATGTAACAAAAGTATAAAAAGGTAGTTTAAAGCAAAAACCTCCAAAAAAGGTAAAAAAGGTGAAAACAAGTTAGGTTCATATAAAAGAAAATGTTTTAAAACATATTTTGGCATTATTGGTTTTCAAATAGTTACATCGGCTGAAAAAAGGTAAAATAACTAAAATCCCATCCCTACTTATTACCTTCATAATGGGTCACAAACCAGTTAGTCCAGTCATCTAGGCATTTCACCTCGGAATCTAACGGAATAAGCTGAATTTTTGTACAAACCTTTATTTTAGCATTACAAATGTTGTCTCAAAAGTCACATATGAAAACGTGTGAGCGGCCTTAGATATTCAAGGTCAAAGGTCGCAAAAATCAAATTTTTGAGAATATCTCCTTTTCTCTGCCTCCTATCGTATTTGCATTTATTATACAAGTTGTAGAGAATAAAATTCTCTAGAAATTTTGTTTAAAACATTTTTTTATACGTCTAATCGTTTTTGAGATAGAGGGCGCAGAGTGTGGAGCGCTCAGCCATACGTACCTTTAGCGCCAGTTAAATCATAAATACCAATCTATTATACCGTTTTTTTAATTAATTATTTATTAAATATTACTTAAATAACAATTTAAAACCTTATATTATTTTTATATATTTTTTTAAAACAGATAGTCATTAAATATTACTTACTTTTGACATACAAATAATTAAATAATGAAGTGAATCATTCTAAATATATTCTAATGTTATTCTAATTAATGATAAATGCATTTTAAGAAGAAAATACATTAAATGAATTTGCCTTGAATATGTCTCTGGTCATCTCTTGGATCCAGATATTACTTTTAAAATAACAGACCTGGAAATACTATAGTGGGCTTGCTATAAATAAAAAGGTTAGGTATACCTATATTTAAGCAAGTTGTGACCCTAGGTATAGGTCTAGGGTTGTGACAGATAATATTCGTAATATTTTAAAGGTTAACATGGCTGATTTGTGTTTTATTTGTAATAAGTTACTTTCTGAAGGTGATTCTGCGACTTTTGTGCGCGGTATAAAGACTTTAAAAGAAGCAATTATTGAGAGAAATAAACATAAACTACCTTCATACTTTGACTTCTGTGAACGTTCATATTGAGTGTCGAAAATTGTACGCTATAGCGTACTACTAAAGTAAAATTGCAGCAACAAAACGTCGCCTTGAAGAGACTGGACCTTCAACGTCATCGACTGTACCTCGTAAAAAAGGGAATGATGTGTTTGAACTTTAAAATATTTTGCTTATTTTGTGGTGAAGTCGCAGATGAGGCAACAAAGGCAAAAAAATCTGCAAAGTATAAACGCGTTATAAGTATACTTATAACGCTTGTCAATGATAACGAGGAGAGTGATGATGAGAATGAGTCTGAAATTGCTGGCCAACCTGAAGAAGATGAGGATGAAGAAGATAAAGATTAATAATAATAATAATAATAATAATATTGATATAAATAAAAACATTTTTTCCTACTACGATCCAATTATCCTTCATTAAAATTAAATTAAAATATAAGATATATATGAAGATAAAATATATTTGATTTAAAAGAAATATAAATATAAGAATAAGGTATTAAATTTTTATTTTAGTAATATTTATTATATTATTAATTAAAAAAACGGTATAATAGATTGGGATTCACGATTTACCTTGCGCTAAAGGTACGTATGGCCGAGCGCTCCACACTCTGCGCCCTCTATCTCAAAAACGGTTCGACGTATAAAAAATTTTGTAAACAAAATTTGTAGAGAATTTTATTCTCTACAACTTTTATAATAAATGCAAATACGATAGGAGGCAGAGAAAACGAGATATTCTTAAAAAACTGATTTTTGCGACCTTTGACCTTGAATATCTAAGGCCGCTCACGCGTTGGCATATGTGACTTTTGAGACAACATTTGTAATGCTAAAATAAAGGTTTTCACAAAAATTCAGCTTATTCCGTTAGATTCCGAGGTTGATCCCTTTTTTTGACTAAGATGACTGTACTAAGTATAATTTTGCTTATGTAATATCGTCGAGTTATTGCATTTTTTTTTTTTTTTTTACTTAAATTATTTAAGTTAAATACTTTTTTTTAATTATAATTGTTTCTGCAAGGAAAACTCAACTACGAGCATAACCGAATCGGTTAAACCGATCAATGTCGAGCGCAACAAAAATTGTATAACTCCAACTTTAGTAAATAGACCCAATAAAAATAAGTTACAAATTCAAATTACTCAAAACAGTGTTTTGGGAGTTATCTGGTTTTTGCAGTAACCCGGCGATATGTGAATTGTGGAGAAATAAAATAAATCGTTTTTTAAATTGGTATAAAAGAATTCAATTATTGTTAATTGTCTTAACCATAACATCAAAATCATTAATTATCAGGTTAGATTATAAATTAAGTAAAAAATGTCATACAATCATTTACCTAAATTAATTTTATTATAAAATTAAAGTTTTTACAAGAAAATAAATAAACGAGTTGTTTAAGGTTTTTAAGAAAAGAATTCAATTATTGTTAATTGTCTTAACCATATCATCAAAATCATTAATCATTAAGAAAAGATTTTTAAGAAACTTCAAGAAACTAATTTTTTTGAAAAATTCGTAACCCTTTTTTGGTTGGGTAAAAAAATATTAAAAAATTTTGAGAAACTTTTTTAGTGGGGTAGAAAAAGAAAAAAAAATGCCAAATTGAAACTGGGCGGGTTTAAAAGTGGTCGATTTGGCGGAAATTATCTTTATTTTTGTATAATATTTACCTTATATCACAATCCATGTATTTGTGCCCTTTATAAAATTATTAAAATATATATTACAGAAACCTAGTTCTACCATTAAGTTTACTATAATTTACTGAACTGATTGGAAAAGGTTTTAAGGACCATGGTAAATATACTTATCTGTAATATTACAGTTATTAAATAAAATTAAAATTAAATTTTGTAATATCCAGCTGTATATACAGGGTGTCCCAGAACTCGCGCCACATAGAAAACCGGAACGTGTCGAAAGTAACGTGAAACACATATTTTAAAATTAAAATTGTCTAACGCAAAGGATAAGCGAGATAAGAATAAAAAACGATAGCCAATCCCAATAGATCGCCATAGGGAATTCTTTAAATTGCTAGGATACTTAGGTTGCATTGTTGATAATAAAAAATATGTAAAATATTTGGTCCACTGGAATCCAATTCATTGTGACACTGCTGTCAAACTCCTGTCATTAATATTATATTAGGTTATAAATTAAGTTATTATAAATAATGTTTTCCTTAGATGATTATACTGAAATGATAATTATTTATTTATTTAGTGTGGGCGCAACGCCAGGGAGACAACGCGAGTTTTTTTTCCAGCCCTTTCCTAATCGTTATTTTAAAACATTGGCGTTCTGAAGTATAAGTCATAGATTAATAACCTCATTTTTGAAAGCTTTTGACAACTTAGTAAATACAGTTGGCCAAAAGATTTTTAAATGTTTTAATACAACAATGTTCTATCGTCTCCTAGCAATTTTTAAAGCTCTTACGTTTAACCTAGGCGAGAGCTCTCGGTATTGGCTGCCGCTTTTTTGCTCTCATTCGATTACACTATTACCTAGAAATTTTTTATTTTTAAATTTGGCATCTCCATTGCTATCGGCACGCCCCCTTTTTCTCTGTGGCGCGAGTTCTGGGACACCCTGTATATACAGCTGGATATTACAAATAACTGTATTTACCATGGTCTTTAAATTAAAACCTTTTTCAACCAGTTGAGTAAATTTGGTAGATCAAACGGGTGAAGCGACATTTTTTTTTTCAATGTCCCACCTGAAAATCTTGTAACTGGTCAGAAAACAAAAATTTTGAGCTCAATTTTTAAATATTTCCCTTTAAAAACCATTAAAAAACAATGTTATTCTTTTCTTCTTCCTCTTGTACAGTAAGAATATTTTTTTCAAATTTCGGTTCTAAAATCTTTATACGGGATGACATTATCTTCAAAAATGTCTATTTAAGCAAGTCTGTAAGTTGAATAGGTTCTTCACAAATTGCCGTTCTACTCGAAAATCTAAAATAGCAGTAAATCGTAACTGGAGACTACATTATTTATTGTAGATAAAAAACGTAAATGACAATTTTGTAAGGAATTTTGTGCCCTACAAATTTTTTAAGAAATATATTTCTGTATCACTTACAGCCCCAAAGTGTCAAATTCTTAAAAATTCAGTTTCTGACTGTAATAACTATACTATTAGAGTTACGTGAAAGAGTGGCTGTACAAGCTAAACTGTAACTACAAATTTATCCCAATCTAATAACTATAGTTAAGTATAGATTAGTACCAATAACACGCAGATACATAAAAAGTATTTTATTGTTTTGACCTTTACTAATGTATAAAAACAAAACACTGTTTTTTCCACGTTTTTATTTCAATTTTGGCAATTGTTTTGGTAACACAGTAGCTTAAAAACAGTGTTTTATTTTTATGCATTATAAATGTATAACATAAAAATTATCTAGATACTGTATCTGTAACTAGATACGTTACAATGCTGACATTCATGTGGTTTGACACTAGCCAAATAATGATGTCAAATGTTTTTTGTACCGCTAGAACCCTAAATATCAAAGTCTTCATTTATTTATTGCCATCCTTTATAATTAAAATATCATAAAAATATTAAGTTAAGTTAAAAGTAACATCCACATCCTGCTTGAGCAGTACTAAATAAATTACAAATTTAAAAGTGGAAATATCCCTTTATATTTACAAAATATAAATCATTTTGCATTGTATAAAAGTTTTGACTGGCCAAATGTTCACTATTTAATATTTTTAATCTAAAAATGTAGAGAGAAGTTGCGGAAGAGCTGGCGGCACGCACAAAGTTGGAGCGCAGCAAGCAAGACGAAGTGCGCACCGGCAGCGGCCGTCGAAAATCTGCCGCGACGGCGGCCACGACCGTTGCGACGCAGGCCGCCAAAACGGCGCAGCGTCACAAGCCGATGCGAAAGGGCGTGGGGGCGTCGCCGCCCTCTGCGCAACCTCCGACTCCCGGACGCGGCAACCTGAAAAAAGAGAAACTCTACTGCATCTGTCGGACGCCCTACGACGAGACGAAGTTCTACGTCGGCTGCGATCTGTGCAACAATTGGTTCCACGGCGACTGCGTCAGCATCACGGAGGAGAGCAGCAAATCCTTGACGGAGTTCGTTTGCAACGAGTGTCGCACGGCGAGAGACACGCACAAGTTGTATTGCCTTTGCCAGCAGCCATATGATGACTCGCAGTATGTATCAAGATTGTTATTACAATTATTTATATCGTCATTTCATATTTTCATACTCTAAATTCTTGCATAAAAGATTACCAAAACTAGCTTAAACATACTCTTCTAAAAGTCATTTTAACGTGCAAACGTAATAAAGTCTTCATAATGATTTATTAATGAATTAGTTGCTTGCTGTAGCCGCTAAAGGACGTTTAGATAACCGTCGCACATTGACCGTGTTTTAACCTTGACCCAATTTAAAATATAATACACTCACAGGCAAAATAATCGATTCACACAAATTTTCGATGAATTTCAATCGCAAATAACTTTTTTATTTGATTTCGGATTTAAACAAATATTAAAGAATATTGTAAGTACATTAATGGAGAATCGCTCACATTTTAAAAATTACAAAAAAATACACGTTCGTTTATAATATACAGGTTTAAACAAAAATATGTTTTTTACCATAAGTTTAAGACACTCTGTAGAGTGGCAAAACCGTATATTGTATTAGAATAGATGTGACTTGATAAATAAAACTTAATTTAGAACAATATACGGTTTTGCCACTCTACAGAGTGTCTTAAACTTATGGTAAAAACATCTTTTTGTTTAAACCTGTATATTATAAATGTACGTCAATTTTTTAGTAATTTTTTAAAATGTGAGCGATTGTCCATTAATTTATCTACAATATTCTTTAATATTCGTTTAAATCCGACATCAAATAAAAAAGTTATTTGCGATTGAAATTCATCGAAAATTTGTGTGGATCGATTATTTTGCCTGTGAGTGTCTTAATAGGTCGGTTAAATTAGAGAAAAACTATGTAATTACAAGTCTATATTGTCATTTCATATTTTCATAATATAAATTCTTGCATAAAAGATTACCAAAACTAGCTTAAACATACTCTTCTAAAAGACATTTTAACGTGCAAACGTAATAAAGTCTTCATAATGATTTAGGTTAATGAATTAGTTGCTTGCTGTAGCCGCTAGAGGACGTTTAGATAACCGTCGCACATTGGCCGTGTTTTACTGTTTACCATGTTTTTAGCCTAAAAATAATTTAATCTTTTTAATAAAACCTTATTTTAATCAACAACAAAAATTTTGGATTTTTTAATTTTTTAAAAAATACCAAATTTAAAATATAATATTAATAAAAAAATTAAAATATTAGGAAATTTAAGCTTTAAGTTAAAAACCCAAAAGTTTATATTTTGCAAGCTTGTTAAAAACAAGTTTGCATCTTTCTATGTATGGGTATCCTTTTTATTTGAATAACTACAAGGTCGGTTAAATTAGAGAAAAACTATGTAATTACAAGTCTATATTGTCATTTTATATTTTCATACTCTAAATTCTTGCATAAAAGATTACCAAAACTAGCTTAAACACACTCTTCTAAAAGACATTTTAACGTGCCAACGTAATAAAGTCTTCATATTGATTTAGGTTAATGAATTAGTTGCTTGCTGTAGCCGCTAGAGGACGTTTAGATAACCGTCGCACATTGGCCGTGTTTTACTGTTTACCATATTTTTAGTCTAACAAATAATTTAATCTTTTAAATAAAACCTTATTTTAATCAACAAAAAAATTTTTGGATTTTTTAATTTTATAAAAAATACCAAATTTAAAATATAATATTAATAAAAAATTTAAAATGTAAGGAAATTTAAGCTTTAAGTTAACAACCCAAAAGTTTATATTTTGCAAGCTTGTTAAAAACAAGTTTGCATCCTTCTATGTATGGGTGGTATCCTTTTTATTTGAATAGCTACAAGGTCGGTTTAATTAGAGAAAAACTATGTAATTACAAGTGTATTAAAATGGCATTTGAAAATTGTAATAAATAAGTAATAACTTTGTTAGCCTGTGAATTTAAAAAAAAGTTAGGGTTTTTACATCCAATTTCTGATTTTTTTGCCTTCTAGATTTTGTTCCAGTTCCATCTTTTCTTTTTCTATGGCCGCAATATTGGAATTTTATATAGTTAAAAAAAATTTAATCTTTTTAATAAAACCCTATATTAATCAACAAAAAAAATTGGATTTTTTAATTTTACAAAAAATAATAAATTTAAAAACCCAAAAGCTTATATTTTGCAAGCTTGTTAAAAACAAGTTTGCATCCTTCTATGTATGGGTATCTTTTTTATAGCTACAAGGTCGGTTAAATTAGAGAAAAACTATGTAATTACAAGTCTATTAAAATGGCATTTGAAAATTGGAAAAAATCTGCGTTTCTTAAATAATTTAAACAAAAAACTGAAAACTTGTCAAAACCAAAAATTGTTATAACTTTGTTAGCCTCTGAATTTTGAAAAAAGTAAGTTTCACATGGTTTTTACGTCCAATTTATGATTTTTTTGCCTACTATATTTTAAGTTCCACCTCTATATTTTCTTTTTCTATGGCCGCCATATTGGAATTGTGTATAGTTAGATAGAAAAATCAAGAAATCCAACTACGTATCAAACTGCATATGTTATAACGGCTATTATAAGAACAAAAGATGGCGGTGGTGACTCAAAATATAGTAGCAAAGAAATTGATCGAGAATGTAGATAAATGTATATTATACATGTACAATTTTTTTTACTTCCCAGCAATAACAAAGTAATTACAATTGTCGGTTATGGATTTTTCGGAAAAAAAAAACCGAAAAAATTGGGAAATTTTCAGAAAAATTGACTTTACACATTTTTACCTCTGTCTTTACGTAAAGCTCTTCCATGAGGAGAGGCAATTTTGTTCAGTTGTATTTGTTTTTTTTGTAATAAAGGATATTTTCGTATTTTCGAAAAAAAAATCAATTAAATTCAATTCAATGTTTAGTTTTATTTGTTTTTTCTGTAAAGCTCAGCACTTAAAGACTCACTTCTTTACCTAATGACATAAATAACTATTAAACATTTAATAATAGTTTTATTTTTTTCCTTGCAATAATTTCAAAATGATCATACCAAGGTATCGTACATCTGGCAACATTGCTGCCGAAAGTAAGGTTGGTAAAATTCAGAGATTGCGCTTGCGTGGCCATTGTCACTTTCTGCTGTTAGTGGGGTGCGTATCAATTTTACTGTTGCGTTAGTACGGCATAAATTTCGAAAAAGTCCCTTTCCGCTACTGACAGTAAAATAACCGACAGTACAGGCAGTAAATTACTGAAGATACCCTGAGTTTATACTTTTAATGACGTCTTTTAATGCTATAATGATGTTTTGTTTGTTTTCAGATTTTACATTTGTTGCGACCGATGTCAAGACTGGTTCCATGGCCGATGCGTCGGCATTTTGCAATCGGAAGCGGACAACATTGACGAGTACATTTGTCCCAGGTGTCAGCGTAACAATTCAGTGAATTTCGCCAACATGAAGGATCTAGCTCAAAAGGACTTTGAAGGGCTTAAAAAGCTCATAAAACAATTACAGGTACGTTTACTTTACACATTTTTAATACCTTTATTTTATTTTAAATGTTTTATTTTGTTTTATTTTTAGGCTCATAAGAGTGCTTGGCCTTTTATGGAACCTGTAGATCCCACAGAGGCGCCAGACTACTACAAAGTTATTAAAGAACCAATGGGTAAGTCAAAATTCCAAAAAAAAAATTATGGTTAAAACAACCAAAACACAAAAAGTTAAAGTCAACACTTCAACGCCTCAGGGTGTTTAAAAAAGTATGGTGGTTTTTGGTCATTCCAAACGCAGATAAAAAAATCTGAGAGCTTCAAATTTTTATCAAAAAAATAATAGTTTTTTAATATACTATCGCTAACAAAAAAAACTCATACAGCTTAAAAATCTAGTGTTCCTGATTTTCTATCATTTCGTTGGAGTAATTATGGCTTTTAACATGATACGTCACATTTGAAAGGTCTAAAATTAAATACAAAGTTAGGTTGAAGTTTGAAAAAAAAAAATAATATTTCGTCATCCCTCTGTTTTTGTCAATTACTGCCCGCAAACGGCAAAGCATGGAAGTCGCCGTCTTGCTTTATCTCGTTCCAAATGGCTTCAATGGCTTGCTAGAGTTCGTCTGCATTGTTTGGTTGAAAATTTTGTTAAAAAAGTCATAATGGATGTGACAAAGCTCGATGTCAGCTTGACATTGACGGAAAAGTTTTATTCACACAGCCACAATATAGCTGTATGAGTTTTTTTTGTTAGCGATAGTACACTAAAGAAGCATCGCTAGTAGCGCCACCACTTGGCCGTTATCATCGTAACAAAACTACAACTTTTAATAATCAGCTGTCAAATGCGTATGTTACAATCGAGTGTTTTTGAGAATAAAGCCGGAAAAAACCGTGGCACGATTTGTTGTGTAGTTAAGGGTTTTTCGAGATGAAATCCTGGGTTGAGTTTTTACCGGTTTCCCAATAAACAGTGTTAATCCGAATGAAGATATAAGTTGCATACAGTCCCTGTACATTTTAGTAATGATTAACGTGAAAAGTTCAATTCAATAAAAAACAAATAGTCGTCTAAATTCAAACAGCATTTAGCATTATTAAAAGCATTGATTAAGGAAGTCTCCACTCGACGGTAGAATACCATTATATTATGTATTATATATGGATAACGCTTATCGAAAAGGAACCAAGCGCCAACAAGTTTTTTAAGGCTTAGTAAAATTATTTGTAAAATAGGTAACTCATTTTTAATTGATCATCATTTGGAACTTTTCTCAAAAGGATTGAGAGGGTTCCCAATCATTATTAATTTTTTGAGCACCATTAAAAATTAATTATTTTGCCAATAATTTTCTTTACCTCAGAAAAAGTTTTTTTGGCGGTTGGTTCCTTTTTGATAAACGCTATCAATATAATATTATGTTGCCATGAATTAGTAGGTATATTTTGTTGTTTAATGGGTTACATACATATGAGCTCGTAAAAATTAACGGTTTTTGGTGATTTATTTTGGTATATAATAATAATTAGATTGAAACAAACTAATAAGCATTGAATATAGTATGTTTCGAAGTATTTTATTATTTTCGAGGGAACAAAAAATTGAGTTTTTAGATCGAAAAAAATAGAAATTTTTGTCCAAATAATAATCCCTATTATGGCTATAGCTATTGTAATAAGGAACAACACTTCCAAATTTCAGATCGATCGGTAAATTGGTTTTCGAGAAATCCTGTTCACGGCAACGGCACTTTTCAAAAAGTTTGATTCCGAGATAAACGCGTTTAATGTTTTAAGTTCATTCAATTTGCCTTTAAATTTTCTTGAGGTATCGCGCTATAAATTGCTATAACATAAGTTGTAGTGCTCCGATCTTGATGAAATTTTGTGTACATATTCTTAAAAGTATATGTTGTAAGAATATATATTAAATCGATTTTTTTGACCCAGCACAAATGTATGTAACCCCTTAAAATGCAGTTGTCAGCGTTTTTTTAGAGGACTCAAATATAAAAATGTTTGATTTTAAGGTTATATTTATGCAACAATTATTTTTTACTAATTTCTTAAAAATTTCCAAACTAAAATATAAATTACCTATTAGGTATATTAGGTAAAGTTATCATTAGTTAATTCTGCACCAACAAATATACTTACCGAATTGGATCCTTTGGCAAAACATGAAAATGCAACGATTTAGTTCTTGATTTTTTTTACAATTAAAAACACAATAATTGACCATGATAACTTAGATAAAATACACACACTAACGTAACTATATAAGCATATAAGCGTTGAGTTTCTTAATCAATGATATAAGGTATAATTAATCGAAATCCAGTACTAAACCAAAGTTTTGTAGTTTTTACTTGCAACGCAAAACACAAATAATGTGCGCGATTTAGCTGTGCAATTGAACAAAATTTGTCGAGTAAGACTTCTGCCTTCCTATTTTATGTGTAAAAAACTACTTATTTATTTAAAAATTATGTTCAGTTCGTATGCTTTAAATGTATTGTTAACAATTCTTAAATTCACACAATGCAATCGAACTCCACCGAAAACCCGATGCTTCTTTAGCGTATATTTAATTAGTGCATTTGAAAGAATGCTTTTTAAAACGTTTTTTTGTTTTTAGACTTGCAAATGGTAGAAAACAAGATAAATGAGCAGTCTTATACAAAACTAAGCGAATTCATCGGAGACATGACGAAAATATTCGACAACTGTCGATACTACAATCCGAAAGAGTCGCCATTCTTCAAATGTGCTGAATCGCTAGAGGCTTACTTCGTGAACAAGATAAAGTGTTTACGAGACAAGCTGTTTGAAACTAATAAGTGAGCATAGCTAAATGGAAGCTTTTAAGGAACATATATTTTAATAGGTTTTTAAGTTTTCACCGGGCTGAAAGCAGATCTAAAACGATCTCAACTTATCAAATAATGGACAGTGTAAAGATCTGTTTGAAGTCCAACCCCCCCCCTTGTACATATTTCTAACCAGTTGTGTATAATCTGTATGAATATCATTTTTCTTTTTTTTGATATAAATAGTGTGACCAATTCAGTTATTTATTGCTCCAGTAATCTAATATTTAAAATTGCAGACATTTATTGTATAATTTTCGTTATATTAATAAAATGGTTTTAAGTTTTTCATGATTTTCTGATAAACAAAAAAAGTGTAGTAATTTATATTAATGTAAAAGCTATATTCAGTCTTAGGTAGTGCCATTGTAGATATTCATAGATATTGATTATAATTTAACAGAGAAGAGTTTTCTTTTTTGTTTGCACATACTTAAATTTTTTATATTTCGTCGGTAGACAATCTATCGACAGTTTTAACTGGAAATACAAATATTTACAATATTTTGATTGTGTCGTTTTTCTTTACTACCCTACCTAGGTTTAAATAAAAACGAACAAATAAATTCACACAATTAGGCATGATAAAAATAAGACAAGGTAAAACTGGATTTTTTATTTGGAATTTGATAATGTTGGTACTGTAAATATACTTTGGTATTTTTACAACTACCGAAAACTATCTATCGATAGTTCTCGACCCTAGGCGGTAGAAATGGTTTCGCAAAGTGGGGCAAACAATTTGCATACATCAGTTTCCGAATTTTCAGCAGACACGGACGGAAACGAACAGGTAGTACTAAAGGGTGTCTCAAAAGTAACGCAAGATTTTAAATAAATAGAAAACACAGTTTTTAGCCTTTAGATTGTTATTTTTTTATTGAATCACAAAGTACATAGGATAGGGTTATTTATGGAATAACACATTGGGCAAATAACCTCCACGGCTTTGCTGGAACATGCGCACTTTTGACTGCTTTTCGAAAAAAGTATGGTCCAATGATGGCTTCAGCCCAAAATCCGCACCAAACAGTGACACGTTGTGGAAGCATTTGTTTTTCGACAATCACATCTGGGTCTCCGAACCCCAAATACGGCAATTCTGGCGATTAAAAAAGCCATCAAGGTGAAAATTGACATTCAACCACATTTATGCAGAATGGTCATGGGAAATTTCGACAAAAGAGTGCGCATGTGCCAGCAAAGCCGTGGAGGTCATTTGTCCGATGTGTTATTCCATAAATAACCCTATCCTATGTACTTTGTGATTCAATAAAAAAATAACAATTTAAAGACTAAAAACTGTGTTTTCTATTTAATTCAAATCTTGCGTTACTTTTGACACCCTTTACAAGACCAGCAAGGATAGGTCCAAGCAGCGAACTAACAATTCAAGCCCCATTCATGAACCCCAATTGGGTATTACTAAATCCCTGGTTTTATGGGGATTCCCTCGCTCCACCAACCTAAATCGGACGTATAACCCGGCCCGGCGACAAAATTCCGGGAAGGGCCTTAACTATCGAAACTGTCATCCACGACCTCCTAAGAGATATTTAACAGCCGTGAAAATTCGGATCCATTAAACACAGGTTATGCTGTGCAGTTGGGGAATACGTATGAGAACTAAAAGATGGTAAAAATTACTGAGAGATCAGTATAAGGCAATTCCGATGGGGCCAGCCATACGTTCTCATACTCAATATCAAACATTCAACTATTTTACAAGGTGCGTTAAACAAGCAAAGCGGAGACGTCTTAGGTTCACTTAAACAAGCGACTTAATATATTTGATAAATTTTCTACATTAACAAAATTATTGATAAAACAGGTATTATTCGCGTAGGTGGCCAACATGTATTATCAGTACAAACATCCAATAGTACTGTTGTCCAAGCATTGATTTACAGAATTATTGAATATTAATGAACACCGAAAAAATTTACATGCAGAATCTCAAGCTCTCTTGATCTGCATTAGACAAAATCATTGGTTTCAATGCCAAAAATACTATCATATTATAGGTGCCTTGTTTGTTTTCGAGTGAGGCCCAGATCATTGTTCCCACAAATGGGAAACTTCCCCATTAATCGTGTTACTCCAGACAGATTTTTTAGCTGTGGAAAGATTAAGCTGGTCCCTACTTAATCAAAGATGGCAAAGTTAAAAATCGCAGGCTAATAGTTAGCCTGCGATTTTTAAGTTAACCATCTTTGATTAAGTAGGGACCAGCTTAATCCACCTACAAAAAATATAAACTTTAATTATTAAAAAAGGCTGCGCAACTGGTCAGCGATTTGATTAAGGTAAGTAGGGGTAATTGTGTTGTAGTTTTTGAATAGTTCAAAATGAATTAGCTTTAAAGAAGTAAATATTGCAGGCAGAAAAATGCAAAAAATACAGTAGGTTTATGGTTTTGTTACAAATGGTGGCAATAAAAGAAAAAAAAGTAAAAAACATGTCACATTTGCCCCACAATTTTTGGCTAATGTGATAACTAAATGTAAAAATCCCATTGAAACATATTGGTATATTGGCTGGGGTAATTGTAAGATAAGACTCCTTTTTCTATAGATTAGGTTTTGTTAATTTTGCTTACAAAACCAAATAGTTATGAAATATTATAAAAAAATACCGGCTTTAACTTAAGTTTTAGGTTAGAAATGATGTCTTCTATCTAATGTTGTGGATAAGATCCATCCATACAAGGCCTTTGGAGCTCTGTGGCGTGGGTGGAGAAAAATTTACCGGACCGGGGCAGGTTCTTCCTAAATTCATAACTCCATCTTCTCTGTGTTTCCTGTTTTATGAGTGTTATTAGGTCTTCCCAGTGGGTTCTATTCATATTCAGTGCCTCCTGCTTGCCACCCTGATTAGCGAGCCTATCCACCACCTTGTTTAGAAATGTTTGTATTGCTGGGGACCCAGCAGAACTCTACCTTGGCTCCTCGTTTTTAAAGGTTTAGTAGTGCGATCCTACCTTCGAATCTTTTTTTGCCGTGTTATTGTTGTTACATATTTTTTCTGCCTGGAAGTCTGTAATGATAACAAAGTGTTTTTCCACAAGGTCTTTTTGTTGCGTCTGTCAGGTCTTAAAGTATCGCGTAACATTCTGCTATGGCTAGGGAAGCGTGACTTGGAAGTCTTATCGACAATTGAGTTTGACTAGAGGGGCAGTAGACTCCTGTGTAGTAATCTTCCCAATTTCTCCAAATAGATTGTATATAATGCTTGATTTTTGCCTGTTCCCTTGTGCAGGAAAGGAATGCAAAATTTTCTCTAGAATGATTGAGTCAAAGTTGGTGTTGAAGCATGGGAATTTATCAGCCCGTCTATACCTGGTTAAGTACCCTGTTTGGTGTTTAGAGAGTATTCAAATTTTGATTTACAGAAGTTTTGATTAAACCTTGTTGGGATTTGGTTAGGGACAAAAGGGGGACAGATTTTGTTCAGTAGTGATTCACAGCTGTGATGGACTTTATCGGTTTCGGATTTTTGGGAGGTTAAATTTAAATACATTAGTATATCTTTTTATTTTTCATGAAATTTAGAGAAACCTTTCTTTTCTTCTTGGTTTTAGCAGCTATTTTCTTGACCTCTAGCAAACTGCTGTTCGCTCTTCGACTGCCCTGGAACACTCAGAAGACCACCAAGAGGAATGTGGAATTATTTCCCAGGTAGCACACTGACGTTAATATGACGTCTTCTGACGTTTAAATGACGTTAGCAACGTCATTTAAACGTCATATAAACGTCAGCAGACGTCAGTGTGCTACCTGGGTTTTGTCTTATTTTTCAGTTTGGGTAATTCTGAGTTGACTGCGTTGTTTATAACGTGAGCTGTTATTTCTTCGTATTATTGGGAGTGTTGTATACTGATCCAAATTAGCTAGCTTTGTGGTAAATTTCGATTGAAAGTTTCGAAGTTTTCGGAGGTTTTTGGTTGATAATCTCTAATTTGATAGGGAAGTGAGGTCGCTGGACCTTGGGTCCTCTAATGTTTGAAAGACAGCGGAGCGTAAGACTGTGGGGTTAAAAAGAATAATATCTGGGGACTTATGTTTGGGGGTGGGTTAATCTGATCGGAGAACCGTCATTTAGTATTTCTGGGTTGTTTAAGTCGATTAGTTCGTAGAGAATTTTACCGTTTGAGGTTTTGTTTGATAAGCCCCAAATTGAGTTTTGGGCTTTTAGGTCTCTCAAGATTATATATGGAGTGTGCATGCTTTGGATTAAAATGTTAGTTTTAAGGAAGGTGAAGGTCTGAAGGGTTGTAGATTGAAATAATTGATAGATTCTCAGTTTTAATTCTCATAATTTGAAATATTTTATCTTCCTGGTGTGGTGTGTTAATCATGTAGTTTTGATAATATTGCTATACCTACCTTTCCATCCTGACGGTCCTGTTTTCAGGATCTGATCTTATGTTCCAGTAAATAATGTTTAAATTCTGATTCATGTTTTATATAAATATATGCTAGATGGTATGGTTAAAACTGGTGAGAAAAGAGGGATTAAAGAGTAGTAGGAGTTGAAGGTAGATAGGAATGAAGGCTTTGTTGCCATATTGGGGATAAGTGCTGTCAGTTCGTTGATTATGTCAGGGTTAGATGATCTGGCAATATTGAATTCTTCTTTTAAGAGATTGATGTATTTTTCAGCAATTGGGTCTTTGAATAAATTTAGGGGTTTGTTGGTGAGTGTGATAGTTGTGGGGAGCCTTGGCGATAGAGAAATTCATAGGGCGTTATGGGTTGCTCTGTCACAACCGGGACTGAATTGCTGGGTTTCTCTTTTTTCTTTTAGATTGGTGCATTGTTTCTTTGTAGGAAGTTTAAGGGATTTGAGGCATGTTTAATAAGTAATATTCTGAGTTTTAAAGAAAAATAAACATTTTCAAAACTCTTTTACTTATTAATCTTTTTTTAGTTTTTCAGAGAAAAATTTATACAAGACACAGTGGGCCTGAACTAAAAAAAGGTTGCATGAAAATGACCAAAATCGGGCTTCGGATCTTTAAAGATTTACATTAACCCAGACCGCAAAATCATATTCCCTGCACATGCCAGGAATATTCCAATCGTCCCAGAATATTCCCAGGAATATTCCTGGCATAATCAAATGTCCGCTTTTTGATTAACCCAGGCATCATAAAAAGAATATTCCATATATCTGCCTGCAGAAGACTCAAGGATTATTAGGGGAATATTCCTTGATATAATTTGGGGATTATTCCCAGCCCAAATTGCCTCTTATACCCGGGAACTTAACTTAAGTATAGCCATTTTGAGTTACTGAGTAGATCAGTCCCACTCTAATCATTGTTTGGCTGTGCCATCACAGACGCACATCTCCAACTAATATTATTAACCTATCGGTATATATAGTTATCAAGCGTGCGTAAGCAACGGTGAGAGGTATTGCAACTAAACTAATGAATATTCACTGGGAATATTCTTAGATGATGCTTGGAAGTTTTAGAGGAT